AGCTCGTTTTAAAGAGCACCAGCTTCTAATTTATTCCCCCTGATCTCCCTTAACAAGTTTCTTTTTCTTTTTCTTTTTCTTTTTCAGTTTACTTTCTCCCTCCTGACTTGTTTGTGTCATCATCTTTCACAATGCTCAGGAGAATCTCTACTCAGTTCAAGCGGTCCAAGGACTCCAAGGACTCCAATGGTGACACTGAGCCCAAGATCACAGACAAGACCACAGACAAGAGCAGCAAGCGCACCTCCAAGGTGTCGCCAACTCGAAAGTCCACTTCTACTAAAGAGGAAAACCACGTCGTGAAGCGTGCCGAGGTTGTCGCTGTATTTGAGAAGTACGCGCAAGCAATTCACGCTTCGCAGGAACCTCTGCCCAACCAGACCAGTGATGGCACTTACTTGAAGCACGACAAGTCCTCCGGTCTCATCAATGACATCAAGGCACTGGGATTCCGCGATGTCAACACCGTCAAAGACCTGATTGCGACCAAAGCCTCCGGCGAGCTTGTTGATGACAAGACCTACTTGATGGAGCGTGTAATCCAGATGGTCTCGGATCTGCCCGGTAACTCTAAGAACCGTACCGAGCTCACCAGTGTATTCCTGGATGAACTATGGAACTCAATTGATCACCCGCCTCTCTCGTGAGAAATCCCGAATTGGAGACTGTTGTTTTTCAATTGCGCGCTAACACGGTGAATAGTTACATGGGAGACGATTACAAGTACCGCACCGCCGATGGCTCACACAACAACCCTACTCTCCCGTGGCTGGGAGCTGCTAATACCCCATACTGCCGCACAATTGCTCCCCTGACCATTCAACCCAGCGGGTTGCCCGACGCCGGTCTGATTTTTGATACCCTCTTTGCTCGTGAGGAGTTTACTCCGCACCCCAACAAGGTCTCCAGTGTTTTCTTCGACTGGGCATCTTTGATTATTCACGGTGAGTCAGTTCCGCGGGAAGTTACAATTCAAGGCGCTAATATGCTGGTTCCGTAGATATCTTCCAGACCGACTACCGCCAACAGCACATGAACAAGACCTCCTCTTACCTTGACTTGTCCATCTTGTACGGTGATGTCAAGGAGCAACAGGACCTGATTCGTTCCCACCAGGACGGAAAGCTGAAGCCAGATTGCTTCTCCGAGGCTCGTCTGCAGGCCCTCCCTGCTGCCTGCGGTGTCCTGCTGGTCATGCTGAACCGTTTCCACAACCACGTCGTTGGCCAGCTGGCTGAGATTAACGAGAATGGTCGCTTCAGCAAGCCTCGTCCTGGTCTGTCCGAGGAGGACACCAAGAAGGCCTGGGCCAAGCGTGATGAGGACCTGTTCCAGACCGGTCGTCTTATCACTTGCGGTCTGTATATCAACATCACTCTGTACGATTACCTGCGCACCATTATCAACTTGAACCGCACAAACTCCACCTGGTGCTTGGATCCCCGTGCCCAGGTTGAAAAGGCCGGTGCCACTCCTTCCGGTCTCGGCAACCAGTGCTCTGTCGAGTTCAACTTGGCCTACCGTTGGCACTCAGCTATCAGTCAGGGCGACGAAAAGTGGATTGAGGAGATCTACCATGACCTTATGGGCAAGCCTGCCGAGGAGGTTACCATGCCTGAGCTACTGATGGGTATGAAGAAGGTTGAAGGTTCGCTCGAGGCAGACCCCGCCAAGCGTACCTTCGCCCGCCTGCAGCGTGGTGCGGATGGCTTCTTCGATGATGGAGAGCTTGTGAACATTCTGACCCACGCCACCGAGGACGTGGCCAGCTCTTTCGGTCCCCGAAACGTACCCAAGGCCATGCGCTCTATCGAGATCCTCGGTATCGAGGCTTCGCGTAGATGGAACGTCGGTTCTCTCAACGAGTTCCGTAAGCACTTCGGTCTGAAGGCTTACGAGACTTTCGAGGAAGTCAACTCCAACCCTGAGATCGCTAATACTCTTCGCCACCTCTACGACCACCCCGATTACATTGAGCTGTACCCCGGTATCGTCACCGAGGAGGCCAAGGAGCCCATGATCCCTGGTGTCGGTATCGCCCCAACCTACACCATCTCCCGTGCCGTGCTGTCGGATGCCGTCGCCCTTGTCCGTGGTGACCGTCACTACACGATTGACTACAACCCCCGTAACCTGACCAACTGGGGTTACAACGAGTGTCGCTACGACCTCAACATCAACCAGGGCTGTATCTTCTATAAGCTGGCCACACGCGCCTTCCCTAACCACTACAAGCCTGACTCCATCTACGCCCACTACCCTATGACCATCCCCAGCGAGAACCGCAACATCATGAAGAATCTGGGCCGTGAGCAGGATTACTCCTGGGACAAGCCCGCCTTCATTGCGCCTCGTGTCAACCTGGCCTCTCACCAGAGCGCTAGGCTGCTCCTCGAGAACCAGAAGGACTTCCGTCCTAGCTGGGCCCGCTCCATGTCTGAGCTCTTCGGCAAGGGCGAGTTCGATACCAAGCAGCGCGAGGCTATCGGCAAGGCTCTCAATACCGAGGAGTTCCCCAAGCTTGTCAAAACCTTCTACGAAGACATCACTGAGCGTCTGATTGCTGAGAAGGGTGGCCACCTGGGCAAGATCAACCAAATCGATATCACTCGCGATGTCGGCAACCTGGCCCACGTCCACTTTGCCTCTACTATCTTCGGCGTTCCCCTGAAGACCGAGCAGAACCCACAGGGTCTCTTCACCGAGTACGAGATGTACATGATTCTTTCCACCATCTTCTCCGCGCTCTTCTTCGACGTCGACGCTCCTCGCTCGTACGCTTTGAACCGCGCCGCCTCGGCGGTCTCCACCCAGCTCGGCCAGGTCGTCGAAGCCACCGTCAAGGCCGACACCAACAGCGGTCTCTTCTCTGGCATCATGAACAGCTTCCGCCCCCACGATAACGCCCTCCGCGAGTTCGGAACAGAAGCTATCCGCCGCATGAAGGAGACCGGCTCCAGCGCCTCCGAAATCACCTGGTCCGCCATCATCCCAACAATTGTCGGTCTGGTCCCCAACCAGGGCCAGGTCTTCACCCAGATCATCGAGTTCTACACCGCGCCCGAGAACAAGGCCCACCTGGCTGAAATCAACAACCTCGCCAAGACCAACTCCGCCGAATCCGATGAGAAGCTCTACCGCTACTGTCTGGAGGCTGTTCGCCTAAACGGCACCTTCGGCGTCTTCCGCGAGGCCAAGGAAGCTGTCACTGTCGAGGAAGACGGCAAGACCTACACCATTCAGCCCGGTCAGCAGGTCTTCGCTTCCTTCAACCAGGCTAACCACGACCCCAGCGTCTTCCCTGAGCCAACCCAGGTCAGCCTTAACCGTCCTCTTGACTCATATATCAACCACGGTCAGGGTCCCACCACCGGATTCGGCGAGCAGATTACCAAGATCGCGCTCGTTGCTATGCTGCGTGTTGTCGGTCGTCTGCAGGGTCTCCGTCGTGCTGCCGGTGCCCAGGGCCAGCTTCAGAAGATTCCTCAGGAGGGTGGCTACCACGTCTACCTCCGCGGTGACGGAACTTCTTACTGTCCCTTCCCCATGTCGCTTAAGCTGCAATGGGATGGTCCGTTCGAGCAAAAGAAGGCGCCATCTTCCTAAGAGTTTCCCCTTTTTCAGTTTGTTGGTTGAAGCTGATTAATAAAATCTGCGGACATGCTGTGTTATGTGGAGGTAATTAACTTTGGGTCGTATATGATTCTATGCCTTTTTTTTGTGTCTGTTTTGTTTTCGACGACCTGGTCGGTTGCCAGGATATCCAGAAATTGTTGAAGCTTTGTTTATAGCAGTGTAATGTATAGTTCATGAATAATTCACTGATTCCATTTTGCCTTGGGTGCAACATCATAAAGTAGATAGAGAGAATATCCAAAAATTCAACCGACTTTGAAAAGATCATTGCAGTCGGTCTATTAAAATCGTCATAGTTGTTTTACCTCCACCGCCTTAGGACTATACTGCCACATCTACAATCCCCGGCTCAAGCTATAACTAGTTAACTATTGGTCGCAACTCCAACTTCCACAATTGCAGCCTCACACTACAGGAAACCTTCTCAATATTCCTCAAAATGCCTCCACCAAAAACAGCAAAGGGTGAATACATCGAGACCGTAAGCAACTCCCCCAACCTTACCCTCTCATCCACACCAAACCCCCCACCCCATCCGACCCAAAACAAAAGAACAGCAACCTAACCACCCCAAAAAAAACAGGACACAGGAAACAAAATCTCCCGCCGATCCCAAATCCACGGCACGCAACACATAATCCTGGGCGGCAAAACAGTAATCCAAGCCGAAGCCGTAATCCGCGGCGACCTATTCCGCACCGCAACCCTCCCCCCTCCCAGCGACGCCAACAACCCAACCGCACCGACAGCCTCAAACCCCAGCACGCTCAGCGTGGCGATAACAGTCGGACGATACAGCTATATCTCCAAGAGCGCGATCCTGCGTCCGCCGAGCAGATTACACCGCGGCATCCACTCGTTCTACCCGCTCAAGATCGGCGACCATGTTTTTGTCGGCGAGGGCGCTGTTGTTGAGGCTGCGTCGCTGGGGAATCATGTTCATGTTGGCAAGGGCGCTACTATAGGTAGTATGGCTATTATTAAGGATTATGCTTATGTGCTCGATGGCGCTGTTGTTCCGCCTGGTATGGTGGTGCCGAGTTGGTGTATTGTTGGTGGGAGGCCCGCGAGGATTGTTGGTGAGGTTGGGGAGGGGTATGGTGTTGAAGGGGCTGAGGGGGGTATGGCTAGGGAGAGGTATCGGGTTGTTGGGAGGCCTTGAGAGAGGTTGGTGGGCTTTTTTTTGTCTTTGGTTTCGTTTTCTTGATTTTGTGATACCCCCCAAATGCTACTTTTCATGTTGATTTTTTGAGATATCGATTTGTATACCAATTGAGTATCTCCTATGGCAGACGCAGACCGTTCGGATGTTGTTTTTATATACCTGCTGCTAATCATTGAAGGAGAGTCAAAGAAAAGTACAATTATCCCATATTCTCCACCTCGACTGCACGTTTGAGACGCAGTTCATCGTCTTTATTAGGGTGACCAAGCTTTTCAAATGCCAGATCATCGATCCAACGTCCATTGGGCCGAACGGACTCACCACGCGACAACGTGGCAGAGAGATACATCCAGTCGAGAGCATTTCCCACGGTACTCACTTCATCACTTACATTGTGAATACCGTACTCGGACATGCGGAGGTACAGATCGTGATCCGTCCAGAGCTCAAACAAGCGCTGCGCCACAGCATCGGTATCTCCAACATCAACCAGGAACCCATTCTTCCCATGCGCAACCTGCAACGGGATGCCGCCAGCACGCGTAGCAATGACTGGTTTGCCTTTGTGGATTGCCTCGGAGACTTTTACCTCGAAGCCTTCGGATGTGGATAGTTGCAGTGCGACGGTCGCCTTGGAGAGAATGGCGTTCAGGACTTGGTCGCAGGGCCGCACGCGCATGGCGCAGATCATATGGCGGATATCTGGGACTTTTGTGTCGAGGTATTCGATTATGTCGTCGTAGATTTTTCCTCCGTCGGGATCATCTACTGATCCGTGTCCGCAGATTAGTAGTTTGGGAGGGACCGTATTTGGCGCTTCGGTTATTAGTTTGTTGTGGAATTTCTCATAGGAGACTAATACATCCTCAATACCCTTTGACGGGTCGAAGCGTGCGATCTGGACGATATACGAATCTGGTTTTGTGTTAGTTTTCACCGAGGAATCATATGCTGATTCAGTTACGAACCCTCAGGCCATTGGATAGTTGGCATATCCGCATTACGACAGGCTGCATTGAAGACGCGGCCATAGTGCGCAATGTCCCAGTCCCGCATATCCTTGTTCAGTCCATCCAACCTATGTCCCAGTCAGTGAGATGAAGGATGAAGGCAGATTATCAGACTTCTCAGCCCTTACCAGTCCGTTGCCGCAGGCATGTAGCCTACTATCTCTTGGGGCACATTGTGTGGCACGAAGGCGCTCACAGGGTGGCTGATATAACAGTCGGCTTGTTTAATAGTATCCCACAGGAATTCCCAGGCCTCCGCCTGTGGAGAGCCAGGTATGGCAACTAAGTCACTTCTGATTTGGATGTGGCTACGGTAGATGATTGGTCGATTCGGAGCTAGTTTCCTTGAGATGGGAATGAGGCCTGGCATCTGGGGATCGTCGATGATCAAGACATCTGCACCACCCTCTGATGGTGAAAGTAAAGGTCCACCTGGTCGGGTCCAGTATCTTCTGGCATTCTCCTCAATCCACTCCTGCAGAAGTTTCTTGTTCTCTGGTGTTAAGCGCTCGTCTGGATGCGCGACACCTTGGAGGATATTGTGATTTGTTTTGGTTACCCGGAAGACACCCGGGCGTGGTTTTGGAACGTACCTGCAAGAATTGAGTGAGTGTTTTATTCTTGCAATGACACAGATACATATAGGTACAGGAATAGACACACCATTTGATGTCAGTGCCCAGGCAATGTGAGAATCGCAAGAGAGCATGTCGCATTAAAGCCACACCACCACCCTGAGGCGTGGAACTGAAAAATGCCACTTTGACATTGCGTTCTTTCAATTCAGTGGCGTAGCGTTGCGTCGCGGTCCAAGTTCTATCTGAGACTGTTTTCTGGAAATCACTCAGGTCCGCAAGTCGTACATGGTAAGCTGTGTCTACTTCCACGAGCCCGAGGAAGCCCACTTGTAGCAGGGGGGTGTTTTCCGGTCCAAACAGTCTGTATACAATCAGACTTAATGACTCCTTTGTAATATTGAATGGGACCAACCAACCTAACACCTTTTCGGGCCATGGATTCAGCCTGTTCATCGACAGTCTTTTCATTCCATCCATCAGCTCTCGGGTTTGTGGTCTCACTAGCCTGTTCGATGCTGACTCTGTCGATGAGAGTTGCGTTCGACAAGACCAATGGAATGATGTCGAGCTCCGCCCAAAGGCGAGGACATAGTCGAGGGCAGTGCGTTGCAACATGTTCAGGCATTGATATTCCAACAAATTTCTCGAGATTGTGTGTTGAATACGCCCTCAGTTCGGAAATTATGAAGTCAGTAGCTTCGTCTGCAGACGCTCGGCCGTTTGTGAACTCCTTCTCGATGGAGTCTAGTAAATATGTGGTGTCACGGATTGCGATTGCTATAGTTGATGTATAGTTATCTTCAAAACTGCTGGATATACCAGCGTAGATAGTCTAACAGTCATGTTAGTGTTGTTCAAAGGTGGCTTTTACTGCTACTCCAGAGAGATTCATACATCTGACGGCGGCCCTAACCAAGCATTTCGCTCGTATTGTAGCGACAGTCGACGCTGCTGCGTGATTGAGGCATGACGTTCGAACTTGTGTCCTTCGCTAGGCATGACTCTTAGGTATTTCCAACAATTAAGATTGTCTCAAGAAAGGAGATATCAAGAAAAGAGCATGTTGACCACCTTGTGTGACTTCATTTGGTCATGACGTAACGACATTCCACCAGCTGAGATGTCGCCCAACGACAACCATGTTTCAAAACTCGTGATATTTGCCTAATGTAGTAGGATGGCGATAAATTGACTACATTGGGGGTGTAGCAAAAGTGTAAATTCATTGAAGTATCTTACAAGAAAAGTGACATCTTACACTACTTAGGTAGGTAGTTATATACTATCGGAATGATGGTTCTTCCGATGTCCGATCATCAGGGAAGGCCACAACCATGGGTCTTGCAATTTGATAACATCGAGGAATGTGTTTTTTCTTAGACATATGAACTTCCATTGTGTGTCAAACAATGGATAGTTAAAGCAAGTTCAAGGATGCTATATATGAGCTATACTTGAACTAACTAAGAAGATGAAACTGCCTCGTGTACCTCGTGGTAATCGGCTATGATGAGTAAGCTCAGCCCAAGCCCCTTTTCTAAGTTCCCCCGCCTCAGGGAAATTAGATTGAAGATCACGCACCAACACACCTTCTTTTCTCATTTTTCAATCCTTTTGTGGGCGGACCTGTCGTCTCAATCGAAGTCACTTTGTACGGAAACGTCTGGTGTCTTGCATTCTCTCTCACAAAACCCGCAATTCATACGCGGGTCGCAATTGTTGATATTCCGCCAAACAGCTCCTGAGCACGTCCGACACCGCGTCAACTCCCGCAATAATGGGTGGACAAGTATCTAAGATGATGGGCAAGATCTTCGGGACCAAGGAGATGCGTATCCTCATGTTGGGTTTGGATGCTGCTGGAAAGACGAGTATGTTTCCTTAACCTTACCAGGGACCCCGGTCAATATTGGCTAACATTCCTTCTAGCAATTCTCTACAAACTTAAACTCAGCAACCAGGACGTGACTACCATTCCTACCGTCGGATTCAACGTCGAGAGCGTGACCTACAAGAATGTCAAGTTCAACGTCTGGGATGTTGGTGGTCAGGACAAGATCCGACCACTTTGGAGACACTATTACTCTGGTACACAAGGATTGATCTTCGTGGTTGACTCCAGCGATACGGCGCGTGTGGAGGAGGCTCGCTCGGAACTACACAAGATCATCAATGATCGTGAAATGAAGGATGCTTTGCTTCTGGTGTTCGCCAACAAGCAAGATATTCCTGGCCGTGAGTATCTCCCGTTCCTGGAATTCGATTAATCTCCCCGCTGACCCACTTCTAGACTTGAGCCCGGAGGAAGTTACTCAGCAGCTTCAATTGACTAAGCTCAAGGACAAGCTGTGGTACGTTGCGCCTAGTGTTGCAACAGATGGAACAGGTATTTTCGAGGGTCTTGTAAGTCGTGTCCCGGATCTATCAACTTGGAACCCCCATCCCTTCTAACCTTGCTATTTTTTGTTAGGCCTGGCTCTCAAACAATGTCAAGACCCAGCCCCAGAAATAAGATGCACCGCTGTGATTTCGAGAGGCGCGCTCCCCAAGCAGCTTCGTTGTACAACATCTCGCATTATCAAGTGTTTTCCTATTTTCTCTTCATGTCCGTGTTCTGATGACAAGACGACGCAGCATTTGGGCTTTTGTTTCCTTGGTCTTTTCTTTTGTTGGCCTTAGTATCTCGTTGCTTTTTCCACTGTTTATCTTCACTTCTATGATATCCCCTCTGTTCTTATATGGGCTTGTTGGGTCCAATTTAATACTTTAATTCCATCTTGCTCTTTACCAGCATTGTTATGTTTGTATATACCCTTGGTCAAATGTGGATGCGCTTGTACACATAATGGCTACAACAGAGACAGAGAAGACAAGTTCTGGGATTGATTATAGAAAATAGAAACAAATGACATACTTCTGATTAAAGTGCGAGATCAAATTCGCTTCTCCCGAGGTCGTCGTTTCCACGGAGCCAACCTCCGCATGGGATCCAGATGTTCATATAGCCATGGATCAATTCCATCCCATTCGGCTATTTCTCCTGCTACCTCAATATGACGATAGCGGAACTCGCCCCCCCTGTCCTGTGCAAATATAAATAGTATGATAGTTTAGAGTTGACTCATGCAAGAGCCTCTCTCTATTAAGATATCAAAAGACTGCCGTGCTAGGATATCCAAGTTCACGACTCCCACACCTGCTACTACCACTGCCTCCATCAGCCCCAACAACAACAATGCCAATGCCTCGCTACAAAGAAGGAGACAAAGTCAGCTACAAACCGGTTGGCGGTATGGTGCACCCTTTTCTACAATATACATATACATGTCCAAATGAACCACCGTCTAACAAAATACAATAGGCGCGCAATCTAGGACCAGTATGAGCACCGGACTCATTCTTGAAAACTTGGGGGTCGTAGCTCGTCAGATGACGAGCCGCGGTATAAAATCGAGAACATGCACACCCACAAGAGCTCCAGTATCAAGGAGGGCAATATCGAGGGACCGGCGGAGTAAACCGTTGATCTTTCCGGTACTGGGAGATGTATATTGACTCCGCATACTAAATTGAGTTGAATTGCTTTGTCTAAGAATCCTCAGTGTTCATGGTGTAAGCCAGTAAGCCATTCTAGATTGACTCATTGTCCAAATATTGATGATTTGTGCTAGCATGATTGGATACGCTGACGTTAACATTGTTTAGTTATATTGGAAGGTTCTACGGGCGACTAATATTGAATATATAACTACATATGTAGCTATGATCTTGAATGCTTCCTTCAACAATTCAATTCAGATTCAGTTCGCCCATTTTAGAAGGCATTAATATTTTTACTGCTGGCAATATTACCTAGGTAAGGTTGACTGTTAGGTAACTAATTAGTAAACAATCTCAGTGCCTGAATGACGTAGAAATGTGACAAAGAGAGAGCCTAAGATATATTTGATGCCTTTGATTGGTTTCGTCACCGCCACTTCAGCATACGAAACATAAGTCCGCTCAAGGAAACCTCAACTAAATCGACTATCCGTAGCTGATTGACGGCAGGTACCAATAAAACCATGTATATTCACAGCACAACATTATACTGATGCCTATTTCTCCAGACGATGAGCGACTTTCCACCGCCGGGGACCACCATCAAGACAAGGGGTTTCAGAGAAGTGTGCGAGGTAGATGGTCGCACATTTTTCCGGAAAATGGGTGCACAGGAGTGGACCGAGGACACTTCTAACCCGGAAGAGTTGAAGCCGCCAGTCGAAACCCCGAATCTCTATCTCTATCTCGTGCAAGAAGAACAAGCCCCCGGAGAGCCCAATCATTGGGCACTGTTCCTTGCCGACGACAATGAGCCCGACTACGGCTATGTTTACCAAGTCACGGGAGATGCAGAGGATATGAAATACGAACCATCGGCTGAAAAGGTCAATGTCGTTGACGCCGGCCTCACTTCCAACGTCTATACCCTGGCTGTTGTGTCCCAGGAACAGGCCAGGGCAGCCAGGTTGGTGAAACAGGCTGCCGAGGAAGAGCTTCCTCCTCAAGCGGAGAATCGGAAGTCTGTTACGGAGAACTGTCAGGGGTGGACTGTGCGGGTTATTGACAGGCTGGTTAAAGAGAAGATTGTTATGCCTCAAAAGCTTGAATTGGTGAGGTCCTTCATGCAGGCTGTTTGACGTCGGGAGATAGCCAAAAGGCTAGTGCTGCATCTCGCGTTGCATGTAAACAGACAGAGAATATTTTTAATTCTTGCGTACGATGAGAGGAGGGAAAGAATTTGGACTGAAAAGAAGCTCGTTAACTAGTACATTCAAGAATAAAGACATCAAGTGCTTGTTCAAAGAAATATCATAATTCGTCCAAGGCATCTAGTAAACAACCACCGGAAAGCCAAAATCCCAAGCCCTGTTACATTTGTTGAAAAGTAACGAGAATGGCATTGATCAAATTCTTGGATATAAAAAGGGACAAACAAGGGATTTTATGGTTTGGATTTTATTGTTTTGCTTAAACACCAAATTTAAGCCTGATTGGGCCAGATATCGTTGGCGATATCACGGACCAGCTGCAATTTGTTGATCATGCCATCCCAGTCGATAGCATTACCCTCACGATGAGAAGCAAAGCCACACTGTGGGCTAACTCCGACCTGGTTAAGCGCAGCATCGAGGGAGATGTTGTTACCCTCAGCAATAAACTTAGCAGCATCAATGACCCGCTTCTTCATGTCTTCCTTGTCCTCAAGTTTGGCGAACTTGCTAGTGACAACGCCCAGAATGACGTTCTTGTGGGTGGGCAGGGACTTGAGAGGTTCGAAACCACCGGCGCGGGGAGTGTCGTACTCGAGGTAGTAGGTGTGGACGTTCAGCTCCTGGAAGAGCTTAATAGCAATACGGTCGTAGCCACCCTCGGAGAAGTGCCGACTACCGACAAAGTTACCGCGGCATAGATGAACACCGATGTGCATATCGGCGGGCAGGTTTGCGAAGCAGTCGTTGTACTGCTTGATATACTTCTCGAACATGGTATCGGCGGAGTATACGTTCAGAGGGTCCTCCTTGAAGCCAGTGAGGAACTTATCAGAGCAGAAGTCTGAGTGAAAGGTTAGTTTAGTCGATATTGGCTGTATGGGTACATCTTACAAGCCAGGTTGGGGTCGTCGAATTGGACGTTACGGCAGCCGGCGTCATACAGGATCTGAAGCTCGGCCTGATAGGCCTTGGCAATGTCGCCGAAATAATCCTCGTCGTTGGTGTATACAGACTTGGGGTAAGCCTTGCCCTCACGGTAGCGCAAGTGGTACCAGTTAGGCGCGGCGAGAGTAATCTTCAGGTTTCCGACCTCGTTGGCAGGGACCTGGCTGGCGAGGTACTTGAACTGGTCGATGTAGGTGCTACCAACGTGCTTGATCTTACCGGTACAGATGACGCTCTCACCGGGCTTGTGGCCGGCCTCCAAAAATGCGGCGATATCGGGGGCATAGGGACGGAAGTCATCCACGTCGACATCGTTGACTTCCTCGAAGCCGTCTAAACCGGGGAAGAAAGTACCCCAGAACACTATATCTGTCAACGCGACTCGCCCAATGGCTCTCTTGATCTCTTACTGTGGCGACGGTACTCGCCGTCGGACAGAGCGGCATAACCAAGCTTCTGCTGGGTCTCAACGATGGCATTAATCTCCTTGTCCTCGGAAGCGGCCAATTGCGACTCGGGGATCTTTCCAGCCTCAAAAGCAAGCTTGGTTTCCAAAAGCTGATCTGGGCGCAAAAGAGAGCCCAAGTGCTCTGCGCGGAAAGGAGGACGCTGATGAAGTTGAGGAGCCATTGTGAATAGGTTAACTGCGAGAGATGATGAGCGTTGTTTCTATAAAGATGCGATAATATCTTACCTTGCAATCTACTAGGACAAATCAATATGAGAAGAAAGAAAGGAAGTTTGGGAAACGGATAAATCGAAAGAGGGGCATGGCATTGTCATTGCCATCTCATCCGAGGCGCTCTCCAGGGCTACAACGAATCCAGCCATGATAGGCATTGCCCCACAGCAAAACGCTGAGGCTCTCCACATTTTCCGATTTGGCTGACTTGGCCTACGGGTTTCCTTTGATTTGTAGTTGCCGTGCCGATCTGATCTCCTTGGGCAGTTAGCTGATACCAGTCGTTCATATAACAGGATATATTGAAGACCCTATATGGATGTAAGTTGGTATGATATGACAATGCGGGGGATCCTTGGCAATTGAACAGTAAAATAGTTCCCCAGTATTCTACTCCATACAACAAGTAACTGCTCCGTAAGATTGTTGTGTCTCCTCGGGTATGTCTCAAATCTATTAGAGTGCACGGACCATGAGGTTGCCCGCTTCTATACATTCTCTCTGTAGTCTGTAGTCTCTCTGGTTAAGTGTATCTATTTGTCTTATCCCCCAATCCTTTTTCTTGTCTTCTCTTTCAACAGAGCTCACACAACTACATTCACTCTCGTTCTGTAAAAACCATTGAAAACACCATCTGCTGAGTCACTGATTACAAAGAGTTCAGTGGAGCCAACCCATCGATTGGAGTGGGGAAGCCCGGCACTTCACTTTCATTCCCTCAGCCGACGACTACTCCCATTCAGTTTACTAGTGCACTCCAAGTACTCCCGTACACTGTCATACTGGGCAGTGCTGGATATCCAATTGTAAGTAATGTGGGGCGAGCCTCTCGACATGAGCAATTTGCCATGTCTGTGTCAACCTCTCTGTCTCCTTTGGAACTCCTCCCCAATGAGCTCCTAGACCAGATTATCGCCTACTTGACTTCGGAGCCACCGTCATTTGGACAACTACATCACACGCCCAGTCTGGAACTCACACAGTCTCCAATAAAGGACCTTAAGCATCTTGGACTATGCTCACGGTGCCTATTTCAACTTGTACGACCTCAGCTGTTCACTCATGTCCGGCTTAACCTCCATGATGAACCCGACTTCCATTCTTTTATGACCAAGTCAGGTCTTGGTCAATATGTGACATCTCTCGTCGCAATCGCAGATGAAGCCCCAGATCGTCAGGTCAACCCGTTATGGTGGCGCCAAGTCCTCCGCTATCTAGATCCCCGCCGTGTTCTAGTAATCGGGCCGCCGGTCTTCATTGGCAACACTCTAGATAGCCCGATAAACGATGGACACCATTGGGCATTTGATATGCCCCTACAGATATTGCTTTTGGAACGAGAGTGCAAACCTCGTGACCCATCCCAACTGCCCGACTTGGAGAATTATACTAGTCTCCTAGCATCACGACCATGGACATCGATGACTTTTAACGAGTCGTCTTCTCTGAAAGCGTACAACCACTACGAGTACTTTCTTTCCTGTGTCCCATCGGTTCTTGTAGAATGGGGTACACGTGGGATACCTGGAACAAGCCGTGAACTTGAACGACCAATCAGTTTGCCAGCTCTATTACGCCGCCTCACATACTTTTCCTACACGGCTGTGTTTCCATTTTACAATCACTCGCAAATTGTAATGGATTCTATCGTGAGAATGCATCGCCTGCAACGCCTTGATGTACAGCTAGCACCCCCTCGAGATAATCATATCACCGAGCTTGAACAACGAGGGTCTATGGATCCTAACGATCCGTGGATGGAACTTACAACCTCGTACTCTCTGATTGGGTATACTGTGAATCTTCTGCCCTGTTTACAAGAGTTCAGGTGCGGCGACCTGCATGTGGAGGCCATGCGGCAGGATCTGCTAGCCGTTTTGGACGATGCCATCGGGGACAAGGGCTGGGTGCATGATGGGCGTGGAGTGTGGAGGCGAGCTTGACCATTTTTCTACAAAATATATCTTTACCATATTCATACTAAATTGAGTTATTTCTTTAGGATCAAGAGCAACATTAAAACAAATTTCTCCAACATAGATTGAACGTTTTAAGTACCTAGGTAGTTACTATCTTGTTGTAGGTATGTTGTACAGTCGATCCGAGGGAAGCTCGGGGGTGAGGCTAGACCAAATCGGGGATATCCACTTCCGCTTTTGTCTCCACCATCAACCACTCGCTCTTCGCTTCTTCTCCTTACATTATGTTATCAGATTTATAGGAATTTGCAAATCTTTGTATACACGGAGCCATGGCAAATGCACCAAATATTTACTCGGCAGAGCCTGCGTTTCCGGTCCTTGCTGATTCCCTACTCCAACGGTCAGAGTCAACAGAGAACGCAGCTCCTTCAAATGAGACAACTGCCAAAAATGACTGGAACCTCAAAAATGATTGGAAACAGGGTATCCAATCCTCCAAAGAAGCTGTCTTCCGGTGCGGGGTAGTCCTCGGCTTCTCCAGGCTGCGAGTGAGAAGCAATGAAAGCTACGAGTATATCGGACAGGTATGACTAACTCAACATCACCCGCTATACATTGTCAAGGAGACTAATACTACTATAGATTCCTCGATACATTCTCACAAACCAACTGCGGAGTATGCATCCATCATCTGAACCGAGCGCATTCATTATCCACCCGCGAAGTTTCGAGGCTTTTGCCCCAAGGACTCTACTCAATGAGCTGCAGTCCTCTTCCCATGATCGACCAGGTCTACCAAGGGATGATGCAATCCGTAGACTCGACTCTGTGCAGTTACTTCCCGTACACAACTTCACCAATGCCGCACAGGCCATCGGTAAGGTCTCGGAAGTGTTGGACGAGATCCAAGAAAAGCGTGAGCAACAGAGAAAAACAACCGAGGCTAGCCCTTCCACCGAAAACCCCATTATTCTCATCGTTGCGGGCCTTGATACCCTAACGGAAGGAGTAATTCGAGCCTCCAACCCGGCTCGAGGTGCAGCCGTTCTGACAGCTACACTCCGCACCTTGACGCATCTGTCCCGTGTGCACGCCTCTCATCTCTCGATCATTCTTGTCAATACTAACGGTCTCGGGACCATGAATCCAGAGTGGGATAAAAATCAACCGCCGGCTGGAAATACTACTACCCATGGGGATAGTGCTACAAGGCAGCCCCTAGAAGATGGCATCCACTCCATCTTCCATTCGGATATCCCCTCCCTGTTCCCAACCTTGCTCATGAAGACATTAGACCAAGGTATCGATACCCACGTGTTGCTTTCTGACTTGAGAGGAGCTCAGGTAGTCGAAGTGATCAAAGATCGAGTTGGTACGAGTCTAGGCAAATGGGGAATATGGAACGAGCAATGAATGATACCATTTGCCATGATGTCGCTATCAGAAAAAGACGACCTTGATCGATCTCGATGCAATTGTCCATAGGCTTACAAAAAAATATTCTCAAACAATGACAGATCCGCCCCTCGCAAAGCGCCGCTTTGTATGCAATTGGCCCAAAAAAAACCCGGCCACTACCATCCTGCTATATTAAAATCTGCAAAATACCAACTCCAGTCCATGAGCCTTTTGTTTTGCCTCTCCACAATCGAGGGGACATCAAGCTTTTGTTTGTGGAAACCGCTGGCCATGGAAGAAATCCATTCGGCATTCAAGCCTGATTATCCTTCTCGGCCCATCGTCTCATCACACTCCGCTCCACCACAGACCGAGCTTCATCCTCACACTTGGCGAGGTCCTGCTCTGCCGTTTCCTCCTCGAAGAGAATATCCTGCTGCTGCACTTTGACCCACTGCTTATGTCTTTCGCACCGCTTCTTAGTGCAAACGCCACGCGTCCAGAATGTGATATCGTCATCGCCGTCGCCATTCATCGCGGTGTCCCCGTCTGCATCGGTACCAGCCGAGGAGATCACAGCCAAAGCTTCAGCCGTTCCCTCCGCGAGAGCTTTCTTTCCAGCGTCGGAAAGTCGCCATTCATCGAATTCTTCGTCGGACCACGAGAGCCGCGAGTCAAAGCCACAGATATCTTTCCATCCGCCCTTCGGCTCGTGCTGCTTCAGTTTCTCGACTATGCCCTTGGCGCGTGGCTTGAGAAGCGAGACGAACGTCGTGCGTGCCGCAAGCATCTCTTTGCGATGGAGGAGCTCATCGCGCCGCGCGCGTAGCCTTTCGATCTTCGCAACCTCATCGAGCGAGTATTCCAGGCCGTTCTCGTGGACGTCAACTTCCAACCACCTGCCGCTCTGCGGCTTTGATTCAGTCTTAATCCCAGCTACAGCAGCTTCTTTCTGGTCTACCCGTGGTGGCGGGGAGATGATGCGATCTCCGAGCTTTCGGAATTCTTGCGTAGATGCTACCCCCATGACGGCAGCTTTCAGGTCTCCAGCTGTAAGAATGCCACCCATGCTACCCAGGTCTTCAAAAAGACCGTTCGCCTGACCGGCACGCTGCTTGAGCTTCTGAGTCTGTTGACGCATGAATTCCCGACCGTGGTCATCACAGCAGTACTTGCTCGGGGGGCTTTGTCTTCGCTCGCGCGGGTTTCCGGCACTCGACTAGGCGGCACATCGGTTTCCATGTTGTGCATCCTTTTCCTTCGCTTGCGCATTTTGGACCTAGTGTTTGAAATTAGTTATGAATAGAATAAAGTCGTCGCTCATGGACACTTACAGATATACCGCTCGATCAAATCCGCATCTCGAGGGTCGATATTGACGCATTTCCCATGGTACCAGTCATCACAGTCGCCATCACACCCGATCATCCACGTGTGGTTATCAGGTCGGCGGCAGATACAGAAGATCGCGTTTTCATCAAAGCTATCGGAGTCGTCATTTTCCTGGGCAGCAGCTGGTTTGGGCCCTTTCTTCTTTTTCTTCTGTGGCTTTTTCTTCTGCTCGGGAGGCGGTGACCCTGTTATCGAGACAGAATTTTGCTTCCTGGCGGGTGTCTTGCTCGCGCGGGAAACTGGTGTGTTGGAACGCCGCCCATCAATGCTGTCTGCGTCCGGGTCATTCACCTTCTGCTTCTTAGCGGCAGGTTTCTTTCCAGTTCCCTTCTTGCTAGTGTTTGCTGTGGACTTTTTGTTTGCTGGTTTGACGGAATTGGCTGGGGAGGACCGGTCGGACGATGACGCTCTTGATGTCAGCCCGTGCTTCAGGTTCGCCACTGTTTTGGATGTCGCGCAGTCAACCGTGCCATCAATTCCTAGTGAACTTGTGTCCAAGTCATCGATAGCTGGGAATTTGTCGGGAGTAGAGCTTGTGGGTTCGGTTTTGACTGACGGCAGGGGTGTATCTTGGTTTGCGACCAGCGGAATGCCCTTACTAGGGTCGTAAGCACCATCGTAGAGGTCGGTCCACGTTACACACTTCTCGGAACTGGCCACGCCATTTTGAGACGCAGGTTCAAGATCCCTGGAGAGGCGGTGGACCTTCTTAGCTCTGACGGTGCCAAAATATCCGCATTGTCGCCAGCCAGTAATCCCCACCACCCGGTTATCCTGAACAATTATATTGCTCGGGATGAAGTTGTTGTGTGTTAAAGATAATTCCTCCTCCTTGCTTCTTTCTGTGAATAGGATATCTCGTTCGCGGGTGTCGACGGAGGGCGGGATTTGGGAATTGAGTTCACGGCATATGTAGGACGGTTCGTTTTGGGGGGAATCGATTGTTCCGAGTCGTTGGAGGATCTGGCGACACTGGTTCTTGAAAATATCGATCTGCTCAACGTCAAGATACCTCCACGCAACTTCCAGCGAGACACCCGCAATGCGGGACTCGATTGTCACGTTCCTCCCCTCAATCATCCCGCAAAAATATAACACGGGCACTGCGACTCCAATATCTCTGAGCGACTCCTCTGCCTTCTGCGCGGCTGACAGTTCATTCGCATTCGCAGACGAGTAACTCTCAGCCGCCGCTCCATCGGCCGGTTCGCGGTCGACCCAAATAATTATACTCCCAACCGCAAATGCTTCCCTCGGCCCTGAGGTATTGAGTGAGTGTTCCGGAGTACAATATTGCTGTGCGACCTTCTCCCAGAACGAGTTCACGGCCGGGTCAGACCGATACCAGTTCATGAAGCGAGGGGTGAAATCGTCGGCGCGGGGTGCGTAGCGGCCATACTGCGCGCTCTGAGAAAGAAACGTGTCATCGCTAGAGATGTGATCGGGGTTTGTTTCGTAGGGGTTGTTTGTGGACTTTGTGACCGCGGAGCCGTTCACGTGGTTTGCGCCGGCGGCCGCCTCCATCTCCGCCATGGCTGTCACGAGAGGAGTGGAGGGGTATTTTGCGCGCGGGTTCGAGAAAATAGCTCCAGGATAATTCCCGTTCGTATTTGTGAGAAATGAAGTTTGTGTGTGGACTCCTGTGAGGTTCAAATATGCGAGCGATGATCGCGCGGGCAAAACTAAACCGATATGAGTTCCACCGAGACTGCCGGAGACATCATGTGGATTGCATTGAGGGTGTAGGGTCTTGCAGATGGCTTTTCGGGATTTTTTGAGTTTGCGCGATCCTACCTCTGCAATTGGGAGAGTGCTCTTGGTGGTCTCGTGTTGACTGTTGAATTCTCAGGTTGAGTTGGCGCGATCCCACCGCCGATCGAAGAGATGGGGGTCTGGTCCAATGTCTTCGCTGAGGGCGTTTTGTTGGTGGTTATGAGAAGGAAACAATCTGAAACCCTCCCTTGAACATATGGAATATTTGATTCCAGTTTGATTCAATGTCCAGTCAGTCCCTCGAGGTCTGGATTGAACATTGTCGGAGTTGCGGACTGAACGCGAAGGCGGTGAGAAGATCCCGACAGCGACTTCCTTGACTTCATTCTACTTCACTTCTCCCACTTCACTTCTACTCCTCCACGGATATTTTCCAGAGAGACGAATCAAATACTTTGACGTTTGATTCTCATTAACGTATTCAGCCAGAGATATCGACGCCCAAAAAAAGACATCATAGTGTCACCCCGGCATTTCTAGTACTGATATAGTGAAAAGTTCGAGATCTAACAACGCTCACCCTCTTCATCTCCAAATAAGGACTAGGAACGCGCAGTGCCATTATCAGTGCTATATTTCCTTCGCTACCTTTCGGTCCCAAATGCTCGAGGGTCATTGGAATGTCAATAACTTGCACCGTATGTCCATCACTCAAACCTTCCATTGTAATAAGACTGGGTATCCTGTTTCCATACAAGAAGTGAAGTAAATGACAGTACGGGCGGGAGTCGTACTGGTCGACAAACAAGTTGACTGCCTACCACACCGGGTCCAGCAATAGTAGCCCGACTAGGCCTACTAAATTTGTTCATAGTTGGGGAACAGCCTGAGTGCTATTGTATATCGGAACATCTATCGGAATACCGTCTTTCCGAGGATATCTCCTTAACTCAATGTCCTTCCTTTCACCATTCATTAGATCGACGAAACACATTCGAGGACCACACTTTATTCTCCCTCCCCTCTGGTATCATGGCAGCAGTCCAAAAGCTAAGCGAATCGACCCATACATTTTCGGGAATTATAGATCACACGCTAGATGATATTGAAAGTGTCTGTCATCTAGATAACAGTCATGATCGACGCGTTCCGTTTTACGGACTTGGACCGTTGGAAATTGTGCCTCTGGAAATCCTTCAAATGATCATTCTACAGCTTGATATTCAGTCAATAACGCATTTCCGACGCGTCAACAGACGAGCAAGGCTGGTCTAGATCAGATCCCACAATACAAACAAATCATTATGCACGCGCCAGCCTCAATCCGAGTATGTCTTAGTATCAGAACTGGATTTTCTTTTTCATGCCAAGATCTATATGATAAGCTGCGTACAGCTGAATGTGACAGCTGTGGTGACTTTGGTGGTTACCTATACCTAGTCACTTGTCGTCGCGTTTGTTTTCTCTGCTTTACCGAGAAGATCGACTACCTGCCACTCCTACGAAGCGACGTGATCCGGAAATTTGGACTTCGCTCAGAATATCTAGCAAATCTTCCTTCTTTCAAGAATGTTCCTGGTCGCTATCCATCCCGAAGAATCCAATGCCGCCGTCGAATTACTTTAATTGATTGATCATTCTGCTGCACGTGAGGCAGGAATCGTTATGCACGGGGACAGTATTTCAATGAAGCAATACGCATCAGAGAGTCTTACCAAGAAACTTGAAATTCACCAATCTCGGAAGGCGACATCCACTGGGGCGAAACCACGACTGCCCAGGTCTGAAGACCCGTTTGACGGGCTTTCATCTAATCCACTGCGTTTTATGGGAATTATTCGAGCGCCAGTTCAATGCTCGCATAGCAGATCCGCAATGGGGGTTTCATTGTATTGCTTGCAAACCTCATCATTACGGCCGTCCATTACACTGGCGCCGAACATTTACGAAGGAGAGCTACCGAGCTCATATTATAGAGTGTGGAGAGATCATTGGCGGCAAGCACAAGCCTGAGTGAACTGGCAAAAAACGAAAGGTTGATCCTACATGTAATACCTTGAAGTGTTCTCCAATATGTACGAAGTATATCCTATCTTGGGGCGGTTTTCCTCCTTGTGTCTCTACTATACGGAGAGGTTCTCCGTCCCTGCTTGCACATGGATCTCAAACGCCAGTTTGCCCAGCAATTAGCTGTTTGGGGGCCCATACACAGAACATTCGACCGGCTATATCGGCTAATACATAGCGGGATAAAGGAAATTGAGCTAACGGACTTGCAGATGCTGGCTTGCGATTATGCTTTGGGCGTTATAGTAGCTCCGCTACCGTTTGTAGGACACCACTCCACAATGGCACGGCACTCTATCAAGATGATCATGGCCAAAAATAGTATTTGCTTCAGTCTTATACAATTACACGATAGTATATACAAATGTACCTTGTTTTAAATGTACTTTTCTATCTTGAAGCTGGGTAGATCAAGTTTCATAGTGATGGTCAGATCAAGGTGCTTTGCATTAAGATTTTCAGTAACCCTTCACGAGTAGTGGGGGATCATCACTCTAGACACCTCCAACATCGGAAGTTAATCATATCCCGCCCCAGGAAATTGGCACACATGCTCAAGCTGAGAATGATCGGGAGTAGCCGATAAGACAATAGGAGAGACATCGGCTCTACCCGAGGACTTTTAGTGGAGTAAATCCCACCATTCCCCCACTTAAATTGTAAATGACCCCTGTAGATATCCACAATTTGTGGGACTTTGAGTGGGAACAATGCACGGCCGATAGATACAATCCATAACCGATGTACGAGAATTACTACATTGACAGGATGAAAGAAATGAAAGAAATGAAAGGAATGAGGTTGGACACTCAAAAAAAGTTGTATTATATTCATATGGCTGTCAAATAACAAAGAATAAGCCAATGTCTTTGACGAGTGTATATAGACTGGATTTAGAAGGCCGTGAAAGACTAGAAAAGGCCATTGTATGGAGGAAACTATCTCCGTATTCAACGTATAGAAGGCCTTAAGTCCCCTCACGTTTCTCTCATAATCCACCTAGAGCAAAATTCTTTTACCACCAACCAGCCAATCGAAAAAAATAAAAACAAACTTCACGACTACCCAGCATAATGACGTCCTATTCTAGGCTCCAAGCCAGTGTGTTCATGAATGGTAGGGGTCGGATTGCTGATCCACACGACGACATGCCCGATTATTGCTGGGTTACAGCGCATCTGCCCGAGAGTATGTCGTGTGATGGGCAAAGTGACGAGGAGATCATGAACCTTGTACTTTGCAAGATACAGATTGGGAATGTCATCATTGGTGATAGTGCCCTGCATAGCTTGGGATGGTATTGCCTTTCATTGCCGGTTAAAGTTGCAGCCGGGGAAAATACCGGCGAAGTTTTGTCTTATGCTGAAACTCTCGCGGAATGGTGGCTCAAGCAAATCCGCCTGGGTAGAGCCTGTCTTGACCAGTACAGTATTTTTGAAGCCACATGGCGCTCCCTAGAGCACACTAACAGCTTAGAGGATGTACCTCACGGGTGGGGCCAGTCTCAATAACCCAGCTACGCGTTGTAGATTACCTCTAATGGAAAGGGATTAGCTCATATCCGGCACAGAACAATGAATAATTTCTTTTTCTGAGAAATGGATATCCCCGAGTAAAGCGAATATTTGCCGGTGATCAACTAAAGCGATACCTAAGAGGGCATGTGGCAACCTAAAAACCACCATGAGGGCAGAGAATTGGGGATAGTCTCATAGTTTAAATTTCCAAAACTTCAGTCTGCATGTTGTAATATGATATTCAGAGCTTAGTCTATCGAGTCCACGGAGTATTCCGTAACCGTAACGTTTATACTCCACTGAAGTAGTCGGTCAATAGAAGACCTTTGCAGATTTGTTCAGAGACTTGGAGTATGATGGGGTGTTTTAACTGCTATTACATCATCAAGAATGCCACCCGTGGACATCTAGTAGTTAGATATCGTCAGCCACTAGCGCAATCAAACGACGTACAAGGCAATATAGACGAGATGAGAAGCAAATTTAGATAATAATAGCTCAGATATAGCTCACCGTTGAAGTCACGAAACCTCCCAGACTTCCTCCCTGCAGAGATCTCCCTTTCAGCCCCCACTAAAAAACCAATTTGCTCAACTGGGTACTCTGTATCCATCGATATCCATTGACGTGCATGACTCCTTGCAGGCTTTCCTGCAACAAATGAAAACCAGCTGGGAAGTTCAGGCAATGCTTCGATTTAATTGCCAAGGCCCTAGCGGAAGGTGCTTCCCCAGGGCCCTAAGAAAGGTATTGGCACGTGTGGTTCTCTTCCAGAGGTTCATCACGTAGATACGAAATACTGCAAGGTATGCAACAGCTGTGATGATGCTCTAAGCGAGGGAACTAAATGACCGCAGGACCGGGTAGAGTGCCGGGTGCACACCCGGGAACACAGAATTGCAGAATTGCAGAATTGATGATTCGATGTAACGTAGTGGAGACTGTTTACTTGCTCTAAAAGATGGATTTGATAGATCAAGCCTAACCTAATATGGAGGGGACACCTTTCAAGGGGATGATCCTATCGACCCTAAAGCCCTCGATGGGGTCTTAATTCTACTCCATAAGTATATACCGACGCATTTGGCCCCCAAGCCATCCAGAAGTGTATTGTTCATACGCAGCTATACGTAGCTACTTGTCCCCTGACTCTCTGCGCCGTTGATCCCCACACGTGTTGACCAGCGTGCTAGAATATCGCTATCCCACTCTAGTCTAGTTCGTCAAAAGGCGATGAGTGGAGAGCACACATCCCAACTAATGCTCGGTCTTTAGTTATCTCCATCGTGCAGTTACTATAATCCTTTTTACGTTAGATCGTGATTTGAAAAGAGTTTAGCCATTGCTAGTTTGTTGTTCTATTCTTGGATCCTTTTCGATGTTGGACTCGCCCCGTTGATTACATCCATCAAAATTCTCCATACTGTCCTTCCTTTACCCTACAAGGAGACGAACAGCTCCTGTGTTTTGACTACACATATCTGTTTCTCCTGTCGTTACATAGACTGCCAGAAAGATGTCAACCTCTCTTGACCAGACCGCTGGCAATGCGCCGGACGCATCCAATGCGCGGTGGCAATTCATCGACTCTTCGAACAACAGCCGAACCAACCTAACACAAGTGAAGCGCCATGTTATGCAAGAATATATGCGCCAGAGAAAAGGTGGCGCTCGCCAAAGTGAAAGTGAAGAGGAGGCACCACGACCAAAACGTGGGAGGCCTAAGAAGACTCGGGGTGCGCAACGGAGATCCGACAAGAAAGCGAAATCCGACGGTGACAACAATAACAATCAGCTCCGAGCAAGGAGATCAACCAGAAAGCAATCTACACGCAAAGAAGACCTCAACTACTGCGATGTATTGGTTTCGAATCCCATCTCGTCGGACCCTCCGTTGATCGAATCCAATGATATGCCCTCGTTTCCCCCTTTCCGACCATCTTCTGCCGAATCTCAAGATGTTCCCCTTTCACTAGATGGATTTGTCGATGTACATCCACAGAGTTCTCCAAGCCATGATTTATTTTCTAACGATTTCTCATGGCCATCACCCTCCACAATTCCATACCAGTTTATGCCATCACCAACTACTATGATCAACGATGCACGAATCGACACATTCAACACACTTCCTCTTCCTATAGAGTCGGGTCGAGATGGACACAGAATATTCGGCTCCTATATCAACGATATTCCAGCTTCGTATGGACCCCATTACCGCTCTCCCATGGCCCACGACGGTTATACACCGGCTTTTGTGCCTGAAACAATGAAAGGTACCCCCGCATTCCAAAACATCATTCTCATACATACATCTAACACTTCGTAATGAAGGCGACTCTCAAAATACTCTTTTTCACGGAGATCGAGCCATCTCCGTGCTCCGGGAGCACCGCGCCGACAACCCCCATGACATCTCCGACGTCGCAATCATTTCCTGCCTGAGTGCCGCAGCCCTGGAGGACTGCGATCCCCGACCAGGCCACAAGGAAATAAGCTGGGTGCACATGCGAGCCGCACGGGAGATGATAAGAGCGCGTGGTGGTCCCGCTGCATTTGCGAACACTCGCATCGGCATGATGATTAACTGGCAAAACTACATCTTGCCAGGATATGAGACTTACGGGCCCAGCTTCTTATCTGACTACGACCAACATGCCCCAGTCTCATCTGCGTCTCTAGCAACACTGACCCACTTCACCCCCAAAAGGAACCCCCGCTCAATGCCATCTCCGCCATATTCCACCTCCTCGGCCTCCTCAGAAGTCTCACCCAGCCCCGAACCTCGAACAATGCTCCCACCACACACAGAATCGATCCCAATAGACGAGATCAAGTTCCAATGCGAAGAATTCTTCGACTTTCTCCGACGCTGTGAACAACTCGCCCTATATCAACGCGATAACCCGCAATCGGCATACATCACCCGACACACAGCAGTCCAAGAAACATCCATCCTCCACAAAGTCCTCGTGGCACCCCCAGGGGCTCGATTCACAACATCAGATGACAGAAAACAAATGGTCGCCCGCTTAACAGCGTTGATGACACTCAATGCCGCGATGTGGGATTACCGCAACACCCCAGCGCGCGCAGCAATCTTCCTAGACACCCTGGAGAAATCCATGGTCGAAAGCGAAGTCGGCATAAATGGCTCCATCGAGGCCAGACTCCGAACCCTGCTTGAGTGCAGCGACGGCACTTTTGATGGCTGGCCCACCAGTGTCGATGGCTTTGCTTCTCCTACTCCGGTAGAGGAACTCCCAGACTTCTCTCAGTACTTTCCGACTGCTACTTCGCCCTCTGCGCGCCCTTGGTTTGCGGGCCGCATGCTGAAGGTTGCTAATCGGTTAAGTTCTTTGTCGTGGTTTCATGTTTATGAGTTTTTGTTCTCATGTTTGACACTCCAGGTACAGGAGTCGTCTACTGCTCTCTGGGAAGCGGATTTTCGTCGGGAAATTCTCGGTGCGCCAACCATTTATGCTATGCGCTCATTGACTGAGTAATTTATAGCAGTGGCCTGGACCAGATGATATGTATTTGTTCTTCTCTTTTGATGTTTATGTTTTCATGTTTTCATGTTTTTTACCCTCCTGTACCACTCCTTCGGGGCTTCTTATATATACCCTGTGATCGCTTATAACATATTGTGAATTGCTGATGAACTTGGAAAACTTTCAAGTGACGGAGCTGAAGTTTATATGCTATAAATTTGTATCTTTGGCTGACCAAGGAGCAGCAATCCATGGATATTCACTCCATGATGCATGCCCCTTGTAGTATATAGCTGCACCGCCGTCACTGCCCATCAACTCTTCATTTATAGCCTGGGTAATGACTTACTAATAAATAGTCAGCCCGACTCCCTTGGGGCCACCAAGAAGCCTAAAAGGTCTGGTACCAAGGCTTGGCACAAAGAGCTCATGGCAAATTAAATCAAATCAGACCTAGCCTACAAGCCGGTAGATCAAGAGAACCACGAAAACGATTTACGAGCTATTCAGAGAACCTAGCATAGTCAAATCAAGTACGGCACCTGAGTAGGTATAGATTCAGTGAAGTCGCCTCATGAATGTAACGATCTTTTAATTCAAACCCAGTCAAAATATATATTGAACCATTAAAGTGAAGACAAAATATCAGAACAAATATAATCTTCATATCTACATATCCCCACCAAATCCCTAGATACAGATCGCCAGAAGAATAACCATCATGGGATCCACAACCTGAATCACCGAGGACCAAGTAGCTCTAGAACACCGGACTCACTGCACCTATCGTAGTTGAAAACGTAGCTGTCCCCATTCCCCTAGAGTGGCTGATGGGGAACCACGAATGGGTGGAGGAGGCAGAGACAGAGCCACAGGCAATTAGGGTTTCAGTGGTCAAGTATGTGGTGTTTGATCTCAGAAGACATTTGGTCACTGAAGATGGGCATGTGGTGATGGTGGCTAACGTGGGCCAAATTCTCCAGTTCGTTGTTTTCCCCCTGGACGTAAGATAAACTATTGACGCCATTGACTCCCCCGCTCGCCTGTTAGTGCTCTGTACGTCGATGTGGTGAAAATAGCCGGCCGAGACTCCCACCCCAACACAAAACGGACAACTATTTAGTGCGGGGGTGTTCTAACCAAGCCCAATTTTCTAGATCGATCAAAAAAACATCTTGTGAAATACAGATGTCAATCCCACGCTTTGCCCTCGCCGCAGCCCTTCTGCTCGGCCAGCTCTCCACCAGCCAGTAGAAGCTCAGGTGACCGCGGAAATTTGCCGAACTGAAGTTGGGACATAGCTCGGTGAAGTCAGTACCTACAACACATTTTGCAAACTTGTTGGTATGCGGCTAGACTTCTTTATGGATAACCAGCCTAAATGGGCAAATAAAGCATCGCTTATGTATGGATCTCGCAGGATTGGTTCCAGGTAAGCCCTGGAGATCACGGGAAGTTCCGTGTGACTATTCCCAGGTAGGCATGTGGGCACGTGCCCAGGTGGGTATATGGTATATGTGGTTTGACACATATTAGCCATAGTAGCCTTCATGTGTTGGCGACAATAATGAATGCGAACTATGCTTGCAAATGGGTCTGGGTGGTTTTTCAATCAACCTGTTCCACTGATGGATTTTGTCGAGTGCATGAGTAATACGTCCGACAACGGCGTGCAGGGGGTTCTTCTTTTTGTGCCTGAAGAGGAAGCGAGATATTTTGCCGGGTTTGCCGCATATCCCAGTGGGTGATCAGGGCAACACCCGTCCACGGGTGCATTGAAGTACATCTCCAATGGACGGAGAAGGACTAGCCGTGGCGGGATCTGCCTAAAATGGGTCTGTGCACTTGATGCCTGAATCTGCAGGTGCATATCAGACCTTTATTGGGCGGGTAACCATGGAAATCCTGGTTTGGGGGCCAAAGTTAAATCAAATGAATTTTCGAAAATTACCGCAGGTTGCGCATTATGACGCTTCCAAGGTTTCTGGGTAAATGGACAGGTGGAAAGGAGAGAAGAGAAAGAACCAAAGTGTTGGGAAAAAAGGGCCCTTTCACATGCAAATCTTAAAAGTGGGGCCTTTGATTTCATGTGATTTTAATTAAATAAATTTGTTGAGGATACAATATAGAAAGGGGATGAGATAGCTTAAAGGAATGAGTATAGAGAGATGAAGAAAATGGAATAAAGCAAAATATCTCAATTGATATTCAACATAGAAATAACAAAAAGATCATAAATGTCCCAAGATGGACAAAATCCGGAGAATACGATAAGGAAGCCCGTTCCCGGAGAACCCCACGCGCGAACCCGGTGTACGGAGTACAGTGTCCTTGGAACGTTAATGGATTCCATTGGCATCTCTCGAAGCTTTTAGAACTTTAGATTCTCAACAAAATTTCGTGTTTCTTCGTTCTTCTCTCTCCCCATTAAACGTCGAGATTCCAATCAACCACAATTTGATACAATCAGCCCTTTTTTCTCCCACCTTATTTAGTGAACTTTGGCAGCGTTTGACTTATATAGCGTGATCATCCCATTCCTCCCTCCTTACCGAAACAATGGCCGTCCTTGACATCACCAAGGATTTGCCCACACTCTTTAAGCGACAGGTGCAGACAACCCCAGATGCCATTGCCCTGGAAGATGAGACCACGACATATACATATACCCAACTGGATCAAGAAGTTGAGGCTCTTGCCAGTCGTCTACGGACCTATGGAGTGAGCCGTGACACCCTCGTGGGTGTGCTCCTACCTCGCAGCGCACATTACGTGATTGCCTGTCTAGCAGCGCTCCGTGCGGGTGGTGCCTTCCTGGTTCTCGAATTGGCTTACCCCGCAGACCTCTTGGCGGATGTCATCGAAGATGCTAGCCCCGCGGTGATTATTACTCACAAGTCCGAGGCCGACAAAATCAAAGCCCCTGTCCCGGTAATTGCCTTGGATGGTCCCGTGGCTGAAATCAACGGAGACGCCAAGGAACCTTCTCCGTTGCCGGCAGATGACGATTTGGATCGCTTGGCGTTTGTGTCTTATTCGTCAGGAACGACAGGCAAACCCAAGGGAATTGCCAATCCACACCGCGCCCCGGTACTATCATACGATTTGAGATTTGCCGTGCAGGATGTACAACTAGGAGATCGGGTGGCCTGCAATGTCTTCTTCATTTGGGAGATGTTGCGGCCGCTACTGCGTGGAGCCACGGTGGTTATCGTGCCCGACGAAACCAGCTATGACCCCGCGGCTCTGGTTGATCTACTCGCGGCTAAGAAGGTCACGGAAACGCTCATGACACCCACTCTTCTGGCTACCGTTCTTTCGCGTTATCCCCGGTTCGGTACTCGTGTGCCTGATTTGCGCATCATTTGGCTGAACGGTGAGGTTGTGACAACCGATCTTGCTCGCAAGGCCATCAAAATTCTTCCCAATGCCCGCTTGCTCAACTGCTACAGTGCGTGTGAAACGCATGAGATCGCTTGCGGGGATATCCGTGATGTTATAGACGCCGACTCCATTTACTGTCCGGTCGGCCCATCGATTGTTCCTTCACACACCTACGTTCTAAATGAGGATGGAAAGGAGGTAGAGACAGGCACATCGGGAGAACTCTTTATTGGCGGTCCTCTTTTAGCGCGGGAATACATTAACCTTCCCGAAACCACCGCCAAGGCTTTCGTTCCGGATACCTTTGATTCTACACCCGGTGCTCGTATGTACAGGACGGGCGATCTCGCCCGCAAGCTGCCTTCCGGGTCCCTCGAAATCACCGGCCGCGTCGGCGCCATGATCAAGCTGCGCGGGTATTCAGTTGTGCCGGCAAAGGTGGAAAGTGACATCTGCCAGTACTTGGCTGTCAACCAGTGTGTTGTCACTGCGTACGGCGATGGACTGGACCGACAACTGGTCGCATATGTTGTTCCCGACGAGGCTTCCTCCGATCGCCCTTCGGTCGTGATCAACGAGTCTGGCCACTCCCCCAGCGCGCGTCGCGCCCTCGAGAACCGTCTTGCCCAATACATGATCCCAGCTCTCTGGGTGGCACTGGACCAATTGCCTACTAACGAGGTCTCCGGCAAGGTTGATATGAAAAACCTGCCTTCACCTCGTAGCTCCAGCCCTAATGGCAGCGAGCAAAGCGCAGGGAGGGACCCGATTGGTCTCAATGACATTGCGGCAATCTGGGAGGCTGTGCTGAAAGTCTCAAAGAACCTGATCAAGGCTGAAGATAATTTCTTCGATCTGGGCGGTCATTCTTTGTCTCTGGCAGATCTGTCATCCAAGCTTTCTAGACGTTTCGGCTTCCGTGTTCCGATTCCTCGTCTCGCAGAGAACACCACTCTTTCTGGTCACTTGGAGACTGTGCGTGCTGTCAGAGATGGCCATGCTGAAGAAGTACAAGCAAATCTGCCGGCGGTCTTGCTTTCCGATGCCACACTGGATGAAGACATTAAGCCCACAAATACCGCCATCACTTCAATCGCCAAAGCAGACACGGTGCTTTTGACTGGTGTGACTGGTTTCCTGGGCGCTTTCCTACTGAATGATTTGATTGAGAACACCTCGGCCAAAATTATCTGTCTTGTGCGTTTTAGCGACCCCGAGCAGGATGATCAAGCCGGAGGTGTGGCTCGAATCCGCAGGAACCTCCTAGACATGGGACTCTGGCGCGATTCTATTCTGGAACGTCTCGAAATCCTACCAGGAAACCTTTCTCGGCCTCGTCTGGGTCTGGGTCCGGATGAATTCGAGAGCATCGCAGCTCGTGTTCAAGTGATTGTGCATGCCGCAGCCACCGTCAACCTTGTTTACCCCTATGCTGCGCTTCGGGGAGCAAACGTGGGTGGAACCAGAGAGATTCTTCGTCTGGCCGCCAAGGGTGGTGCGACCGTGCAGTATATCTCTACCAATGGTGTTTTGCCGCTATCAGGTGAGAAGGGCTGGGCCGAAACTACCATACTCGATATCGAAGATGTCCCCAAAAAGCTACTCGATGGCTATGGTCAGACAAAGTGGGTTGCAGAGCAGCTCGTTCTCAAAGCTGGTGAGCGTGGATTGCCAGTCAAGATTCACCGGTGTGGTACCATCAGTGGTCACAGTGAGACAGGCTCCGCCAATGCGTGGGATTTGCTCACTGCATTGATCGTGGAATCCATCCAGCTTGGATACGCCCCAGACGTGGAAGGATGGCGTGCCGAGATGACCCCTGTGAACTTTGTAAGCAAATCCATTGTCCACCTTGCTACTCAGACCCAGCCAGACCAAACTATGTTCCATCTCGGAGATCCCACGCCGGTCAATACTCGATCAGTCTTTGAGGACCTCAAAGAGCTTGGTTACGAGACACAACCTCTCCCATGGGATGAGTGGGTGGCGCTGTGGTTCGAGAAGAGAGGCTCGGCCAAGGGTGGCGATGGTTCGTTCACCGTCGACATTCTTCGCAGTGGCATGCCGACTGTTGAGTTCCTCCGAGATATCGTCGTCCTGGATAACGCTTTGACTAGGCCTTTCCGGGCCGTTGTCGAGCGCCCCAAGGTAGACAGCCTGTTGCTGGAGACCTACACTCGGCATTGGTTTGCTCGAGGATGGCTACCCCGAGCCCCATCTCGCCAAAATGCCCTCAACCGATCTACGGCGATTTCGGTGAAGGGGCCACTCAGCGGCCAAGTCGCTGTGGTGACTGGTGCTTCTTCGGGCATTGGTGCGGCGGTAGCAGCCGCTCTAGCCAAGAAGGGTTGTGCTGTAGCACTTGGCGCCCGACGCCTGGATGCTCTCGAGAGCACCAAGCGCAAGGTCGAAGCCCACGGCGTGAAGTGTATCCTCCGATCCACCGACGTCACAAGCAAGACTCAGGTTGAGGCGCTCGTTCAAGCAGCAAGTGAGGAGCTCGGTCCAGTCGATATCTTGGTTGCATGCGCTGGTGTCATGTACTTCACCATGATGGCAAACACACAGATGGACGAGTGGGAGCGCACAGTCGACGTCAACTGCAAGGGTCTCTTGCACGCTCTTTCTTCGACAGTTCCCGGCATGCTCTCACGCGGCCGCGGCCATGTCGTCGCTATCTCCTCCGACGCTGGCCGTAAGGTATTCCCTGGTCTGGGTGTGTACTCGGCCAGCAAGTTCTTCGTCGAGGCCACCCTCCAAGCCCTCCGCCTCGAGACTGCGGGCGCTGGCTTGCGCGTGACGAGTATCCAGCCCGGCAACACTTCCACAGACCTGCTGGGCATGTCGACGGATACTGAAGCCGTCAAGAAATTCGGAGAGCCATCCGGAGCGAAGATCCTCGATCCTTCCGATGTTGCTAACTCCATTGTTTACGCCCTGACGCAACCTGAACATGTCTCTGTCAATGAGATGCTTGTTGAGCCTCGCGATGAGCCGATTTAAGCGACATCGGCATTCACCACATGTTTTATCGGCGTTTTGTATGATTTGCTGTGAAATATTTGTTACTTGCTAGTTGTGATATAGGGGGTTTTGATTTGATTCTCACAAAAATAGACGGCCACATAGAGGTAGAAAGGACATATTGTATAGAGTATAGAGTATTAGATACTTGATTTCCACACGCGCTTTGCCCATGCAACTCAAACCCATATGCTCTCATTCCACATCCTGCCGCAACAACCGGGACACATTATGAACTTCCGCATCCAAAGCAGCCGATGGCCCCGGTCGTTCATAGAACGGATGGTAGTTAACTTTGCCATTGGTGTTGTTGTACTTGTAGTTCGTTCTGCTTTTGGGGGGGACTTTCACTGCTGTTTAAATACTTTCGAACAGCTAATGATGCTGGTGGTTTTAGTTGCCTATTTGGGATGTGCCCGGTCGTGATATACCCAAAAAGGCAATCAGGTGGCATCAGACTCAACTTTGGGTGGAACCTTTCAAGGTTGGAAGCAGGTGGTTATCCTAGTATTGATGCAAAATACAACCTGAGAGGGAAAAAAAGAGTGTCATCGCGGAGAAACGATACCGTGACCTCCGCTCAAACGTTTTACGCCAAAAGCAAAAATGAGCTGGAGTCCGCCGTTGCACAACCGCAGACTCGAGCTCATTACCCATTGCACTTTAGTGTGGGGCATAAAGTACATTGGTGTGCATAACGCGCGGCTGATATGTGAAGTTCATAGTCTCACTTGATCTATAACTAGAGATGTTTGTGTCCCAATGAACAAACATTGTGAAGATATGAGACATTCTCTTCGTGATACTTCTTCTTTATTTCATCACTTCATAAATCCTATATCATACAAGTTAAACCTCCTTGGTTCCGATCTCATCCCCAGACGCACTGTGACTACTACCAATACTAACAGTGTCATAAGTAGGATGCATCGACAACGGATGCAGCCCCTTATGCCGAATCTGCGAGCGCGGCGTAATAGCCACAGGAGTGTTGACATCAACAAAAGAGCTCCCCGAGTGCCCATCATCAAACTGTGTTATGAAAACCTCTTCGACACCCTCAAGAGAACAACCCGCAGTCTCAGGATAAAACGCCCAAACAACCACCATCGCCGCCCAATTGAATGCGGCAAAGCAATAGAAATAATCCGACCCGATATTCGTCAATGCTATAGGCGAGCACTGCGTAAAGATAAGACTAACACTCCAGTTCGTGGCAGTCGCCATGGACGACCCGCGGGCTCGAAGAGGCGTAGGGAAGATCTCAGTCTGGTAGACCCAGGAGATCATGCCAAGAGCCGTGAAAAAGAATGAGAAAACAAAGAACATGGCCACGGCGGCTCGCAGAGCATGTGGGTTGACGTTGGGATCGCTGAAATCGATGTACCGTGCTAGCGTGGCTTCAATGCACAGGGATACTCCCATGCCCAGCAATGATGGGATGAGCAGTTTCCGACGGCCGACTTTGTCGATGAAACCCATGAAGACCGTGTACCAGAACTGGGCTAGCGCGCCCCAGAGTCCGATTATGATGAGGGATGTTGGTGCTGTCAAGCCGAGCGTGCGGAAGAGTCCTGGGCCGTAGTTTGAGATTACGTTTGTGCCTGAGCATTGGGTGAATGCCTGCAGACCACAAGCTAAGATGATCCTGTGTCGCCAGCGCGGGGAGAGGAAAAGGTGACGCCAGGATCGTACAGCGGATTGCTTCTCGGATGCTAGGCTCTGTTGGATTTGGAACATCTCATGTTCGAGTAGTTGGTTGTTAGTTACGCCTTGGTTGGGATGGAGTCGGGCGAGAACTGAGCGGCCTTCTTCCTCTCTGCCCTTTTCCATGAGCCATCGTGGCGATTCAGGAAGGAACCAAATGCCACAAGTCAGAATTATTGCCGGCACGGCTTGAAAGGAAAGTGGAAAACGCCAGGAGAAGACTCCTCCTCGAAGGGAGCATCCGTATCCCACCCATTGCTTTAAACTTGTTAGTTGGGTCAGAGCAAGATCCCAGTGGCAATTACTCACCGCAACCACGAACCCCAAGCCAATCATCCATTGCTGCATACTACCTAACATCGCCCGAGTCTGTGGCGGGGCAATTTCGCTCTGGGGTCACGTCAGATAAAGCTTAGCAGCTGGATCGTGTTTGTGTCCACCTACACAATAAACGGGAATAGTGGCAGACATCTGCCCAATTGCCAGACCCGCAATGCATCGACCGGCGATAAGCATCGCGATATTGACCGCGCCTCCCTGGAGGCCAGCGCCCAGAGTGGCAAGAAGACCACCGATAAAGAGGACCATTCGACGGCCATAGGAATCCGAAATATACGAGGCGAGGACCGAGCCCACGATTGCGCCTCCTGGTCACCAATATTAGATCCCGATCGCAGCAAGATCCGAGGAAGATAGAGACTTACCGATATACGAGGAAATGATTCCCCCAGCGACGGCGTCAGACAGTGTTGGAGACCCGAATTGGCGCAGAAAGGCCTCCTGCTCGATACTGGAAGAGATCACGCCGGAATCATAACCGAACAGGAATGATCCCAGGGCGGCAAAAGCGGAGTAGAAGGTGACGAGGTAGAAAGTCATAGTATGTGTCGCTTGGCTCCATAGCCTATGAAAATTGGCATTGGAGGACGAGACGATCCCATATAAGGCCCAGCTACGGAGTAGAGAAAGTCGCGTTTGGCGTTGTTATACATGCCGATCCACCTTGGGGGAGGTGGGACGTGCCGCAGGGGCACCAATTGCGAATGGAATGTCATGCGGGATGCGAGGGATCTTCAGAGTCGTTTCAAGACTAAAGTTACTAGAGGGTGATAGTCAATAGGCTAATTAATAGGGAGTTGTTTGGATAATTATGGCCCAGTTAACTTGATGTACGATGTTAATGTACATAAAGGGCTATTAATGAGGCATATCGTGAACCCGTGGATAGGGTGATAGGGTCATTTTAATGTTTGCATTCCCCATGACTCGCGTCACAGGGCTGTCAAAGCATTTTGACGCATGTCGCCTTGTTTCAAAGACTCCTCTGCATGACAGACCCCTTCGTGATGGCAGTGGGTGGCAAGGGCGTTCAGGGTCCAGGACTGTATGTTGTGCTCAGTACTGTATAATTTGTATCGCAATGGATCCTATCGTAGTGATGTGATGTCACAATATTAGAAATAGAATTAAGCAAGATATTAGTCTCTGTCCAGGTGATCATTCCTTTTCTGTGCCGGGATACTCCGTACATGATGGTACCTATGTTGTATGTTGTAACCATGTAATGCAAACCCCGGAGAAGGACCAATAGTTATACAATATACATTAATAAGACTAGTTAGAGTACTCGGGATAAATTCCAAGGAGAACCTATTAATAAGATTCCACATGAGTCTGCAGTTCAATTTCCAACCCAAAGGAATACAACACATAGGTCTGGAGTATGTTGTACATATGGAATTTTCTAATCTCCTCGGAGACTCCGTGACGGAGTACACCTAACTCCTTGGTGATTAGGTAATTATAGTCCGTACGGAGGAGGAACTGGGTCTAGTCAAATCGGGTAGTGGAGTGAGTGACTCGACTTCTGATTGGATGAAAAATATCAAAATCTCTGTCCCAAAAATGCCTCAGTCCGAAGGAGGAAAGAGGGAAAATTCTGGAAGAAAAAAAAAAAGAAAAAAGAAGAAAAAGAAGAAAAAAGACCCAAGACGGAAGTTAAATGTATCGGCGTCGCGCATATTGAACCCCCGAATATCCACCTGCCAGTCAAAAGGCGTATGACATGACTCTTCATGACTAAACTGAACTTGTTTTATGAACTTGATTATTTCTTTTCTGTTATTATCATCTTTTTTCCTCCAATTAAGAACTTGTTCTTTGTTATGGAGTACTCCGTAACTTGATACCTTGACTCTTGAAACCGTCTTTTGATATTCCACACACCGCCCTCGGGAATAATCATCATCATCGTCTCCATTTCCCCTCAAGACCCTTTAGATTCCCAAGACTCCAAAGACTCTAAAATCCTAAGATTCACCCTTCAACTAGTACTCCAAATTCTACTGCTTTACTTTTCCCCTGCGAACTGTCAATCGAACACCCGTCAGACTTTGCACCAGTCTCCACTATCCGTTTCTTCTTTGATTCTGCTTATCAATTCAAAATAAGGGCGATCCATGACATTTGGTGAGATAGTGATATTCACTTCGGATCGCCCGCCAAGGCCACCATTTGTCTTTACATGACTCCGTGCATTTTACGAACCTCAGATATCCAGTCATGGCGACTACGACGAGCCCTGTTTCTGGCGAGAATGAGGAGGATCCCGCGCCCATGAATGACTTCAAGTATTCGCATGATGACGATCATCATGACAGTCTTACCCATGATGCCTCCACCACAGATCCCAAATCACTACCTGCGCAGAAAAGGCGACGGGTCGGCCGCGCTTGCGACGAATGTCGCAGAAAAAAAAATCAAATGTGATGGCAAACAGCCATGCACTCATTGCACGGTCTATAGTTATGGTACGCAAAGCCCTATGCATTTAATCTCGGAGGGAAAAAAAAAAAAAAAAAAACCTTCATGTGCCCTAACAGTCGTTATGTAGAGTGTTCGTACGACCAACCTTCCAACCGTCGTCGAAATCCTGCCCCGCAGTATGTCGAGGCCCTTGAAAATCGGCTCCAAAAAGCCGAAGCCCTCCTTCGAATTGTTCTCCCAAATGTCGACCTCGATGATCCGCAACTAGACGTACATGCGACAGAACAGAAATTCACAGCCGCTCAAAAATCGAAACAAGCGACCGAAGATGCCAAACCGTCGATTGTACAAGACACAGTGCAAGAAGGGGCAGATGAGGGCCTATTGGAAACCATGGTCGACAATTCGGGCTGCTTAGATCGGGATGATCAGGGCCATTGGGATTATCATGGGCACACCTCGGGTGTTCTCTTTGTTCGCCGGTTACGCAAACAGTTGGGCGCCGCAGATATCTCGGGCCCAATGGCACGATCGCGCCCCTCGATAACCGCGCATATGCTAGATAGTCCGAAGTCTATGTCCGAATCGCCTCAAGACACAACATTACCTCCTACACATGACCTGCCTCCACGGGAGGTTGCGCGCCGCCTATGTCACAATGCGATCGACCATGCCTGCTCGTTGATGAAATTTGTGCATATACCCTCCTTTTTCGCAAGTCTGGATCGCATTTACGATACTCCCCCGGAACAATTCACGAACCAAGAGAACTCTTTCCTGCCGCTTTTATATATCGTCATCGCCGTTGGCTGCTTGTTCTCGGACGATGAATCGGGGCAGGGCACCCTGGATTTGTCTGGCTACGAAGACGCTATAGGCCAAGGGTAAGTCATAGGAAATCTGCAGTAATCTATGCCACCGACTAATTTCTTTGACAGGTTCCAATTTTTCAAGGCTGGTCGGCAACTGCTGGAGATCACCGACTGCCGTGACTTGGTTTCTCTGCAGGCAATCTGTTTTATGGTCCTCTTCCTCCAATCCTCTGCGAAGCTGAGCACATGCTACTCATATGTGGGAATTGCACTTCGTTCAGCACTGCGATTAGGTCTCCATCGCTCTGTTGCGGCAGACTTTAACCCCCTTGAACGAGAACTTCGAAAGCGCATCTTCTGGGTCGTCCGCAAGATGGACATCTACGTGAGCACGCTCTTGGGACTCCCTCAGATGCTGAGTGACGACGATATCGATCAAGAGTACCCAATGGAGGTGGATGGTGATTATATTACTTCGGAAGGAATCACTCAACCCCCGTCTAACTATACACCCCTGATGGCTGGATGCAATGCACACACGCGTCTTTCCAACATCATTCTGAAGGTGGTGAAATATATCTACCCCGTCAAGAATGCTCGCTACCGCTCCAAGTCAGACCAGCGATACATGGTCAGCCACTCGAAAATTCGGGAGATCGAGCGAGATCTGCAAAATTGGATGGAGGAATTGCCTCCTGCTCTGCGACCGGGCACAGAAGTGTCGCCGCAGCTTGAACGGTAAGTCTCATGTCTACAGCCGTAATATACGGAATCAATTTGACTAATATTTAACTAGTGTACGGCAATTGCTTCGTATAAGCTACGCCCACGTGCAGATGGTCATGTACCGCCCGTTCCTCCACTACGTGTCTGGTGGCTCTCAAGCGCGTGGCGTGGACAAGCGCTCGTATGCCTGTGCAGCTGCCTGCGTCAGCGTTTCCCGAAACATTGTTCACATCACTACCGGAATGCAAAAGAGAGGACTTCTCAATGGATCCTTCTGGTTCACCATGTATACGACCTATTTCGCTATCCTCTCCTTGATCTTCTTCGTGCTTGAGAATCCGGATTCACCTACAGCCAAAGATGGTGTCCTGAAGGATGCCATGGAGGGCAAAAATACCCTAGCCGGATTGGCCAAAAAAAGTCTTGCTGCCGACCGGTGTTCTCAGAGCTTGAACGTAAGTGCTCATGCTTTAATTTGGAATGGCTTTGACTAATTATATTGCAGTGCCTTTTCAAGACATTGCCCGAGATGTTGAAAAATCGCCAGAGCTCAAAGACTCCTGTCAATCTCAAGCGGCCCGCGCCATCCAACACTGCCGAGCCTGAACTGAAGATTCAGCCTTCCTTCGAGAAAACGCTGCCACATCGGTCAAGCACTTTCCCAGTGCAGATGATGTCCCAGACTCCTGTTAACGATGGCCAGAACCGCCGACAACGAAGTCTGGACAATGTCCAGCCTGTCAGCAATCGCTCTACTGACATTAATCATCAGTCCACTTGGATTTCAAACACGCCCGAGCTGCTGACGGAAACCATGACCACCCCGGAACATATTTCCTCATCAGGCATGACACCCTCTATGCCCACTCAAGAACCATCAAGTCTAGCATGGGCTCAGCAATTCACCAATCCGTCCAACCTCCCAGATCTCATGCCAATGATGTTCCCATCAGATGATCCATTCGCATACCCAACACAGCCCATGTCTACCTTGGAAGATGATCACTTCCGGCACGACGCTTCAGGCATGTCATCGAAGTATCCCTTCGATTCAGCGCCAGGCATGGGACCCGCCACACCCGGCGACCCCTCCAGCGCAGCGGTCTCCACCCCAACCTTTGACTTCACAAACCTCCCGAATTACCCCATGGCAAATCCCCCAGGGATCAAGTCATCAGTACCAAGCCACCTCCGCCCCTCCCACTCTCGAACCTCGTCCCGCGTCCACTCCCCAATCTCGCAGAGCCAAACGCCATCAGAGGTGATCAGCAGTCCAGACCTGGTCTCAATTCCGAACCAGAATTTCGTCTGGCAGGGCTACAATTTCCAGCCCAACAATCCGAACGAAATGGGAACCGAGTCCGCACCACAACAGCCAGAAATGCCCGGTTCAAATGGATTGCCTAATCTCAGCATGGGCATGGATGAAAGTATGGGTATGGATATGGATCTGGGGATCTCCTTTGATGATCTGTTTGGCAATAATGCCGCGTATCGACCGAACAATGGGGCGTCTGCTGAGGATTGGGCTCAGTGGATGAATGCCAACAGCATTTAACCTTTGTCTGGTTTGTCGTATTTGTTTGATCTGCTTTTTACGAGGATATGCTATCATGAAAGCCAAAATCTTGGTGTAAAAACTGTTGATACCTGGTTGGGGTTGGGAGTCTCACTTTTCTTTTTCACTTAGCTATATATATAAATGTATACCGAATTTCTATATCATTTGATGTCTTCTTTCTTTTCGAAGGTCGATCACTTGATGGAAGTCAGAGCGAGGTGAGTGTACCATTTTGGGCGGCTGTATGTGTTTAGTGTAGTTGGATCAAGTACTGGGTCAACCCTTTTCGGTCAGCCTCTGCAGATGCCTTCCTCCTCCCTCCCTATTCTCCTTGTTGCGATATATGGCAGATACCTACTATCTATATTTGCATCTGCGTTCTCTGGATATCGTCTTCTTGCTGACGTTATAACATCTTGACGGAGCGGTCGGGATCGGGTACCTCGGCATTCCTGCCTTGGTATACTGCTGATACACTATTAGCTATAAATCACTTTGTTTTTGTGTCGGCCATTGTGCTCAAGGTCCAGGCTGTGAGAGGATACATCGCCACGCTCATCGACAAAGGACCTCGGGACCTCGAGGGATGGCTGACTGGCCATCGTGTGTGCACCTGGACGGTTGATCTGGCTTCGTGAGTCTGTTTTGCAGTTGGAATGTCAATTACTAAGTGAAGTATTCCAAAGGGGTAGAATCCAAGGAAATGAACATCCATGGATGAGTATAGACCATACATACGTATAGCAACAAATCGAACCAGTCATTCAACGAATATAAATTAGTCCTGCATCCTCCCCCAAACACTTCCTTAACTCCGTATAGCTATAGATGTATAGATGTAACTATTTTGCTAAACGACACGATGTATAAGATATATACCGTAGTAATTAAATAGTAATAGGTAGTATGTTAAATGCTCCAATGAAGTCATACTCATCTTAACTTGGGGTTAGCCCACAATCTGTTTGACCCACATACTTCGACATTTCCAACAACCTCCAGAACCTCTCCTTCAATGGCTCTACACTACAACACCTATTCTTGATCATATTCCTCTTCCATTGCCTATGGGCCTTCATCTATACCCAGAGACGGATCGATTGTAGCATCCGCAAACTTCCGCCCCGGTCGCATGGAGATCTAATAATCCCAATTTCCCCTTGTACATTTACTTGGCTACATATCCCCGTGACTATTTATAGCCAATCCAATGGCATCACTTCCAAAGTTTTCTACTGTCTTTACCTGGGCCCTCTACTTGATCCCGGTATATATCTTCATCCTCGACCCGCTAGTGCGCGGATTCTTCCCGGGATTGCTAGCACCACGCGAGGACAGCGTCGACCTCTTCGACGAGTCCGACGCACCAGGACCTGGCATCAACCTCACCGACGACAGCTTCATCAGCCCCGAAGATGGCGTACCATTCAATTGTCCCAGCACAGAGGGGTATCGCGTGCATCTCCTCTCGCGCGAACCGTTGATAATTTATATCGAGAACTTCATCTCAGAAACTGAAGCAAACCACATCCTGGACATGAGGTAAACTACCAATCTCAACTGCAACCCCCAAGACGCACGGATATATACCATAATACACACACACAAGATAACCACAGACCAAGCTAACCGGACAAACCTCCCCCAAATCTCAGCGTGAATAAATACACCCCGTCAATCGTCTACGATGGCCAAACAGAACGAGTAGACCCAACCAAACGCCTCTCCGACCGTGCTCTTCTCGACCGCGACGACACAATCCGCTGCCTGGAAGACCGTGCCCGCGCCTTCCAGGGCTGGCATCCGGACTTGTACATCGAGCGCATGTGGGCGCAGCGCTACAATGCCTCCGGCCACTACCGGCACCACTATGACTGGGCCGGGTCGCTGGCGCGGGGCGGGGACCGTTTTAGCACGTTTATGGTGTATCTCGATGCGGACTGTGAGGGGGGGGGGACGAATTTTCCGCGGTTGAGGATGCCTTATGGGGAGGGGTGGTGCCGGTTCCTGGAGTGTGAGCAGCGGGATGGGGTAGGGAAGGGGGGAGATGGGTATCACATTCAAGCCTATCAAGGGTAACGCAGTATTTTGGGAAAATCTTCGGCCGGATGGGATAGGGTATCCGGAGACTTGGCACGCTGCGTTCCCTGTCACGAAGGGGACGAAGGTTGGGCTGAATGTTTGGAGTTGGTACCAGCCAAAGCGGAGGAACCGTTCGGGAAGGTGAGGTGGTACTTGCGCAGAGAGAAAACCCCTGCACGTGGGGTTTGGGTTCGGTTGGCTAAGCCACTGACCAAGTCATGTTCCAAGGAGGAACTGGAATGCTTGGGCTAGGCCCTCGTCAAGACCTGAGGTCCGGGATGACAAGCTTAGTAAGTATATATATTTATATAACTATCACCTAGGCAGGGGTTAGTCTGACATGTCCCGAGGTTAGGCCGAAATGTTTTAAATAGAATAGAACTAGATATAAATTCTACAGATGTAAATTATACAAGGTGACAGGTAGTTAGAACATATGTGGTTACATGTAAAAACATCGGATATCTCCAGTGCGGAATCCGAAACCGACTGATGCATGCCGGTCGTAACTAGGGCACCAGGCAGCCGGATTAAATCAGAGGACTTGTCACACTCGGACAAAGTTAATACAAAAGGGATATGAATGTGGTCATACCAAGACTCCAAGACTCCAAGACTCCCAAGACTTGAGTCTTGGTGCCCGGAGCGGGAATTATTGGCAAGAGGAATCACTTGGCTGCCAAGAAGCATTGCCCATGGGATGTTCTTGGAAGGTTGGCTTGGCGAAACGAATACGCCACTCCTTGTTTCATTCTTGGCTTCAATTTACTTTCTCAATATTGGAACATTTGAGCCCGTAAAGATGTACAGTTGTCTGTTAAGTAATTACCTTGAATTTACGGTGTGTCTGCACTAAACTGATTTAGGGTAAACGGAGGCAATTAAAATCGCTTATAAGATACATACATAGTAACTACATACCTAGGTAGGTTATAGGCCAGTTGTGTACTCCGTACAGAGTTAGCTTCGGCCGTATATTAAAAACCTTCGAATTAGATTAAAATACATGTACTCCGTACAGAATTGTACTTTGTACCATACGTACTGTACCCTACTGTGCTACGTGTTAGCTGTGGAATGCTCCCACACAGCCCCTCGTTCTCCCCCTCCTCTTCGGTCCACCAGTCAAAAGCCATGGCGCCAACGCCTCTTGGTCCTTGGGGCCCGCACCGACTCTTGGCCCGGTCTTGGTCTTTTGGTTTCTCTCCTTGTCCTTCCGCCAGGCTTAGCAAAGCGGTATTTTCTGGGCAAAGGCTCGGCTCCTTTTCCTCTTCTTGCGGAGAAACCCCCATTTTCTCTCTCACTCTTTCCCCCCTTTTCTTTCTCGCCTACATTGTATACCTATACGGTGTTTCCTCTATATAGTCATTTGATCTTCTTAGTTTGATCTCTCTTGTTCTCTTTCGATCCCTAGGCTTTCCGCCAACTCCCAGATCAAGTATTCTTGGCATTATGACGGAAAATCATACTCCTTCTACTACGGCGACCTTGCCTGCGCCTGTTTCTGAAACGGCGCCGGTTCAAGTAACCCCAACTCCATCCGCCTCAGTCACCGCGACGGCCGCCGCCGCCACCGCGGCGGTGAACAGCCCCTCCATGAACGGTGTCGGTGAGCAGCTGCCTTGCCAGTGGGTTGGATGCACTGAGAAGTCTCCTACGGCCGAGTCTTTATATGTAAGCTTGATCAATTAATCTTCTTGTCCGAAAAGAGATGCTAATGATTACCGTTTAGGAGCACGTTTGTGAGCGTCACGTTGGACGCAAAAGCACCAACAACCTCAACTTGACCTGTCAGTGGGGCACTTGCAACACCACAACAGTAAAACGTGATCATATCACCTCCCACATCCGCGTTCATGTACCGCTTAAGCCTCACAAGTGCGATTTCTGTGGCAAGGCTTTTAAGCGTCCCCAGGATTTGAAGAAGCATGTCAAGACTCATGCGGACGACTCCGAGATCCGCTCCCCCGAACCCGGCATGAAGCATCCTGATATGATGTTCCCCCAAAACCCGAAGGGTTATGCTGCTGCCACACATTACTTCGAGAGCCCCATCAATGGTATCAATGGCCAGTATTCACACGCGCCGCCCCCGCAGTACTACCAGCCACACCCCCCCACCTCAGGCTCCTAACCCGCACTCCTACGGCAATGTATACTACGCCTTAAGTCAAGGACAAGAGGGAGGCCACCCCTATGATCGTAAGCGTGGATATGACGCGTTGAACGAGTTTTTTGGCGACTTGAAGCGCCGCCAGTTCGACCCTAATTCCTATGCCGCGGTCGGCCAACGTCTGCTTGGTCTCCAGGCCCTTCAACTTCCCTTCCTCAATGGCCCCGTACCTGAATATCAGCAAATGCCTGCCCCTGTTGCGGTCAGCGGTGGTGGTGGTGGTTACAGCCCTGGAAGTTCTCAGCCTCCTGGTTACCACCTTCCCCCATGTCAAATGTTCGGACTAAGAATGATTTGATCAACATCGATCAGTTCCTCGAGCAAATGCAGAACACGATCTACGAAAGCGATGAGAATGTCGCGGCTGCCGGCGTTGCCCAGCCCGGCGCGCATTACGTGCATGGCGGCATGAACTATCGCGCGACCCACTCTCCTCCAACCCAGCTCCCGCCAAGCCACGTTACCGCAACCACCTCAACCCCCATGGGAGCTGCTTCGGCCCACTCCCCCTCGGTCGGCACCCCAGCTCTGACCCCACCTTCCAGCGCACAGTCATACACCTCTAACCGCTCTCCTATCTCCATGCACCACGCTCACCGCGTGACTCCTCCCCATGAGAGCGGCCCGGGCATGTACCCTCGCTTGCCGTCGGCAACTGTCGCCGACAGCATGTCCGCAGGCTACCCGACCGCCTCAGGTGCCGCACCACCCTCCACTCTGAGTGGTGCGTATGACCACGACGATCGTCGCCGCTACACTGGTGGTACTTTGCAACGTGCCCGGCCCGCCGAGCGTGCTGCCACCGAGGACCGCATGGACATCTCCCAGGATAGCAAGCACGACGGCGAGCGTACTCCCACAAAGGCTGTTCACATCTCCGAGAGCCTGATTGACCCTGCTCTGTCAGGTACTTCGTCTGGTCCTAACCAGGAGGCAGTTAAGCGTACTGCGCAAGCCGCCACTGAAGTTGCCGAGCGGGATGTCAACGTTGCTTGGGTTGAGAAGGTCCGTCTGCTTGAGAACCTACGTCGCTTGGTTTCTGAATTGCTCGAGGCTGGTACTGCTCAATATGGAGTTCAGACCTCTTCGGCTTCTCCTACTCAAGGACTTGATGCCATGGAGGGAATTGAGACTGCCAGTCGTGCTGCTTCTGAGCAGCCTAGGGAAGAGCACAAGCCTTCAAGTGAGGGAGAGGGAGTCTTTTATCCCACATTACGTGGTGTGGATGAGGATGAGGATGAGGATGGGGACTCCAAAATGCCTGAGTAAATTCTTCATCTCTTTCTTGCCTTTGGCCATAGCTTCATTCACGCCCGTGACGACATTTGTTTATTGCCTCTTTTTCCGCTCTACACCCCCTTTTTCTACTAAGGTGTCCTTTGTTTGTGTAAGGCTGTTTTATTTATTATTTTCTTTTTTTTTTTCAATGGAGAAACTTTCCATTTCTTTCTGGTACTTTTCAGGTGCTTTCATCTTCAAGTTTGTTGTCCTGTTTGTATGACTATTAGGGTTCCATGGAACTATTTTCAACTATGTGAACTTGTTTATTGACGTAAAGTGTTGTTTGCGTCTTTGTCTCCTTTACATCCTGTAGAACCTTAGATCCTTGAAAGATTGAAAGATTGGAAGATCGAAAGCGATGTTACCTTCTAGTACATATCCTTAAGAGATCGACCTGTCAAACCCAAAAAGGCAAAGTAACATTCCAAGCTAAACCAGATCCGGGGAGTGACGCAAACGGGCAGATCTCATTTTGATCAAATCTGGGGATTTGTGTACAAAAGTATGTGCATGCGTGTAGTAGACAAATCATTGATTTAAGATAGATAGTTTATACATGGCTATATACATACTAAGAACAATGAAGATCAAAGAAATACCTTACATAGAATATAACTACATGAAGGGATGATAGAAAATAATCATCGAACATCCAACATCTGCATCTGGATATGTTGAAGTTCCACTCTCTCTGCACTCGGAAGCATCTTCAATCCCACGTTGAGCACGTGCTGGTATTGGTATTTCAGTGCTATCTCCGCCTATCGGTGACCATTTCCTGTATTCATACACTGTTATGACCAACTCCACCACTCTGTTTACGGTCATATCCCAATCGCACTTCGTTTTCTTTTCTTTTCTCTTTTTTTTCTTACTTGTAGACTTTGTTTTCTCTTCTATTTGTCTTTCTTATATTCTCACTCTCTATCTCTCTCTCTTCTTTAATTTCTTTCATATTTTCCTTTTTGTTGTGATATACACGTTCTCCACGCGACAAGGCGGTCACCCCCCAAAACAGACGCCATTGCGCGTGTCGATCGGCCTAGGGATTATCGATAATAACATCCAGCCACACAATATCAACCTTTCGATTGGGGGAGTTTTCTGTTTAAAAAAATAAGATATCCAGCCTTTTAATCTTGTTGACAGTCTGACTGGATTCTGCTTTTTTCAATCTTTTTTCCTTTTCCTTTCTTCCGTGGTGGCAAATCCGTGCTCTGACGTTCTTCGTTCTCTGGTTCTACCATCTGAACGATTCTGGGGCGCTGAAATCCGAATCCAATATTGGAAAGGTTCACTGTTTTTTTTTCTTAAAACTCTGTGTTTTCCTTTTGCCATCGGCTTTCGTATTTCCTCTCTAGTGCCCCGCGCTTGTTTGTGGAGTACTTAGACTCGGACTTGATTGCCTACGCAACCGGAAGAAAAAAAAAAGAATAACCATCTACGAATCGATTTCGCCAATACATCATACCGGAAAGAAGGAGGAGCGAATTCCATACAGATATGCCGCTCACAAACCGCCGCCGCGCGCGGCGCAAGGAAATTCAACTGCAAGAAACTTCCGACGCAGAGGCTCCGGACTCATCGCCTAGTCGGCCATCCGCAAAGAAGCGCAAGGTGAGTTAAAACAACAGAGCGTTTAGTCTGAACCTAAATATATCCCCGCGCAAACAGGAGCTAAGATCCGTTCTCATCTGATTAGGTTGACCGCCGCGCCACCCCTCCCCCGAACGTCAAACAAGAGTCCGGTGACGAAGCCGAAGACTCGGCGGGCGAACACGAACCCGCTACCAATCAAGACCTGGTCGATTTAGTTATCTCATACCTGAACACACCCCGCGAGGAATTGCGCGTGTCGCGCGACCACTCCAACACCAAGACCGAGAATACCCAGCGCATCCAGGCTTATGCTAAGATCGCCGGCCGCAACTGGACCTATTACGTCAAAACCCTGCATGTCAATATCGGCCGCGAACCGGACCGCGAACAACGGGCTGTCGAACAGTCCAGCCCCGTTACAATTGCCGCTCGTGCGCTGCCAGATGTGCATGTCGACTTGGGCCCCAGCAAATTTGTGTCGAGACTGCATGCCGAGATCTTTTACGATGGAGAGGAGACACCTGCCTGGCATATCCGTGTCAATGGCCGGAATGGGGTGCGCTTGAACAATGGCATTATAAAGCGCGGCACCGATGCGATACTTTCATGTGGCGACATCATCGAGGTGGCCAATACACAAATGATGTTTGTTACGCCCGGTGACGAGGCCAATATCCAGCCCAGCTTTATCGAGCGCGCTCAGCGCATTGCTAGCGGACAGGAGCCCGATCCGGCTTTGGCTTCCTGGGATGCCTCGCAGCATGCCCATCCTCAGCAATCCCAGACCGACGAGGCTGCGCCACCATCTTCGTCTGGCGGGCCTTCGTTGGCGCCTGCTCCAAAGTTCCTCAAGCGCCAGGTGACACCCCCGCCGCGGTCGCCTGATACCGCTGGCCAGCGCACGGCTAAACAGTCCCCGCTTTACAACCGAGGCATGATGATGGAGAGCACGGAGGAGATTGATTACAGCAAGGATGCTTCCAAGGACCTCAAGCCGCCGTACAGCTATGCGACGCTGATTGCCCAGGCCATTTTCTCCACTGAGGAGGAGAAGCTCACGTTGAACAGCATCTACAATTGGATCAAGGATAAATACGCTTTCTATCGACACTCTCAAAGCGGCTGGCAGAATTCTATCCGCCACAATCTCTCGCTAAACAAGGCGTTCCAGAAGGTCCCCCGCCGGACCGACGAGCCGGGCAAGGGCATGAAGTGGCAGATTGCAGTGGAATATCGGGAAGAGTACCGGAAGAAGCAAACACGCAAGGGCGGCACTCAATCATCTGCCCCGTCCTCGCCAGCGACGAAAGAGCCCCCGTCATCTGCACGCGGGACCAACGTTAGCAAACTCGACACCTCGTTCTCAGCAACCGCGAAAAAGTCACCCCCAGTTTCATCCCCGGGCTTCAGCTCATTCCCCGTAGCTCCGGTGGAAGCATACACACCAGAGCGTGGTTCCCATCTAGGTCGAGGCCTCGGCTCCGACCACCCACTGCGACACATGAACCCACGCGACTACGACGAACCCTCTCCGCTCCCATCGCGCTCGCACAACCACAATTCCAGCATCTCCACCCAGGTACAAAACAGCAGCAACAACCTCGCCCGCGCGTACGGAATGTCCGACAACGTAGCCGGGTCCCCACCAGTTCTCTCCTCATCCTACTACAACGAAGAACCCTCTTCAATGATCACCCCCCGCCCCACAACGCCAACAGCCCCGTCTCCCGCCCCCAAGCACAGCGCAGATCCCGTCGAAGTTCATGCCCATGAGCTCGCCCGCGCAGTTCTGGAAGTTCGCTGATATCGGAAGTACCCCTGCCCGTCCGCCGCCGGACATGAGTCCCTTGAAGGGCGAGGTGGAGGACCGCATTATCGGCGGGTTCCCGAGTAGCTCTCCGCCGCCGCCGAATCTTGTTAGTCCCAGCAAACCTGGAACGTCGAGTGGGCTTGGCTCGAGTCGGACTCTGCCACCGCTTCAGTCGGATTCGGGGGATACAAGACCTAATGGAAAATCCCATGCGAGGAATGAAAACCAGGAAGAGGAGGAAGATGATAATGGATCAGGGTTTGATCTTGCTCGGTATGTTCCTTTGCTTACACTGGTTTTCTATTCAATTATGTCTTGCGCGCAGAAACTAATATCATTTTTAGCGGTTTCGAACCTATCGGCTCTTACCATCGACAACTAGGCAATGCTGCGCGTGCGGCTGCTACTTGATGTTGACTTCGATGGTTGGTGCAGACTGTCTATCTTGTGATGTACAACATGTCCACTTTGCAGACTGTGTCTATGTGTTTTACTATTTGCTTCATGCTTCATGCTTCCGCTTCCGCATTACGAATGGTGTTGGTCGGTTTGATCATTTTTATTGTTTTTGGGAGGTTTGCTCCGATGACCTTGTCATTATTTTGGGAGCAGAGATTGGGAATCGGAGTTTGATTTGATAATTTTCTCGGGGAAGGTCGTGAACGGCGTTGTTTTTGCCTGCTTTCTTGCTTTTGCTAGTCATCCCGTTTCTAAACGGCCTTACATGTATGGGCTTCGGGGCAGATGTATGACATGTTACATACAATATTTTTCCACTACAACAGAACAGAATATGTGATCGTAGTGACATTTAAAGTTGATCTAGAGTTCAATCTAGAGTTGATCAGATCAGATAAAATCATTCAGCAACTGACGGCCAAAAATTCTCCTCCAACCAAACAATCTGCCTCCACCATTCCAAACATCTTCCCCGCATAATCTCCATCTCCTCCGCCCCCTTAATCTGCCCCGCCATTTCATCAACAACATCCCCAATCCGATCAACAAACCCTTCAAACTCAACACTCGACCAATTCTCAATAAACCTCTCCCTCAACGCACCCCCATCCGCATCCTTCTTATAATCCCTCTCCCCATCCCCCCATCCTCCCGCATACACCGCGCCGCAAACCTCCAAGACTTCAAATAACAAACCTCCGTAGCCCACAACACCGCCAACCCCTCCAAAATAGAAACCCCACTACTCCCAGCAGACATAAACATATCAATATAAGCCCTCGTCGTCCGACTCGCACAGAAGAAAATAGTCCCACACCGCTCACCACCAACAGGAGCAGGCTCGACGCCGCGTTCAGACTCATTGAACTGCGGTCCAGGCGCACAAACCTCGCCCCCAGACGGCATCTGGCACTCCCCCTGACTCAAACACAGACCGTGGCCAGACGCCCTGGCTTTCTCATCAGTGGACGCGGGACACGTGCCCCCGCCCTCGCTCCCATTGCCATTGCCATTGCCATTGCCATTGCCATTGTCATTCCCATGCGGCCCTTCGCACGCGCCGCCCGTGAACCCCGGACAACTCGCCGAGCCGGTGGTGGATATTCCAACGGAGGTAGTGATGTCCGAGCCCAGTCCGCAGGATGTGAGTGTGCAGCCGCCTTCTTCAGGGGAGATGGCTGTTAGATCGAGGCCGTAGTCGTTTGCTGTTTTTTCGAAGAAGGCGAGTTCTGTGCGGATGTTGACTAGGGCGTCGATGAGGACGGTTATGGCGTTTTGTTCTGGGGTTGAGAGGTGTGGGCCTTCTGAGGTTGGGTTTTGGATTGGGAGGCGGATTTTTGAGAGGAGGAGGCCGATGAAGCGGATGTAGGATTGGGCGTAGAGTCGGTCTTGAGAGAGCCATTGGCTTAGTTGGGGTTTTGGGAGGGTGCCGTGGCCGGCGGAGGCGAGGAAGGGGTGGGTTGTTGCGCGTTTGAGTGCATTGGGAGTGCTTGATAGCAGGTAGGCGGTTAGAGGGCCTCGACTTGTCATTTTGTTTGGGGCTTTTTAGGTGGTTGTTTGAGGTGGTTGGTGTTGGAGGGGAGAAGATCGGAGACTAAAATTGCGGGATGGGGCGAGGGTGGGACAGACATTGATATGTCGTCAGTGGGACATAACATTCCGGGGGTATATCAATTCCATAGTCACTTCTCACAGTCGCATGTATACATTACTTAGAACTATAACGAGAAAAGATTTAATATCATTTCAGCGGAGATTTCATTCAGCTCAGATTGTAGAAAGCTGCAGCTAGCACATACATCCCCCTTTTTTTTTTTTTTTCAAAGATTTTCTCTCATTTTGATCTCACGCATTCTGTTCAAATTGAAACCTCACTGAGCCGCATTCATTCTTTCAACGGCATCCGACGAGGTATGTTCACACGATTCCCAAACTGACTTTGAAGTTCCAGTCGCTCCGTCACTCCCACTTTCGTGAATTGACGATCGTTGCAGTTGGACGTCAGTTTTAATGACTCCAAACGGGGACTTCGTCAATGTTGTCGTGGGGAATTCCACCCATTGCAGCCATGGATTCAAACGTGGCATCGTCGCGCATGTCCTTGCGTTCATATTCGGGATTCACCGTGGCCTGGGGCTTATCCTTACGCTCCTCATTGTACTTAACGTTGGGCTCCTTGTCACCAACTTCAGCGCTTTCGTATCCCCACGGCCTCTCCCCAGCTACTCTCAGCATCAATCGAATAAGAGCGTGCAAGGTGTAGTGTGCATCGTTTCCCGCATTGTGCAAGTCGGGACTCAAAATATTCAGCAAGCCCAGCAGTGCTCGAAGACCTCGCGGCTGAGTCTCTCCGGTAGCAGCACAGTACAGCTCTGCCACGTCGATCGTCTCACGAATGACCGAAGACGGTTTGTCTAGATTGGCAAAAACCTGGCTTTCCGCTCTCTGGAGTTGCATGATATCACCATGGAGGTCAAGACCAACCAAGATCACAGTGCGCTCCCGATTCTTGTGGGAAGGGATCTCGTTTTCTCCCTTAGACTGAATCCGGTATGCGGGGATCTTTTCTTCCTTCGGGCGAACCATGTATGGGGGGTGAAATGCAGCGTCCACAACGTTCGGAATTTCGGCGTGTGGAATTAGCTCACTCTTGCCGAATCGGAAGTTACCAGGACATCCGGCAGTGTGAGTGTTGTTGACCCAGTTTCGGTACTCCTTCACACGCAGGTGGCGGGATCGAACAAATCTCAACCACCTCTCTCCGTAATCACCAGGGGGCACACCCTTCAAGTCCAACATATCCAGGGTCGAAATTCCAACCTCAGTCAGAGAGCCCATAGCGCCGTAACGGTCCATCCACTCAAGATCAATGCTGATGAAAATGGGGTCATCTTGAAAGACCCACTTGACAGGTCGCAAAACATCAATCGCTTCGATCTGACCATTGGCAAACGACGGCTGTGGAACATTCGGCTTGAATTCGGGACGCAGCCCAAAATAGGCTTGCACACGACTTAGGCACTCCTGCCACTTCTTCATTCGGGCCTCTCGTGCCGCCTGCTTGTTGGTTTTCTTCTTAATCTTGACTGCGGCGATGGACTGCTTGATTTTATTTTCAAATTCCTCGACAACACCAGGCTCAACCAGCTGTACCCAGGGTCCCCAGTTCTCAAGAGGCGAGGGAACCTTCCCCTCCAACTTCGTCTTCCGATCATGGGTGCTACTGCGGCCAAGGTACACAGGCGCAGGCAGTTTTTCATTGTTGATTTCAATCACGAGGCCTTCCTTGTCAGGGCCCGTGAGAGTTAAATTGAGGTTCAGAGCCGAATTAATTTCATCGAGCAGTGCTTGAGCTTGGAAAGTGGGAATCAAAAGCAATGCGGTTTGGGAGATAACCTGCGGAACAGACAGATAATACCTGGATGAGTATTAGCGACGATATACTTTGCTAATTAATTTTAGATTTCACATACAGGTACCAAGTTCGGTTCCAGAACTTATCGCCCTCATAAAACTGCTCATTCACTTTCTTGGCATTATCTCCATGGAGGTATCTGAAAGGGAAACGGGCCATTGCGACGGCTGGAGTGAACGACTTAGAAACCGGGATCGCAGTGACCAGCTCCTCGTCGGAATCCGTGTCAGAAATACTGTCGCCACGCTCGTCTTTGCGCAAGCCCGAAACATCAAGGTGCATTTCCGGAGTACGACGGTGGGGGCGACCATCCTGCTTGATCTCGGTCAAAGGCTGGTCTTCCGACTCAGGTAGCTGTCCAACCACATGGGTACGAATGTACGACAAAGGAAATTGGCCACTCAGAGGGTACTGCATGCCATTCTCCGGCTTAAAATCAACTGGGAAAGCATATCCACTTACGCCTTGCTTAGCTTTGTTGGATTCGGCAGGGGCAGGGTCAGCTCCATCCGCGGCTGGGGCAGGTCGGGCGACTCGGGCCTTGTTCAACTCGGTATTCAGATCTTTGAGACCCGGATCTCCTTCGAGGAGCATCTTTAAACGCTCGCGAACATCCATTTTGAAAAACTGAGATAAAGCTTAAGCAAAGTCGAGCGGTGAGATGAAGAGCAGAGGCAGGGGAAGTGGGACAAATGTAAAGAATATAAACAAACGCGTGGGCGCGCACACTGAGCCTTTGGGATTAGATTAGAATTGACAAATTAGGAAGGAACAGTCAGTTAAGGAAAGAGCGATGGGAATAGGGAAAGATGTACATTGGGAAAGAACTAAGGAAATCCCCGTGGTCTACATCCATATGTACCTAGTTACTCCAGGGCTATCATGAACTGATTATATACATTTATGTGTATGTAGCTTGTAGTGAAAGTACATTAAAGAGACCAATGTACCCTGCTTATTGTTCTCTTCGTTCTCTTTCTTCATGCAGGTGATATGATCCAATAGCTGACAAGGATATCAGTAGGGAATAGTTTCATTGGGTAATAACTTATCTAGCCTGGTCTGGGAGAGAAGTAAATAAATACTTAGCACTTTAGTTTGACTTTGAAAAGTCAAGAGAAATTGAATCAACTTTTGAACAAAAACACCAAGGCTGGGTATAGATACGTATAAATCCACAAATAGAGGACCTAATTCATGGATAGCATTTACGCAATGAATTAAGACAGGGCAAATTATCCGTTATATCGAGGTTCTTCTAAAGTTGAGATGCTCGACGATTTATGGGGTGGACGGATATATTTTTGATTATAAAATATTTATAGCTTGAAATGTGTAGTAGCGCTATATTTCTGTAGGTCTAACTTTCTCGTCTATAGCAAGCTTTTATATTTCTATTAAAGCCTCAGAATTGACTGGTTTTCACCTTAAGAGGAAGGGTTGGAGTCGCTACTCCCAAATACCTTCTGAGAGGTTAGAGGTGTTGTGCCATGGGGACTCATTAGTAGCTTTAGAAGCTTGTCAGATTTCTTAGTCTTTTTCTTAGCTTCTGTAGCCTAACTTTCTCAACTCTTCAATCAAGCATCTCACATTGCACCATGCACTTCGACGTCCACCACGTAGACCTCTCCTAACAAAGCTATTTTAATTAGTTAAGATTAACTAACTTAGCTCTTTACATACAATATAGGAAAAGAGGCCTAGAATATAGTAAGTAGGATAATGAAAATAGAGTATTAGTTGACACGGTGGGCGGGGGCAAACGGCTCCCACCTGGGCATTGATGCCTGGTTTGTCAGGCCAGTAATGCCTACATGTTTGACCTCCTTCCTCTCTCTTTTCCTTCTTTAGTCTTCTGTTAGCTCTACTATCCGTTGTCGTTTTCTTCCCTCGCAAGTAGCTCGCCACTCTACTTCTTCTCTTATTACTTGCAGGGATGTAGTTCTCAGGCCTCACAACCTTCCAGGAACCCACACGGGGATAGCCGTTGGCCGTGGCCCACTGGGGCTAACAGACCGAGGGTGGACCCTGACCCTAATTTACGTCTCAATAGTACATACCGAGGTAGTATTTGATTTTTACACCCATACCGCGTAAATCTTGTATACAAATATGTGGAGGCTAGAGTAGTTATGGTAAGTTTGGACATTGTCAAATTGATTCCATCGTACAAGAAAAGATCAGAACTACCTAAGTTGAGCCTTTCGCGACCTTTCCTTTTTCAAGCTTTCGCCCAAGGTAATTGGCATAGCCCTTCAAGCTCACTAGTCCCATCGCAATTGAAAATGTCTGATATTTAAATCTCCAGTCGCAAACCCTCAGGGTTCCAATGGCCACACACTGGGAGAGAGCCAAAGAGAAAAACCAGGAGTGAAAAAATGGTTCTGTATTCCCAATACATTTAGTAATTATCACCAATGGTAGGTATTTATTTATTTGCTTACAGGAAAGGATGTCTGGCGAGCGGTGCCATAAGGTATTTGACAACGAGGTTATCAGGATAGGAGTCCACAATCAACATGAGGGGTGAAGTAGGTAGCTCATCGTCCGTCTGGCTTCCTGCAGAGGATCCTAGGGATGGAATAAGTGTTTTTTGGAGGTCTTTTTTCTCCATATTGACAAGACTGGAAATGTAGAGAGGTACGTCGGAGAACTATGAGAACGAGAAAAAGAAACCCCTCCAAGTTTGGGCGGTGAAATATTAGCTTATGTCTTATAACAATAACAATATAATAATACGCGACTGTACAACAGCCTATGTACAATATAGGAAAAGACTAGATGCCACTAGATACCAGTACGACGGGGTATAGCGCTCAATGACAAATGCTTGAATTAAGCCTTGTTTTAGCCCGCTTTCAGGCCTCTCTATACAAGTGTAAACTCGGCATGGGATAACTAGGTGCCGTTAACTCCATAAAAATGAGGCTTTTCGTCCCCATACATCTCCAACTTTTTGGACGGTTTATAAGTGTCAAAAATAAAGCGGTTTTCGGGAAATGACCTTGATCTATCCTGTTTTTGTGATTTTCAAGTCAGATATTGGTAGATAATATAGATATAGGTGTTTGCTCTACATGACTTTGCAGCAAGAGCAAAATTCTGCTCGATGTTGAGCGGCGATTCATTATTCTATGGCGAACAATTTCGAATCAAAACATCTGAAGCAATTGACATGAACATTGACATGCGAAATCCTCCTTTCCGGTATTGTCTTTCTCTCCTCAAACGATGTTCATTCCACCGACTTCAAGACTTGCTGCGCTCCCAAATAGGGCAATGACATACCCAGTAGCTCCACAAGCCCTCACAGCTCATGAGAATCCTCCCCAATAGACAATGGGCCCTTTTTAACCATGATAGTAAGGACTTCATATAGAACATCAGCGGCAGCCCTGCCAAAAAGTCAGTTTTTGTTATATCTTCCGCTCAAAGTAACCTACATCGTGGACAACTCTGCATTGGTATCATAAGCCGGCGCTACCTCAACGATATCCGCACCAATGAAGTTCAACCCGTCAAGACCACGGATAATTGTTCGTAGTTCACGCGTGGACCACCCGCCAGTCTCTGGTGTGCCGGTAGCCGGTGCAACTGGATTGTGTTCTTAGCGACAGAACAAGCCACAATAGACATCTTCGAACAAGACTCACAAGCAGGATCTAAAGTATCAATATCGATAGAAAGATATACTGGATTATCGGTTCCAACACGATCGCGAATCTTCTTGATAATACCGTCCGTTCCTAGAATAATAATGAGCAAAAAGCCAACGCTAGTCGACAAGTTAACATACCAATAACATCAATCTCCCTCGCCTCAACAATCTCAAACCCGCAGTACCCATCATTGTCATAATCAGAAGGCCCAGAAAGCGTCGTACGAATACCAGCATGAATGTTAGTATCATTCCTCAACAATCCTTCCATCGCCGCATGGTAAAAGTATGTGCCGTGATTGATAGCTGCAACATCACTAGGAGAGCCACCGAAGACCTTCGGTTTCCACGAGTCCCTAACCAAGTCAGTTATTCGTCTATACTGTAACGCTAAGAGGCCTCACAAATGACTATCAAAATGGATCACCGTCACAGGCCCATAGGCTTTATTGATACTCCGTAGCAAGGGCAGTGTGATGGTATGATCACCACCAAGGGTAATAACACGAGGAAGGGTCTTGCCAGCACGTGAAATACCCGGTTTATCTGCGTCAAGGTAAGGCTTGCGCATCAGGATGCTGTTGTGCCCTTCTTCGATCTGCCGGATTGCCCAGGCATTGTCGTAGCTATGTCGGGATTAGTTCCTTATCCTTTGATCCCCGATCATAGACATACGAAGTAACAGGAACATCGCCACAATCCAAGATTCGCATATCGCTGGTAAACGGATTCGCCTGCAAAGGCACATTGTAACCACCGCTGAAAGCCAAATTTTTGTGAGCGTCATTCGTGCCATGTTGAAAGCAGCTTTGCCTGTTGGGGCTGGTACATACTATAGATTGAGGCGCCGAGAACCTTGTCTGATACCGCTGGGTCCGAACCGGGCGCCGGGTCTGTAGGAGGTTCCGGTGTCGAAGGGGGCACCTGGTTGGTAGTAGTGTGAGTAGGGAATTTGTATGGTCTTGTCGTTGGCCGGGTGGACTGACCTAGGAAAGCGATGTCGTATTTCTCGGCGTCGCTGGCCAGACATGGGTAATAGGGTAGGCGGCCGAAAGTTGTGATTCCGGAGAATACGGAGTCGGCCTTGTTTGTTTAGTGGGATGGCTATCCTTGAGTTGAAATGTCAATGAATGGGCTGCTCACCTGCGTGCCACCATCTCCTGGGAGTGTGTTGTACCAGAGTCCTTGATGCGGACCAGCCAGCTGAGACTGGCTATGGTCACCATGGGCTGTGGTAAGAGTAGCCAGGACAACCAAGCCTGCGATGGAGGCAAACATTGTGATTTCAAGACTCAGGTTTGTGTATAGAAGAATTTGAAAGCGTTAAAGTGAGTACAAGCCGTTTCGCTATGGTGGTAAAACACAGGGCCTTCCATGATATATATATGCCATTCCTTGTAAATACTCTCTAAATCCCAGTTTGATTCACAGTATACAGTTGCATGCAACCAGTCGGCTTGCCAAGCGATAGTAACCCTCTACCCTTATTGCCCCGATACAGACATGATTGACAAGAAGTCGGCAGTCCTTACGATCTGCACCCATAAGATAAACATTAGCATCGACTCTTGAAAAGAAGAATTACCACTGCTAGGCAGTGGTTTATCTCTCCACTCCCAGTAACTTCCCTTTGAGGAACTGATGGCAGGAGAATAAGCGGCTAGTGGGGGATGTAGGGTGAAGGCTTGGCCACGACAGACATACATTATGCAAGACAGATCTATTCCATCCCAAAATGGAAGGCCGGGGGAGATGAGAACGGGAGATAAATAACTAGCTAATAGTTAGTACTCCGTAGAGTTGGGGAAGATAGGGGATTTATTTCTCTTAGTATATATGCGAAGGCTTATCGGTCGACCGTCATTGGTCGTTGCCGATCAATAAAATCCAGCATCTGATAGTTTGTTTGCCCGACAACGGAGGATAAAACAGTTGTAGGGTTGTTGGTATAGGATATTGTAACAATGTATGCAATATAAAACTGGTTACAGTAGAACGGTTATTAAACGTGGCTGTGTTGTGAGATTTCGAATGTAGGGAGACGTTGGACAAGACTTGTAAATCAATATCAACAATAATGCAATTCAATTTCTATCTAACAAGACCTACATATAGGTGACTATATAGTTCAATTGAATACACTCTCCTTCAAATCCCATCCTCCAAAGTCTCATGTACATCCATGCGCTGGAAAGCCTTCTGCACCTCAGTATCCCACCGACTGCGCGCAACAATAACCCACTCAAAGACACCAACCAAATACAAAGCAATACATTGTCCAATCCACAGACCCTTGAGTCCCCAACCGTGGAACGCAAGCCAGATGCCTAACGGCAATGCACCACAGTAATAACTCACCAGATTAACCAAAGCACCCACATGTTGCCGTCCCATTCCTCTCAGACTCCCCCACAACTCCCATTAAGCCCATCGGCAATTTGGAAAAGTGCCACATACGGTAATACCTCAGCCGTAAGGCTCACGACGCTGGAATCATCATTGAATATCTTGGCAAAGTGGTCTCGCGTCCCGATGAGAACAGCCAGCACAACACCGCCCAAAACCATGCTCAGCACGGCAGACATATGCGCCGCCCGCGCTGCACCGGCATCGTCCCGTTTTCCTAGTAGGCTACCGACGCGGCTGGATGTCGCTACCCCAATTCCGAAAGGGATCGTATTGAGTACTTGATCGGCTGTCATAATAACACTCTGAGCAGCGAGTGAGACAGTACCCAGACGCCCAGCTGCTAAAGCGACGATCTCGAATGCCCACCATTCCGTTCCAACGTGCACGACGCCTAGAAGAGCGAGTCGTGCAAATGTGTGAAGGTTTTGGAATGCCTCGCAAGACCATCCTCCCCAACACTCTGAACCGTTGACGAAGCGTGCGTAGAGAACTAGCAATGCAAATGAGAGCCAGTAGCAGAGTCCAGTTGCCAGGGGTGCGCCTAAGAGGCCGAAATCCAATGTGTAGCAGAATAGGAGGTTGAGACCGGCATTTAATGGTGAGATAATAAGCAGCACGTATGTTCCAGCTCGCATGATTCCTATACAGCGGTCATGGTTAGTCCTCATACCTGAATACATCTCGTGCAAACGTACCTTGAGCTTGAAGATACTTCTTCATAACCTCAAAATAGATATACCCCAAGCCCCCAGGAATCAAACAAGTCAAGAACCTCGCGCTGTCCTGCGAAAGTCGAGGATCTTGTCCAAGGAACAAAAACACCGGCTCGGAAAAAGCCCACAAGACAGCAACGGGTATATAAAAAAGACTCAAGACGAAGAAACCACGCTGTAGCAGGACTCCCAAATCATGTTTATTAGAGCTTCCTGTGAACGAGGAAGAGGCGAGTGTATCCATGGCCGTGGTACCTCCCAAAGCAATCATCCACGCTGTAACCATCGCAAACATCTGGGAGAATGCACTCGCTGCGAGGTTCTCCGGCGATGAGCGACCGATGATCAAAACCGATACTGTTTGGATGCTGTTTTGCAGTGCGTAGGCTAGAATCACAGGGATTGAGTCTTTCAGTAAGATCCAGAACTCGGCGAGGATGAGAGCTTGTGAGAATGGGCTTTCATCTTCTTCGGAGTCGCTCAGCGGTGGTTCCTCGTCGATAGGCTTGGAGAGGAGGGAAGTGTATTCGCTTGGATAGGGATTTGAGCCTCTGTTGCTGAAGGGGCCTGACATGGTAACTGAACTGTAACAGTATGTGCTTTTGTGGTAGACCTGACTTTGCCTTCCATATATTGGCCGGCTTGAGCAATTTGGCGATGTGATGGCTTTTAGAAAGAAGTGAGGGCACAGTAGTAAATTCCACCTGTTCAAGCAAGGTAGTTGAAAGGAGTAAAAACACTCCCATTAGAAAACCGCTTTTGGTTGGGAAAGTGCGAATTTATTTCAAGGTTATGACACGGTCAGCTTGGAGTTTGTATATCCACGAATCTCTCAGTGATACAGCAAATTTGCTACTATATATGATACATAGCTGGTATGAATGAGACAATCAAGGCATTAATTTTCGTGAAGTGTGTATTTTTTTCTCCACTGCTATGCCTTTTCAGTCGAGTAACCCAAGTTCAAGTCCGATCTCGGACGACTTCTGGTATACAACAAGTGAGAGTGCTAGAGCCCCGCGTTTCTGTGACTGCCAAAATTGGAGACTGTGGATTTGGATAGATTAGTCTAGTCTTCATCTCCAACTTGTGTCGGATATTTTTGTTTCTTGTTATCTGTGATAGCGGAGAACGGGATCAGCGTTGAAGTCCTCGGGTCTTCTCTAGATATTTCCCCAAAGCGGAAGTTGACTAGAGAGAAAAGAATGCTCGTTGTCAATGCAAAAGCCACTTTGATAACGCCCAAAGGGATGGTGTCATGCTAATGACTTGTTCTCCGCGGATTTGTTATCGTCTACTCCAATGCCGATCAGGCATGTCGTGAAAATTTACAGTATATTTAATTCTTGAATGATTTACTATAGTGGGACTGATTATGGTGTTTTCAAATCCATATTGCTAGAGCCCATGCGTTTTTAGCGTACCCCAGAGATTCCCCCAAGGTAGACATAGGTCTACATGGTTTTTAGGATCTCAACATCGGAGTCACTCTGCAGCCAATGTTTGATCGCCTGTCGCCCTTATCTTTGACACTTATCATTGACTCCAGCCAGTTGATTGGTACATTCGAACGACGTCCTCACATCCCCGTCACTTTGATAGTGGCGGGGCTCTTTGCGGCAATGATAGTCCCGGCAGTTATAGAATAACCGTTCCAAAGGGTCTATGTACACAAAATTTGAAGAAAGAAATGACCCAAATACTTCACTGTTTAATTGCGTGCCTCATGAATAAACATGTTATGACTTCGCCAAACAATTATTCGTAGGAAGAAACAAAATGGCAATAGTATATGACGCCAGGGCTTCAATACATATAAGGCTTATTCACTCGATGAAATAGTCTCGAATGCGCTTCATAGTATCCTATAAACTTTAATGACTTTCTTATCAGCTACTTGCATCAGGAGATTCTACCCTGGCAGCAAGGCCAGTAGACAGCCGATGGCTAGTTCCAGCACACGCTGAGAGATAGTCTTCAGCTCTAGTATATATTATTTTATATATATTCCAGTCCCAGATCGAGGTGTCAGGTAGGGCTTCAACGGCCAATACCATACTTACATACCGGCGTTGCCTTCTTTACTCTTGGCTAAGTACTCAGATAAAAGAACCTACAAGATGGCATCTTGCACAAAAGCAATCGATGATAAACGTGAGATTGGAGAGAAAGACACCAAAAGCGACGACTTTGACCCCACCCATACTCCCGTGGACCAGGGCACCCAAATTCTCTACAATGCAGAAATCAACAAAAACGGAATCAGACTTCACCCTCAGCCGACTGCAGACTCCCTAGATCCATTAAACTGGTCAAGCCTTCAAAAACATGGCATACTATCTATCGTTATGTTAAAGTACGTACAAAAGCAACTCCGAGATTCATTCGCTATTTGGCTTCATACTTGCCAGAAAGTAAACTCCAGTCTACATGTCTTACTGACATCTTGCTACGTCCTGTTAGATATTTCCTATTCACATACCTCACGACCACCACAGTTCCATCATTTACAGCGATTCAAGATCAATACTCGATTAGCTATTCGCAAGTCAACTGGACAGTCGCCGTACCGGCATTAGGGTTATCCGTCGGACCACTCATATGGTCATCGCTTGGTGATACCTATGGTCGAAGGGTGGTTTTCTTAGTCGGAACAATCATATCACTGGTCTCCACCATTGGCGCTGCGGTAGCTGATACCTATTCTGGATATATGGCTGCTCGCTTCTTCCAAGGATTTGGGGTAAGCCCAGCTTCTATAGTCGGAATGGCAGTCGGTATGTCCCAATCATTCATCTTCGGGCAAGATTCATATCTGACATTTACCTTGGGCAAAGTGAACGATCTGTTCTTTGATTACGAGCGTGGTCAGAAGCTTGGATTGTGGGTTCTAGCACTTGATTCCGGTCTGCTTCTAGGTCCTACCTGTAGGTTTTTGCCCGGATATCTTAAAACACCGGCCCGTCATATGTTGATATATGCTACTAGTTGGCGGCTTTTTGGACCTCGTGAGTGCCTCATGGATACATTGGTTCAACGCAATCCTCTTTGCGTTATTACTACTCCTCGAACTTTTCTTCATGCCAGAGACCCTTTACCCCCGCATCAAGATGCTTCAGCAAATGCCTCGTCTTGATGGTACCAATGCATTTCCGAGTGATATTGAAAAGCAAATAAAAGGAGATGACACGGCTATGTCCATGTTTCCGGCAGAGACCTTATTACCAGAGCTACGCAGGACAAAGAACCTACCATTCATCAATTGGCGCCCTATCCCCGGCATGCACCATCCCAAGCCGTGGGACTCAATCACTCGGTTTGTATTGACGTTTCAATTACCCGTAGTAGTTATCGCAGTTGTTGGATACTGCTTCGCCTGGTATTGGTGGGTTTTATCTGTTATCACGATGATACCGGCAGCTTACCCGACCTACACACCTCTTATCCAGGGACTGTTGTTCCTTGGACTGTTCCTTGGGACCTTTCTCTCGGAAATTGGATGTTCTGGACGATTAAGTGACTTTATTGTCGAGAAGTTGTCGAAAAGGAATGGCAATATCCGCGTTCCAGAGATGCGATTGTGGTTGGCGTACCCGGCTATATTGATCAGCACTGGTGTGTTTGGCCTTCCAGACGATATATGTTGAACTCGACTGACAACAATGTTTATTATAGTTGGATTAGTCGTCTGGGGTGTTAGTATCGACAAAAGCTATCACTGGATAGTAGGCCAGGTGGCATTATTCCTATGTGAGCTCTATATTGCGGTGTATATAGCATCCGATGTAAAGCTGACAATCCTCTAGTTGCGGCTGGTATCCAGATAGGCAATACTGTAACTACTAGCTACATTGTTGACTGCTACCCATTACAGACGACGAGCGTTGTCACTTTCTACGCTGTATTTTTGAACCTGAGTGCTTTTATCAATCCGGTACGTCGTCCAATATTTCTTGATAATGGGTTGTCTAATGAATGTTGATACTGACCTGATACAGTTTTTCATCGCCCCCTGGCAAGAGTCTTCTGGTTGGACCTGGACATTTACTGCCCAAGGACTTATTGTACTTGCTGGCGGGTGTCTGGTATTTGGTGTTCTGCATAAGTTTGGGGCTTGGATGCGTGCAAAAGCACCACAACCTTCATGGGTCAATCCGGAGTTTGATATGGACCCTTGATTTTCGTCTTCGGGGCCGGATTCGTGGCCGCACGCCTAATTCCGACCGTACCCAAGTAACTAAGGTATTAAATTTAATTTAAGAAAATGCACTTATTAACTAGCTAGATCTAAACGCAAGAGAGTACGTATACTTCACCTACCCTAGAGATAGTTAAAGGTACTACTGGTAAAGATCGGATCGCCGGCTATAACTAAGAATACCGCTTCATTATAAGTCTACCCCCGATCTCAATTATATAAAGGAAAAGTCAAGGGTAGAGAGCAAAGATTACGGCGTTTTACTTCTCGAGTTTAATATCGTTTCCGTTAAATACATCCACGCGTAAATATGTGATTGTCCCAAGAGGATAATTAGAGAGAATAGTACCCCCTACTCAACCAAAAGTCGATGTGCTGTTGCAATAGCTCATGATCCAAAGGAACATATTTGATATCCGGCCGATCTGCCAGAGCCTTGACAGTGTTTTGGGTCTCATAGACAGGAGTATACATACTTGTCTGCATCCGAGTCAAGTCCCCCAAAACTGGTTCCTGCAGCATGGGAATCATGGATTCCAATGGATTCCCTGGAGTGTGTTGAATCATGTCAATCCATTCCTGATATGGAACTTCCTTGACTGGATATCCAGCTTGGTTAATCAGGCTGCATGTCTTCTCTATACTCACCGACTGTGCCACATCCGGGGAGACGAGATGGAATGATCGACCGAGACTCTCAGACTTTGATGCGATATGTAGAATGGCCGAGCAGACGAATTCGACCGTCACATACTCTAGTCGCTGATGAGGAAGATGGGGGAACCCGCCGCTCTGAATGCACCCCACGATCAGCCGTGCAAAGAAATCATCTGCGTTTCCATAGCCCCGTGGACTGTCCCCAATCACGAATCCTGGTCGATAGATGGTCGCAGGTAAGCCAAGGTCCCGCGCCCTCTGGACCATCTCATCTGCCACCCACTGACTCTGCGAATATCCCATGTCATAAGGCAATGATTCCAGATGTGGTTTGAGCGGGGCATCCTCGAAGACTCGCTCCGTCTTGTTTATAAGACCAGTTACATTCCACGCATCTATCGAGGAGACATAATGCAGTGCCTTGCGTCGGCCCAGTGTGGCGAGTCGGATGATATTCCGCGTACCAACCACATTGGGTTCGTAAAGAGTCTCGTAAGGTTCACACCAGTTCACTCGCGCACCAATGTGGAAGATTACGCTCGCCCAGTTGCTGAGCCAGTTGAACTTATCCTCCCCTAGACCTAGAGTGGCATCTGTTAGGTCTCCATCAAGAGCGATGATCTTTTGGGTGCTCTCCAGCCTGCCATCCCAAAGGTCATATTTCTCCAACGCTTTCTGAATGCGATCATTTGCCGTGAGATTGCCACGGCTTCGGGCTAAACAGGCAACCTTCTTCACACTAGGCATGGACAGAAGTTGATGCAGTAAGTATGCGCCGACAAACCCAGTCGCTCCTGTGAGGAAAACGTGTCCCTCTTTGGTAGATTGCCAATCTGGGGGAGCGACTAGATCATCCGCTAGATGGGAGTCTTGTGCCCACCGCGTTGTCTGGGCAGCATCAGTGCTGTCTTCGTCGGAGCTTTGAAGGAGAGCTGTAAGACTCTCCAAGGTAGGGCTTGCATGCAGTTTTGCCAGCGTCACAACTTTTCCACTGTGGTGCTTGATCGTCCCTACTAGCTGGGCAGACTGCAGCGAAGTGAATCCTAGAGCGAATATATTCTTATTGGGATCGACGTGTGACACATTCAACGATTCTTGGAGATGCAATTGGAGCCAGTCGTCTTGGCTTTTCATTTTTGGAGCTTGCTGGGCTTTAGGTTCGTCTGCCTTTGGTGCGTTTTGTAAATCGCGAACCAGAACATTCCTATCAACCTTGCCACTGGACGAAAGCGGAAATTCGTGGACACTTTGGATCGAGCTGGGGACCATGTAATAAGGCAGATGTTCCTTTGCCCAATCGGTAATCCCGGAGAGTTGAACTTCCGTTTCACATTCAATTGGAATCACATAGGCCGCCAGATTTTCCGAGTGCTCCTGCTTGTGTTGGAGAACAACACACGATTCCACTTGAGGGTGTCTCTCCAGCGTCCGCTCGATATCGCCCAATTCCACTCGGTGTCCGGAGCATTTGACCTGTTTGTCTGCTCGGCCAATATAATCCAAAGTACCAGATGAGTCTTTCCATTGTGCCAGGTCCCCAGTACGGTACAGGCGGATGGATGACCCCTCGTCCTCTCCTAGTGTGGCGGTATTGACATAGATAAACTGCCTCTCGGTCTCTTCGGGTCGGTTCAGATATCCTGCTGCCAGCTGGGGTCCGACAACACATAACTCCCCAGTCTGATGTGCGCCGGTGATATTCCTGAGCTGTTCGTCCAACAGATAAACTTTGGATTCTCCGAATGCTCGTCCGATGCTGATGCGAGGATGTTGTGTTTCATCTAAAGTGACCCGGCATGTTGTCACAAATATAGTTGTATCCGTTGTACAAATTTGCTGGTGGGCCGTTGATGAGGACCTTCTTCATTGCTTTGACATTCACGGCCTCGCCTCCCACAAGAACGTGCTGCAGACCACGAAACGCGTTGGGCGCATTCAAGGCAATGACATTGAAAAGGGCTGTTGGTACAATCATCACTGTCACCTTTCTATTTTCCAGAAAGTCACTGAGAGCAAATGGATCTGTGACAATCACTTTAGGGATTTGGATGACTGTCGCCCCAGCAAGTAGCGACGCCCAGACCTCAAAGAGGGCGAAATCAAATCCAGGGCTGATGAATCCAGCCATACGGTCAGTTGGGCCCAACAGTGTAGCCGGTTCAGAGGCTAAGACATGGAGAATGCCGCAAGCCAGGACCTGGATGGCTTTCGGCTGTCCCGTGGAGCCAGAGGTGAAGATAATGTGGCTGCGATGGGTTTCCGGACATCCTGCCTGTACATCAATTGGGCTGGTCTCGCTGAAAGTGATATTCTCCACAGTTGCTTCTTCAACTCGGATAACTTCGAAGTCTGACACCTGATCCATGAGGGCTTCGTTGGTAATAACGAAACGGGACTTGATATCGTGTAGCATGGCCACCAGGCGGAGAGAAGGCATGGATGGAGTAACGGGGACACAGGTCCCTCCAGCTCGGAGGACAGCAACTTGCGAGATGATCTGTTGATAACCAGAGTCAAGTAAGATACAAACGGGCTCCGCGAGTTCGATTGACCTTCCACGCAATTTCTCAGCAAGTACATCAGCTCGTGCAATGAGATCTTGGTAACTAATGCTGGTATTGCCATCGATAACTGCAATCGCATTGGGAGAAGCGTTTGCACGCTGAACAAGGCGATGCTCCATTGCGCTTTCTGCTAGTCGAAGTAACCGGTGATGGTTGTGTTAAGACAGATATCTGACAAAATCTGATGGTCTAATAATGAATAGACCGTTTGACAATTTTGCTCCACCAGAAAACACACCAGAGCACCAGCCATTTTATAGGGCATCGTGCTCTGTCTACCTTTGCTGTCTATCCCAGGAAGGGAAAACTGTTGCCTACTGAAAGAGTGATCTATGTTCATCCTTGGGGTTTGTTACACCGGATGTGTGGTAAATCGCATTCGTTGACGTCTACTGGTCACATTTCACCTTCATTTTCTCTGAATAGAAGGCGATGGCTGATCAAACTGTTCAAACCTGCCCGGTGCAGGTGTTATACTACTAATCATTAGGTCATTCTTCACCCTTTTCGGCTCGCCATACTATATACAATAGGTCTTACATTGGATCTACATTATTTTATACAGAAGAATAAGTTACACTTGGACACACTTTATGCACCCGAAGTCACATTGGGCATATCGATGTGTATATCTACCTAGGTAGGTATGTATTAGTGGATTAGATAGTCTCTACTACCTACGGGTATGGGTCCTACGGGTCGTGTCTGATCAAACTATCCAGGCCTTTTACGGTGTTGAACTTTGCATTATCCTCGGCTTAACACATATGTGACAAAACTTACATTGGGTACATTATTAGTCGCACTAGACTTAATAGAGAATCAATATCAGCAACACTGTCAGATACTTCGATTAAGGTATCATTTAAACTGCGCTTTTCGCTGACGTTAATCGACGTAGTATGTAGATATTTCATACAGTTGCAGCTTTGCAGAATGCAGAACAGACATAGATTTGCAGAATAATATACCCAATGCAGGTTTTCTTGCATACGGATTTATATCCCGTGATGGGAGGCAAAACTTAGAAAAGGTGACTGAGCGCCTATGGCTAACTCCCATTTGACAAGCAACTATACAAATCGGGGTCAATGCGCTATAACACATTTGGTGGCGAGAGAATAGTATTCAGACTGGAATATTTAACTAGTGCGATAGGAAGCTTAGAAGTAATATATCCATTTATACAAAAGACAGAAGAGCATTTACGCATAAACAAGTCTTTCCTATACTATCAAATTGTCTCTTGCCCTGCAAAGCATGATGGTCTCCAAAATATCTCGTGAACACGTTCAGTTGTTGATATCTCAGATTAAAGAACCGGAATATGTTTTTTATCCGGACTCTGAAGGGTACAGAAAAAGCCTGGAAAGATGGTCAGCAGTTGGATGTCAACAAGCAGTACGGCCCAATCCATTACATAGGATGCTGAACTTTAACTGATCCACCATATAGGGAGTCATTATTCGCCCGACAAACACCCAAGATCTTGCAACTACCGTGCGCTTTTCCAGGGACAACCGACTGGACCTGGCAATTAAGGGCGGAGGACATTCCACAGACACCTCTTGCTCGAGTGATGGAGGTATTTTGATCGACCTTGGCGGCATGAGACAAGTCAGTGTCAACTCAATCGACTCAACTGTCACTGCTCAGGGTGGAGCACTGTGGAAGGATGTGAACGAAACTGCTGCTCAATTTAATCTAGCCTTAGTTGGCGGCACGGTCAGCCAAACGGGTGTCGGCGGGCTCACTGTCCGCGGAGGTTATGGGTATCTGACTCCGAAGTATGGGCTGGCCCTTGACAATCTTCTTTCCGCAAAAGTGGTGACTGCCGAGGGAAAAGTCTTACATGCATCCAAGGACGACCACTCTGACCTATTCTGGGCGATTCGGGGTGCTGGAGCGAATGTCGGGGTCGCAGCGGAATTGAGATTCCAGGCACACACGCAAGCCAACGAGGTCTGGTGCGGCACCATGATGTTCACGCGTGACAAACTGCCCGAGGTTGTCCACGCACTCAACGGTGCTCTCATTCATCCACAGGGGAATGCGGCAGCGCAATGTGTCTTTGCTGTATCTCCTGATACTGGGGCCCCAGTTGTCACCACGATCCTCGTATTCAATGGCCCCGAGGAGGAAGGAAGAACGCATTTCTCTAGCCTTGTTAACTTAGAATGTATCACCACGAACATGGAAATGAAGCCCTACAAAGTGGCCAACACCATGCTCGACGATGCAATGCCGCCAGGTGGAAGAAAAAAGATCATTGGAGTGAAACTCGTCCCCCCTATTCGGCCTGAATTTGCCTCGCAATTGTCCGAAGAGATCGGTCGCAAACTCACCACAGAGCCAGAATTGGCCAAAAGTTGTCTTGCGATCGATTATTTTGATCTTTCCAAGGTTTGTAGTGTGCCCGTTGCCGAGACTGCGTTCCCAAGTCGGACCAAGACTCTAAATGGGGCGCTCATCCTTCAATGGGTCGATCCGAGCAAGGACCAGGACATCATAGCATGGGGGAAACAATCCAGAATATGTGTGAGAGTGAGGTACGACGAGCTGGTCACAAGCCAGATAAACTGGTGTCGACTTTCTTCGGCTACACGCGTGGTGAGTACTAGACGGAGAATATAACTAGGGCTTGAGAAATATATACTGACTTTGCCTTCAGATGACAACATGACACCTGAAGATATGTTCGGAGTTAATGCTGATGCACTGCTCAAGGTGAAAAGAAAATATGACCGGGACAATGTTTTCAACAAATTGAATCCTCTTGAGGTATCTAGTTAGTATAGCAAGACATTGCTCACTACGGGCCTTGAACTATTTGTCATGTCTCACGGACTACACTTATGTGTCTACTCTCGTTAATTTATCGTTGAAAATGCACAATTGGTCTACTCCCACCATCATGTTCAGAAATAAAGAGATGAACTAGAGTCCCCAGCAGATCACCTTCGTTCTTAGGGCCTCCTTCCAAATTCATTCGACCTTCATTGCCACAGACCAGGGCTACAACTGGTTGATCCAGATCAATATGCAACACATTTCTAGATCAAGACGCGGCGTAGCCGCCCAACATGTGGCGATGGTAGTGATTGAACTCTAAGCCATCAATAGCCAAAAGTGAAGCAAGGGTCTAGACTTTAGCTCACTGCTTCGTTTTGGTCATGATGTCTTTCACATCCAATCTCCCTCTCCTTTTTTTGTAACCGGATTCCTCTCAACTAATATGGAACCCAACTCACTGACCCCAGCCTTGTACATCACGGGACTGGGATCACAATATCCGCCATATCTGCTAAGTGCCGAAGACCTCGATAAATTCGCATCAAGATTTCACGATGTGAGCCGTCCAGGGTAAACTGTTCAAGTTTGTTCGGCCCGCCACGGAAACCGGCTGATGTTTTGTACCTAGAATAAAAAAGCTGCTCCAGGTCAACCGCTCAACGGGTATCGAGACCAGATCTGCAGTCCGACCGTATGAGGCAGGATTTGCAACGCAGACGGACCCACCCTCAATCAGTGAGATCGATCAATTTTTTCGTCAGGCCGGGGTCGACCTCGCCGTCCAAGCATGCCAAAAGGCTCTCACAGAAGCACATGTGTCTCCCCAGCAGATCACCCACACGATCGCGGTTACCTGTACCAACCAAGGTAACCCGGGGTACGATTTTCTCGTGGCCCGTAAATTGAACCTCCCACTCCATGTCGATCGCATGCTTCTCCATGGTGTTGGGTGCGCAGGTGGGCTGTCAATTTTGAAGGCCGCAGCACAAATAGCCGGCGGGGCGAGTCTGCGACGGAAACCGGCCCGCATTTTGGCATTCGCTTGTGAGCTGTGTACGCCCAATGTGCGACATTATCTGTCGATTGCAGAACGCAGTCCAGATTCTGATCAAGTCAATATTGCAGCAGTTTTGTTCTCGGATGCTGCGGCCGCTTTTGTTCTTTGCAATGAGTATGCTATGGCTCAGGACGAGGAAGTCACTCCTCAATTTGAGCTTCTGGAATGGGGTTGTGATTTGATTCCGGGCACCGCTGAGTATATGACATTTTATGCGGATGTGGATGGTTTGTTAATCGTCGTTCACTGTTTGAAGAACCTCAGACTGATCGGCGCATATAGGTTATCGAGCTACCCTCGATCGAGGTATTCCCAAATACACTAAACACGCCATCGGACCGATGTTTGAAAGACTTCTACCGTCGTATGAAGAGCAATTCAACTCTCATTCAAGAGCAGGAGGGGAGCTGCTGAGCCCGCTAGGGATCCATGATTTCGACTGGGCCGTGCATCCGGGAGGAAGGGCAATTATAGATGGTGTAGCAGAAGTCTTGCTGTTGTCTGAAGATCAACTGCAGGCAAGCCGGGAGATATATCGCACACGGGGAAACTCGTCTAGTGCTTCGGTCTTGATTGTCTTGGATCGGCTTCGTTCACAAAGTAAAAAGGCGCATGTTGTTGCTACCTCGTTTGGTCCCGGTCTGGCAATTGAGATGGCACTTCTAAGAAGGTGTCAGGTAGGTAATTGATGATCTTGAGTGCGCTTTTGAAGGTATCATTATCGATGTTCGAGATCTCCCACTTACCATATCTCTTGATGGTGATTCTCCATTTGGAACCAAGTACCTACACCGTAGTGGAACCGAAAATGAAGCTAATTTTGATTAAACTGCACCCTAACTCATAAGCAGCCACCCCAGAATTCGTTTAAAATCGATTCGGGGAGAAAGGAGAGAAGGAGAGGAACTGAGCTAAGAAGAACGAATATCTACTTCCCACCTAGTGGGGGAACGCCTGCTGGTAAAAAAAAACAACAAGCAGCCAACGCTAACCCCTCGAAGACGAGTATGATCTCACACCGCAGCTCTTAAAGAATTACCCGACGGGCGCATGTAGTATTCGGTGTATGCGGGCTCCGAGTCATTATGTATACATTCACGTGACCAAGAGCTCCCCAGACCGTTTCGGAATAATTATCATCCGCTGTTTTTAGGACCTCGTGCAGCAAGGCACCCAGCTCCATCTGTTATCTGACACCTAGACCCCTCGATGTCCTCATTTACTATCCCAGAATCGCAGTGAATTTGGCAAACCTCAACATTGGTTTAATTTCAAGGCGCAAGCCCCCCTTCTACAACCTATCAAGTTCCAACATCCACCACTATCGTGCTAGAATGCCTATGACCGACGACACAGACGATAGCGGAGGGGTTATCCTAGATGGTCCCTTCGACCCCGACGCGCAGGCTACGGTAACAGACTTTATAGACTACACCGAATACCTCCCCGCAGACTTAATCCGTTCCTTGACCCTCATACGCGGCCTCGATGACCGATACCTCGACTCGGCGCAAGCGGTACACCAGCTCACTCAGATCTACGGTCAGCTCCCAGACCTTCCTCCCGATAACCGACCAGGCGCAATTGCGCTGCGCAAAGATATATCTTCTCAAGTCGATCGTGCCATCAATGCGCGTGAATCAGCATATGCCGAGGCCTGTCGTCTCTACGATGTTGTAGATCGCCACTTCGACCGATTAGGTTGCATCCGCCAGAAACTCGAAGGACTGCCGAAACCTGCTTCAGAAGAACCATTACCTCCACCCGAACCAACATCGAAGCGTGCGCGCGGAGGCAAGAAGACCAACAAGGATGCCACGACGCGTATCACCCTTCGATTGGATAACAATCGCAATCGGAGAGATAAAAGTCGGAGGCGCCTGCTAGGTGCGGATGGAGCTTTTGATCCAGACTCCCCGCTTGCTAGTACGGAGCAATCGGACTTGGAGAGCGAACTCATTAAATCTACCCCCAAGCCCGCTCGACCCCCAAAGAAGGAGAAAGTGCGTCGCCTAAGCTTGGGTAATGGACCGTCCACAGCTCAGGCTCTTGCGCAGTTGAAACCACCACCATCTGACGCGAAATTGGGCAGCGAGGACCTGCCATGGCTGCGATTGACCGAGTGGGAGATGACCAGACTGCGGAAGAAGATGAAAAAGAATGCTGTGTGGCAGCCAAGTGAAGTAATGATTCACCGTGAGCTAGCCCTGTCAAATCGCGGCTGGGAAGCATACCGTGCAGCGAAGGTCCTGGCAGAAGAGACGGGTGAGGAGTTCATTGACTGTGATAATATTGAGGAAACCCGGCGCGGGGAGGCCGCCAAAGATTTGGAGGAGACAAAGCTGAGCAATCGCGGAATGAAACTCAACGAAGCAAAGAAGTTGAAACGCGAACAATTGGCCCGTGAACAGGCATTGATGGAAGGCGAAGGTGGTGTCTTGCCCATGCCTTTGCCAAGCCCCGTCCAAGCCCCCCCAGTCGCAAATCGATCATCACGGAAGAGGAAACGGGACGAGGTTATCCTCGAAGCAACAGAGATTGCTCCCGAGCTTCCCGACTCTACCCCAGTTGCTGTCCCGGTCGCAGCACCCGCCCCTGTCCCCGCGCCCTCTTCCAGGGCTGGCCCGTCTCGGCGCAGATCTAGCCGAGGAGCCGTTCCAGCCGCCGAAACTAACAACGACCTTACCCCCCCGATCAAAACCCATGTGTCCCCCGCAGTTGAAGCCAAACTCTCCCCTCCTCTCCCTAGCCCCACAGGCTCCGGGCCATCCAACCCATCCCTTGTCCAACCCGTCGTCACTACACCCACCCCGCCCGTCACTCGGCCTTCATCGCGGCGCTCTATAGCCGCTGCCTCAATCGAAGGAGGAAACCTCATCACCATCCCAACCGCAATAGCAGCAAGTGGACGTGACCGCCGTATTAAAAGCGCAACACCTGCTCACAAAACTCCCATCCGCGAGTCGTCACATGCGCCAAGTGTTCCCGGCCCGGCCCGCCGACGCAAGCGTCCAGCACCAGGTCCCATTTCCAGTGGTCAAGATGGCGGCGCAGCAGTGAGCTACGGACGCCGCAAAGCCAAGCCGGGAAAGAAACGCCTTAGCGTCCGCGACTCCCAGGATGTCCGTGTAGACGAAGACGGCGTCCTCGAGCAGATCGACGTCAATGAGCCCCGATACTGTCTCTGTGGAGATGTTAGCTTTGGGACGATGATCTGCTGCGAGAATCAGGATGTAAGTTATCCTCGTTATAACATATTCCAGCAGAATATTAATGTTTTGTTTTATTATAGTGTGACCGTGAATGGTTCCATCTCAACTGCGTGGGTCTGACCGAAGTCCCCTCTCGCACGGCAAAGTGGTACTGTCCCCAGTGCCGTGTCAAGCTGCACAAGGGTGAAGATGGGATTATCAAGGGAAGCTCGCGACGTTAATTTGGATTTGAATGATGTTTCTTGCATGATACCACGAGATGCGTTTGCTGCTATTTTGTTGTTTTCCTATTTGTGTACGGAGTACTGCCATATGGCTTCTGGGTTTCCAGCCTTCCCTTTCTTTCTATCAAATAATCATTTGTCTATCAACCCTGGAAGCACTATTGTGGAATGTGAGGTTACAGCAGGTCATGATTGATGGCTTACGTAAATAGATCAAAAATTAAAACTGAATTATGGAAGAAGCGCCCAAAGGAGGTTAAAGCTGTGTCTGCTTCCGACATAAAAACTAACCCTTTGGTCTGGAGGAGTTAGAATGTAACACTCCATCACCGCGCTCCTCTAAAGTCTCTTCCATAGTAGATAGTTCATTATACCCCTTATCCAACCGCGATGATTTCGAATATCGACTAGTATCCGGCAACTCTTGATATTTATCAGACCCAGGCTGCGGATGATGAAAGTCCGCCGGCAATTCCACAGCAAAGCTTTTACGGTGTTCCTGACCATATTGCGACGGAGGGGCATACCCCGAAGCCACCGATCCGAACTGCACCGAATCCGTCGGCGAAGTGGGCACACGAGACGACGACGACCTGGACATTTGATCCGACTGTCTGCGCGACGAATAAGATGGCTCCCTGATAATCCTGCTCGATCGATCGGCCGGATTATACGTTGTCAATTTCCCATCCTCCATCATAGCCTGCAAGACACCCGCATCAAGAAGCTCGGCTTTCTTAATCAGACGCTCTACCAGCACCTTCGAAGCAGCCTTCAACTGACTCTTGACGAAAGAAATTAAGGTGCGGTTGCATTCGATCTCGATGTCTTCGCGCAGATAGAGTCCTGTTTTCGGTGCGCCGTCTGCGCGTCCGTCGCGGGATTCGGGGGCTTCGTCGTGTTGGTTGCCGGCAATGCGCCATTTGCTTCGGATGTCGATTCCCATTGGCGCGTACATGTGTGTTTCTAGACCCCATGCGACATTGTGGAAACTGCCTTTGAAGCTGATCTTGCCTGACCCCATTTTGCCGAGCCCCGGGACATATTGTACTCGTTCTGTGATCTCGTACCATGTTGAGTAATACTCGTCGGCCACGGCATCCCGTGGAGCCTTGATAGGTTGATGTGAGAGGACGAGTGGGTTTAGTGTGATTATTTCGCTGTGGCTGTGTAGGATGTCGAGGGCTAGTTGGCGGGGGACGGATGTGGAAATGGGGGTGATATTGGTATAAACATCTTTTCGGCGCATCATTTTGAATGAATTAATTTGATAAATATAATATATATCAACAGACACGAAGGGGAGAATCTAAGTCTAAAAAAGTGTAGGGCTGAAATGAAGTTGCGCTCATATGTTTCATCTGCTTACTATTTTTAACTTGCGCTAGACCTTGCACATGACAATAAGGCTTGGGCTATGGCTTTGGGCATAAATAAATTGTGTAGAACCCATTTGAAAACAATACACTTCTGATTGGTATAACATAAAATTCATTTACATAGTCTCTACTTCAGCTCCCACTTGTCGCCCTCGGAGACAATCTCCACAGGCCGCCTCTCATCCAGCGACTTGCGTCCGGCATCGAGAATTGCCGTTGTGGCGATCGTGTTGCGCAGAGTGGGCAGCGAGCGGGCGTCCAACTGGTCGAGGGTGACACGGCCCTCGTTTACAGCTGTTACGGCATCGATGAACTTCTCGAAGCTGATGTAGCCGTATCCAGTCTGTCCGCTGAAGTTACCTTCTTCATCAGGAGCGTAGCGCATATAGAATCTAGTATATCGGAGTCAGCAAGGAGCCATGGTGCGACATTATCTTGGGAAATAGAGTTCTTACGGGTTGAAATGAATGAGACCCTGCTCATCGCCGGTCACTTCATAGCCACGCTTGGCCTGGTTAACTCGGATCTCGCCGTTGGCAGCCATATCTGTTCGAATGTGTTAGAAAAAGTCTGTTTTATAAACTAATGTCGGAGAATGGAAGAACATACAGTGGAAGTACTGGTTGGAGTGGACACCCGCGTTTTGAGGTGCGGTCCAGCTAGCAGTATAGACACCAGTGGCAATCTTCGCTGGGTTATCACGGCGGCGCCACTCAACGAGAAGGGTGATGGTGTCCTCAGTTTCAGGGACACATCCAAGCGCAGCAGCGGTACCCTGAGATGCAGTTGCTGTGACCCGCACAGGCTTGTATTCTGGGACCATGCTCTCGCAGACATCAATGTGGTGAGAGTTCAGGTAGTAAGAAATATCGGAATCACGACCAGCCCAGGCCTTGAAGGTCTCGAGCTGACTCTTAGGCTGGCTCATGTAACTATAAAAGTAGTTGAAGTCACCGAGGGTCTTCGCCTTGGCCCGCGCATCAGAGTATGCAGGGTCAAAGCGCTTGTGGTGCTCAATGAAGACGAAGACGCCGTGCTTGCGCGCGGCCTCAACCAGAGCGAGGTGGTCTCCCAGACGCTGTGTTGCTGGCTTGGTGATAAGCACGTGGTGACCGTGCTCAATTGCGTACAGCGCAATGGGATAGTGGGTAGAATCGGGGGTGAAGATGGTAATAGCGGATCCCTTGGGGAGGGCATCAATGGCGGTCTTGTATGCATCGGGGTCTGTCTGGTCGTCCGCGGGGAATGAAGTGAACGAGGTATCGAGGTTGTTGTAGACTTGACAGATGTTACGGTGCAAGTGGTCACCTATTCTCGTGGTTAGCTTCTTGTTTGCTTGCTTGTTCTTTGGGTCAACTTACGAATACCAGGGAACTTCTTGCCCGACACCCCCACCATACTCAGCTCGCCCACCTTGCCCCGTCGGCGCAGGTCAAATAGACTGAGACCTACCACGCCGACCTTCTTGTCTGAGCCAGACGCACCACCACCGACGAAGCCAGTGGTGTATTCGCCAGTGCCAACCTGTGAGTCTGTTAGCCGGTGTTCTTGTGCGGGGGAATCATTCTCCATACCATCAAAACGCTAGGAGGAGCCATTATGTCTGTTAATTTCGATCTGGTGATGAATTCCGGGGGATTTCTGGGGGAGAAAAGGAAATTTAAGACAATTCACAGAAAGCCGGGGCGTTGAATCGCTGGATATAATTCTTCCGGCCTTTGAAATGCCAACTCAATAGCCGTATCTTATCGGCCTTGGGGTTTTGGACGTCATGTGTTTTCTTTTTCATCGACCTCATTCTTCCTTTCGAAAGACATAGAGATTCATACGTGTATATATGTATATACCTTCTTGTCCTCGATACACTGACCTCAATTCCAAATTTACCAAATGCTAGACTCATGTTATGGTCTTTTCGAACGTTTTCGCCGGCTGAAATCGGTCTTTACCCGTCTTTTACCCCCCTCCATGTCCCCCACATTCTGGGCGGTTAAGCTGATTGGTGGAATGTGATTCTCCGCCATACAAAGTGCCTCGGAGCATTCGCCGACGTGGGGGAGGGGGAGATGTCTCGAAGATGTTCATAAGAATGTCAAATGCCAATGATGTTTTAATTACTACGAAGTATATATCCCTCAAATTCCAAGTAGGTTACTATACAATAAAACGTCCGTGAACATCTGTGAACATCAGCTCACAGAAACTCCAGAATCATGTCTCTCACCCCACTCCGCCCCGGCGTTTATGCGCCGACGATGACCTTCTTCGATGCCCAAACCGAAGAGCTCGATGTCGCCTCCATTCGCCGTCACGCTGTGCGTCTAGCAAAGGCCGGCCTTGTCGGCCTGGTTACCATGGGCTCCAACGGTGAGGCTGTGCATCTCAGCCGCGAAGAGCGCATGACCGTCAATCGGGAGACCCGCTCTGCTCTCGATGAAGCCGGTTTCTCCAACGTGCCCGTCATCGCCGGTGCCAGCGAGAACAGCATCCGCGGAACCATCGACCTGTGCAAGGAGGTCGCAGCTTCTGGCGGCGAGTACGTTTTGATCGTGCCCCCCAGCTACTACCGCGCCGCAGTCGGCAATGACGAAACCCTATACGACTACTTCACGGCCGTTGCCGACGGCTCCCCTGTTCCTATTATCCTATACAACTACCCCGGTGCTGTCGCTGGCATTGACATGGATTCCGACCTCATCATCCGTATCTCCGAACACCCTAACATCGTTGGCACCAAGTTCACTTGTGCCAACACCGGAAAGCTGACTCGTGTCGCTGCCGCTCTCGGCGCCATCACCCCCTCCTCCCCCTTAGCTCCGGCTCAGCGTACCCCAACAGTCTCCAAGCCCAACGCCAAGCACCCATACGTTGCCTTCGGTGGTATTGCCGACTTCAGTCTGCAGACCCTCGTCTCTGGCGGCTCTGCCATTCTTGCCGGTGGCGCCAACGTTCTTCCCCGCCTTTGCGTTCGCATCTTCACTCTCTGGTCCGAGGGCCGTATCACAGAGGCCATTGAGGCTCAGCAGCAACTCAGTGCTGCTGACTGGGTTCTCACAAAGGCTGCCATTCCTGGCACCAAGGGTGCTATCCAGTCATACTACGGTTACGGCGGGTTCCCTCGCCGACCTCTCAGCCGTCTTACTGATGCCCAGTACCAGACCGTTGCTGATAAGATCAAGTCTGCTATGGATGTGGAATTGAGCTTGCCCGATGTGGCATAGTGGCTTGAAAATATAGCAAGGGGCTACATTTAAAGTCTAGTAATATAATTTCCAATGCATATATCAAGTTTCACGACCCCATCTTTTGTTGTCATGGGTGTAGATATTTATTGATATCTTATGCGCCAACATCACGATATTATCTTTGGATGGCTCTGTGTACTTAGGGTAGGTCGCTCACACCATATGTGTTTAGGTAACTACCTACCTAGGTAGGTAGTTATCTGGGGCAAACATCGTGGCCTGAGCCGTGGTAAGGCAAAAGCTTAATATGACGAAGACTTGCATCGTTCAAATTCCAAAAAGGGAAGGAAGTGTACCTACCTAATTAGGTAGGTACCTCTCTACTAATTTCCTAAACTGGCATAGTTCAAGAAAAAATATACTTTCCAATGTTATTCCTAATCCCACGGCGGAATAAATGGTGAAATCAACCTCGAAGACCTATATACGTTCACCTCCCAAGGAGTTATTCTTTTCAACTACCTAAATATGGTATCTGCATATATACTGCACTCTTATTATTATTAGCAACCGAATATTCCAACCCCTCATGTTCGATACTGCCATATATACTGGTTGTTCAACTTTTCTCTCTCGGGAAATCTACCGAAATGGACGATAGCCCAATAAATACGATCCTCCAAACATGGTATTTTCTACTAAGATGCCAGAGACTTGATCAAATCCTTGACTCCATGAAAAGAATAACAACCCCCTTCATCTCAAAGCAGTGCCTACAGCTTCTCCTGATTGACCTCAATCATCTGGACATTAATTCCGGTGTAACTTCACCTTCTGCTACGTGCTATTTCATGCCACGAGCAGGCACACCGAAGGTAGAGAGGATAAGTCCAGACCCAGACTGGGATTGGTTTCTATCTCAAAGAGGCAACTTTGGCAAAGGAACTTTCCGTGCAGACTATCTACTTCGGCGTGTGTTCATGGACTACCAGGACTGGAGTATTCCGGAATGTTGGCCGTATGAGATGGATGGAACGAGAAGCGAAGAAAAATATTATAATAAGGATCCGACTGTCCAGCAGTTGGGTCGCGTTGATAATGCCAAGGAAGACGAAAATGTGAGCGATAAAAAGGACAAACTGAATGATAAAGGAATCAGAGAGGATAAGGAGCGAGCAAGTATGGACCCCGAAAAACATGATGAGAGGGACAAAGATGACGACAACATTAAAGAGCGCGGTAACAGGACTCGCAAACCAAGTGATGAAAGTCATGAGAAAGGCAACGAAGGCGAAAGCGAGAAAAGTGACAAGGAAGCCGATGGTTACCATGGGATGGTGACTGCGAAGGCTTTGGACCTGAATATCCGCAGTTACAGGACTGATGACTGGTTAGTCTACTGGTAAGCGGGCATATGGCTGTTCTGAAATTTGGACTATTTAAACTGATCCATTTCATCTAGGTCTCAAGCTCTATACGACCTCGATCTTCCAGACAAGACACACGGAATCAGTATCGCCAGGTCAATGGAGCTAGATCACCCACATAAATGCCATGCATGTGCTCTGGTAGATGTGATATTATGTGGTCATGATTGCCCCTCGACTTCTGAGCTCATTGCCTTGGTCAGCTGGGGGTTTAGAGGCATGCTTCATCAATTAGAATGGCTCACCAAGGGAATTGAGCCAGAGGATATTCATATGCTCAATGAAGTTTTCCCAGTAAGTCCGAGTCACTCCTAGCTCCATCCCTTGTGCAAAAAATGTCTTTCTGATGATTTGTGAGCTCTGCAGACTATGATAATAGTGTTCGACCAAAGATGCTGTGCCCGTGTACTATACGGTTACTTCGATGATAGATTTCAAGTTCAATTTACCCCGGTGTTGAATTTCAAAGAATTTACCGAGGTCAGCTCGTCATCCTTGGAAGGCTACATGGGCCAGATTGATAAGAAGAAGTACTACGACATGATGCACTCACTGCTTCGTTGGGCATGGCCTCTTTGCCATCACCTCACCACTATCGCTAAGCCCTAAGACCACAACAATTCTGACTATATGGAGAACCTTCATTAGCTTCGCTGTACTAGTTTAGCTTTGAATGGCTCATCTATATAGCTAATATTTCCCTTGGCATCTCTAAGGAGGCATTGGACATTGATTTGTGGGGCGATTCTTTGTCTGCGTCGACTTTACTAGGGCTTTTGTGAGTCTCGCACCCCCGTACAGACTAGTATATAGGCTTTATTAGATGAGGAATTCCATAAACTTGCAGATCGACTTGCTTACCCTTGATAGTAAAATCTCCCTTCCCCCACATGACTCGTGCTATTGTGGATGTTCATGACGTCTCTCGCCTCCATGCCGAGTCATTGCAGCAGGCAAAGATCGCTGAGACCGGGAATATCGTAGTTTCATTGTCAATGCCCCCCGGGCGTGGGAGGATATTTCAGGGATTATCCGGAAGAACTTTGCCGAGGAGCTAGCTTTAAATCGACGAAACGTGTTGCTGTCCTGGGCGAACAGAAGTCGATTCCTCTTAGCATCAATGCCTCAGACACAGAGCTTTCCTTTGGATGGAAAATCATGGACTTGGAGCAAACAACCACCAATCTCATCTCACATTACATTGAGCTCAGGTGATGGTGTTTGTTCCGTCTTTTACCGTGACTACACCCATAAGAAAGCTCAAGCCCTAAACCCAAGCCCTATATCATCCCACTTCTTATCGTTGATAATGTCAATCCGGGATATAATTTCTCCTCGCACGCTCATAGGTGGGAAAACCTCTAATCGGAGTTGATGCGAGAACCCGTCCACTGGACGATCTCGGGACCTAGCGTTCTCAGCTACATAGTATGGGATTTTACTAAAATTCTACAACATACCTCACTAAATACAACAACCCCACGCTGCCCAGACCACTTGGTTCTTTTCATCGTATTGATTCGTCTTTCAGGCGATCGACCCCCCGAGTCTTGCGCTCTGATTCTCTCAGTCGTTTGTTTACCCGGTCGAGCGGGTCCACGGGACAATGTCCGACTGGAAGGAAAAGCTGTATGCCTTAGTACGTCGTGTCACGATGGATTTGGAGATTATATCCCGCGTAGGAAGAATTGGGAATCGATTGCGATCCCCGCTCTTAGGGTGTGAAATTTCGTGGGGTTGATATACGCCCTCCACCCCGCTTGTTTTCTCGTTTCTACTTTTCTTTTCTCATTTTTTTGGGTTCCGTCGTATACACTGCTTTGCTGTATCCCAAGGAATAGTCATTGACAAAGACTTCTTCAAACCAATCGCTCATTCTTATCACAATGCCTTACCCCGAAGAAGCTGAGGGCTTCCAGGTTGATGGACCTAACAGCTTTACTCAGTTCCACAAGCGCAACGTATGTTCTCTTTTCTGTCTGTTGGTTAGGATATGCGCTAATCTAGCTTGGTTGTGATGATTAGTTCAAGCTGAAGCCTTTCGGCGACTATGGTGAGTTGGGCTGTCGGCGCTACTATACTTCTTTCTAATTCTAACCGAGTGTAGATGTCGACATCAAGATTGAAGCCTGTGGAGTTTGCGGCAGTGATGTGCACACTATCAGCGGTATGGTAGTCTCGTTGAAATACCAAGCAGAAACACCAGCTAATCATACATATAGGAGGATGGGGTGATCAGAAGTTCCCTCTTTGCGTGGGTCACGGTACGTATTGAAAAACATAGAAAGAAAAGAAGGCTAGTGTCTCATGCTAATAACCATCCTAGAGATCGTCGGTCGGGCAATCCGTGTCGGATCTAAGGTCACTCTGATTAAGGAAGGCGCGCGCGTTGGCGTTGGCGCGCAGTCCTACTCCTGTGGCAAGTGCAAGCAGTGCCGCAACGACAACGAGACATACTGCCAGGTTGAGCCAATGGATACCTACGGCTCGAAGTGGGCCGATAGTGGCATCGTCAGCCAGGGCGGATACTCGTCGCACGTGCGGACACACGAGCACTGGGTGTTCCCGATCCCGGACGCACTGGAGACCAACGCGGTTGCTCCGATGCTGTGCGCCGGACTGACGGCTTACTCGCCCTTGGTGCGCAATGGCGCTGGTCCTGGCAAGAAGGTTGGAATCGTTGGACTGGGTGGCATTGGTCACTTTGGAATCATGTTTGCCAAGGCACTGGGTGCGGAGACGTGGGCTATTTCGCGCTCTCGTGCTAAGGAGGCGGATGCTCGTAAGCTCGGTGCTGATGGTTACATTGCTACTGCTGAGGAGGGATGGGAGAAGGACCACCTGTACTCGTTTGATTTGATTATCAACTGCGCCAACTCTTCCGAGGGCTTCGATCTTGCGCGCTATCTGTCCATGATGGATGTTCATGGGCGCTGGATCAGTGTTGGTCTTCCTGAGGAGGAGGGTCAGGTTATCAAGGCTCAGAACTTGATCTCTAACGGTGTTCTCATCGGTGCCAGCCACCTGGGTAGCCGTCGGGAGATGCTTGATATGTTGCAGCTGGCTGCGGATCGGGGTCTTAAGGGCTGGGTGGAAGAGATTGCCATCGGAGAGGAGGGACTCAAGGAGGCCATGCTACGTATGAAGAAGGGTGATGTTCACTACCGATTCACTCTGACTGGATATGAGAAGATGTTTGGATGAAGATAGATGTTCAGGATTGAGAATTATGTATATAGTCGGTGTCAACATACAAAACCACGGAAGGGGTAGAGGGCTGGGGTTGGGGGTTGGGGGCTTGGGGGTGTTTACTCGCATCGAAGTTTTCTAAAGAGATTGAAATCAATTATTTGTCCAATAATAGTATTGAAGATATTCCCGTATGCAACATTGAAAGAAGTGCCCTGTACGGAGTATACAAAGACCCCTTTGAGGTTGAACTGTACTAATATTAACCTTCACAACCTTTTTCCAGAAAACTCCAAAACCCTAATCGCCACCGGAGGAGACCAGGTTGTACAGGATACTTAGATCCGCAGTGAATTGAACTTGATGATCCATGTCACAGTTACTCCGCACTTTCCCGGATGTTTCCACCCCAGGATTTGCCTCCCAACGCCCTTAAAATTCTAACTCTTGCAGAAATGAGTGCTTTAGAAGTATTGTGTACTTAATTTTTATAGTGTATCTCTACAATGAGATTAGTACCAGTGACTACTTGGTAACTTGATGGTCGAACCAATCACTCCTCCTCAATTCACCGCCCGATAACTCAGACCCATTCGTTCTACTTTCTGGAATTCTTCCGCCCTTTTTTTATCTTCTCCTTGCGCCTTCAATTTTTTCTTTTTTTCCTTTTGTTGTTCTCTCTCTCTCTCTCTATAGTTCATTCATTAATCTCTATCTCTCATTCTATCTTTTTTCATTCTCTTGGGTCCTTGGAGTTCGCGAATGGTTGTTGATCTATACACATACATTGTTAGACTTATCTCACAGAACCCACAAGACCAAAACATCACATCGGTCCACAAACGATAAATAGACCAGACTCTCAAAAAGCCATATCATTCTTTGTCGCCGTCGCATATTATCAGATTTATCCAATTATTGTTTAATTTGCCCTCGATACACCAACTTCAGTCATGTTGCCACGAGAGACCAACGCCACTTCCACGAGGCGACGCCCCTCGTTGTCATTTCGCCCACGCCCACGCACTGCAGGTCATGCCGCCCCAATGTCAAAAGAGCTGGCTTTGGATACATGGGAGGAGCCATACTTGATGGAAATATGCCAGGATGACCACGCACCGGTCGTGGAAGAGATAGACCCGTTTCCGAACGCGGCTCCGCGGCGCCGTGGTGCCAAAAGTTTCTCGAGTTTGAAGCATCCTGTGGATGGTTTAGTCGCTCTCGGCCGCCGTCTATCCGTCAGTCTTCGCAACAAGCCTTCCAAGCAAACAATTCCTCTCGCCGAGCACATCAAACTGGTTGATGACGATGAAGACCGTTACTATCACCATATTCCGAGCCATGCAACCCATAAGCGCATGGCCTCCGGCAGCTGGGATGTCCGATCAACGAAACCATACTGGCACCAAGGGTATGGTGTGAATCGACGCCCTTCTTTGAATAGTGTGTCTGCCCTGCATAGTTTCTATGCCCCTACCGCCTCGATCCCTGCCCCCATTCCGGGCCGTGGGCAGGCACCTCCAGTTCTGCCGAATCACAAATTCGCAGGTGCAGCGGCGCGCGCCGCAGCCGCAGCGCAGAATGAACAGATGGAGGCTGCGCGGATGGCTAAGGTGGAACTGGAGAACAAGATACTCGATCTGAGAGTCCCGCAGGACTCAGAGAGTGGTATTTGTATTGACCTTCGCGATCGGTCGGATGTGTCAGACTCTGATTTGCTGGCCATTATGCGACTCGGTAAGGATGAACCCCCCGATGGACAGCGCGCCTGTTTTGCTAACTTCTTTGTTTGTTTTTAGATCCCGTGGCTCTGCTCCCGGCTGAGATTACATCACACATTCTGTCATATTTGGACCCCGATTCTCTCATGAACGTGGAGCTCGTGTCTCGCACCTGGTTCGGTGCGTCCTCTTCTCATGTTTGGAGGCACGTATTCCGCAATGCATATGGCCGACGGCCAGAAAGCGAGACAGCCTCCAAGTTGAAACTATCATCTGGCTTAGGGAAATCAATCCCGAACCAGGACTGGAAGAAGAAGTTCCTTGTTCGGCGCGCTCTCGATCAGCGCTGGACGGATGGCAAGGCTGCAGCCATTTATCTTCAAGGTCACGAGGACAGCGTCTATTGCTCTCAATTTGACGAGTAAGTTGAGATTGATCTGTTGGTGCCGTGCACTGCTAACCAGTTTACAGGAACAAAATAATTACCGGCTCCCGTGACCGGACAGTTCGTGTGTGGGACGCACACTATCCGTGGTCATGCAAGAAAATTATTGGACCACCCGCGGCCAGGACTTTCCGTCGCGGTCCAGTGAACAATCCAACCTCCCAAGCCACGGGGACTTCACCATTCATGACTGTTACCCCGCCGTGGCCCACCCTGGATGAGACGACGGAAATTACAGCACCATTGGAGGAAGCATCGATATATCACAGCGCATCAATCCTGTGCCTACAGTTTGACGAGGAGATCATGGTCACAGGATCTTCGGACTTTACCTGTATCGTGTATGACGTCAAGGACGACTACCGACCAATTCGTCGTCTATCCGGTCATCATGCCGGTGTGCTTGATGTATGCTTTGATGACCGCTACATCGTCTCATGCTCCAAAGATACCACCATCTGTGTGTGGGACCGAAATACCGGTGGGCTTTTGAGGCAGCTCAACGGTCACCAAGGGCCAGTGAATGCTGTGCAGTTACGCGGTGACCTTATCGTGTCAGCCAGCGGTGATGGCGTTGCCAAGATGTGGAACGTGATCTCAGGCCAATGTGTCAAGGAGTTCACCAGCAAGGATCGTGGCCTCGCATGTGTCGAATTCAGTGACGATGGCCGGACCATCCTCACTGGCGGTAACGACCGCATAATCTATCAATTCGATGCTAACACGGGCGAGCTCGTAAACGAGCTTCATGGGCATACAGGCCTCATCCGATCTTTACATCTCGACAGCGCAAATAAGCGCATCATTAGCGGTAGCTATGATATGAGCGTTAAGGTGTTCGACCGTGACACAGGTGACCTGTCCACCAACTTCCCTGGCTGGACCACAAGCTGGATGTTGAGCGTTCAGTCCGATTATAGACGCATTGTTGCGACGAGCCAAGACTCCCGGGCTGTCATTATAGACTTTGGATATGGCCTAGACGGAATCGACCTGTTGGAGGAGTGATCTATTTGCATTTTTTTTATATATACGGCTTGTTCTTCTTCTCAGCGCTGCTTCTTCCCATTTGGGGTTTTTTTGGTTATTATCATTATACATTGCTAGTAGGAGTTGGATATGAGGTTTCTCGTCTTGGGTACAAATTGGATCAGGCTGGAATAGTGGCAAAATTTCTGCTATATTTATACGTGACTTTCACACCAGTGTAAAACTATATACATACATATTATCATACATTTTGTATCGTTAGAATAACCTCAATTTCCAACGTCTTGAGAGTTAGGTCGCCTGAGGTGATCGTTGCCTGAGGTGATAAGGCAGCAAGATCAATAGATCGACCATTTCTGCTGGTCAAATGTGTCAGATATGGCAGCGGGGAAGGCGGTAGAAATGGCGGTTAATCAGTTAAGTAACGATGGCTGAGGTAACAACTTGATGTCCTAGTTAGTAATGCCATGATGGGAGAATATGACATATGAGATTTGACCTGTTGCGATGTAATTGTACCTCACTCGACGATGTAATAGTTTCATGCGCCGAGGTAATATCTCAGGTCTACGATATGATATCTCAGATAGATAATGACACCTCAGGCACCAAGACATTGATTAACTAATCCACCTGTGATTCGCCAGAAAGAGTGGGCTAGCGCAAGTGCGATCCGTGGGATTTGGCATCAAAACAATCCCTCTGCTGTTTCCCATCAACCACACAAGCAGAGACTGACAAGAAGTCCTGGTCTTGCAGTGTATATCTTCATCCAGCTCTCTTTCCGCTTAGCGTTTATCCCAGTCTCATTTTTCGCTTTAGCGTTTCGATTGATAACCATTCTACCCCACCATCATGGGTGAATCCAGGTTCGGCTTTTCTCCTATTCCCCGCCGTCTCGCGACCAATATGGCCTTGCTGACCGCCGATCAATTTATGATTTCAGACAGGAACTGCTGGCATGGCTTAACAACCTGCTTCAGCTAAACCTTACCAAGATTGAGCAGTGTGGAACTGGGTATGGCTCTCCCCGATTTTAAACGGCCCGCGGGGTGAACTTTTCTTTTGGTATAGATCAGATGGGCTAACCTCCTATCTTGTCTCTCTATAGTGCTGCCCTCTGCCAGGTGTTCGATTCGATTTTCAGTATGTAATCACTACAACTTGCGCAAATAGTTGAGAGACGGGTCCCATATTGGGTTGTGGAGCATACTGACTGACTGATCTCTTTGTTCAGTGGATGTTCCCATGTCCCGGGTCAAGTTCAATGTGAACACTGAATATGCTTACCTCCAGAACTTCAAGATTCTTCAGAGTATGTGAAAGTTGATTCCAAATCGGTCAACGATCCCCCTTTTTTAACATATTCCATCATCCAGATGTCTTCGCCCGTCACCAGGTCAACAAGCCCATCCCCGTCCAGTCCCTCACAAAGTGCCGCATGCAGGACAACCTTGAGTTCCTCCAATGGGTTAAGAAATACTGGGATCAGCACTATCCTGGTGGTGAATACGACTCCGTCGGCCGGCGCAAGGCCTCCGGCGCGCCTGCTTCCGTTGGTGGAGGCCCTGCTTCGCGCGCCCCGTCTGCTGGCAGCGCACGCCGTGGAGTGACGCCAACAACTGGCGCCGTCCGTCCCCGGGTTGCCACCGCGGCCAGTGGAGCGGCCACTGCTGCTCTGCAACAGGAGATCTCGACACAAAAGGAAGCGATCGCAGGATTGGAGAAGGAGCGGGACTTCTACTTTGCCAAGTTGCGCGATATTGAACTGCTGCTCCAAAGTGCCATTGAAGCCGACCCGGATCTTGAAAAGGAGGAAGACACGCTTGTTAAGCACATCCAAGGCATTCTATACTCGACCGAGGTCCGTTCCCTTGACCTATTCGCTGAATACTCTCCAAACTGACCCTTATGCGCTCCCCCATTAGGACGGCTTCGAGATCCCCGCCGAAGGAGAGGAGATTCCGGCCGATGAGCTCGAGACTTTTTGAGTGAAAAATGAGTTCTGGGCCCGAGAGAACCTTGGAAGGAAAGACCCGTTACTAATACCCCCCGCGTCTTTTATTCTTTCTCGTCTTCTTTCTATTGGTGTCAAATAAGGCGAGCACGTAGATATGGAGTCAATGCATACATCTTATTTTTCCAGAGACAGAAACAGAAACAGAGACAGAGACAGAGACAGTGGTCTGACAGTTGGGCTTAAAATAGGTTTATGGAGAATGAGATCGGCAAATGATTCGCCGTTAGTACGGAGGACAACGTATTCCGTACACTCCGTAGTGGAATTGGAATTAGGTGGAGTAGCACACAACAGATTAATATTTATATTTTCAAGGATCTTGGTATTGAATTGACAATATAAACAAACAACAAACATGTCAAGATATTCTTCTATATAGTAATTAGTTATGCAAGTAACCATAGTCCCTTGCCTAGTTACCTAGGTATATATATGTTATGTTGTATGTACAGATGTGCTAAGATGATAATTAAACCTGCATGGTACACTAATCCCCAAATCGACTAGTTAACTTGGCCAGAACCTCATCTGGGTTCTGTCACTTTTTCTATTCGTTGGATCTCTCGTACCTGAACTGTGGACAGAGAACTGGCTTTTGTGATTTTGATTTTGAATTTTTCTTTCTTTGTTTTCTATTTGATGGAAAAAAGGAAGATTATCATAATTCAATTTCAGATATCTTTTTCTCCCTGAAATTCAAAAAAGAATAAAAAAGAAAAAGAAAAAGAAAAAGGATCTGTCGGCCCCCGAGAGCCTAGTTCATCACTAACACGGGTCGCATAGGCTAGGCCTCGATAGGGGATTGTTTGGTCCAGTCTGGGTCTTTTCCATCATTTTTCTGTTTCGCTTCTTCTCTTTCGTGTGTCTTGTTTTTTCTTTTTCTTCATCGCTTTTGGGTCTTTTTTGTCAGTCTCTTTCTGGTCTTTTTTTTTGGCTTTGCAATTTCATGTACGGAGTACATTTCCTCCCCCTCTTGACAACTGAGAATTGTGCCAGTGTGACCATACTACCCTCAGAGTTCTTCCGTCTGACATGCTTTGCGGCCTCAACCTATTAAACACTCTATATTTCTCCTTTTGGTTCCAGATATCCAAAACACAATGGATTAGGACATGAGACTGGACTCTCTTTCTTTCATCCCACTCTTTTTGTCACTCTTTTACCCCAGGTATGTGTTGGTATCAATTCGAAGCCCTCGACCTGTTTGCTTACAGGGCGTGGGGCTGCAATGTCCCCCCAATGGGATAATATCCATACTAACTCTTAACTCCGCTTAGTCGTTTGTACGATTGCCATTCCCTCCGCATAACTGTGCGCCAGATATCACCATATTCTTGAGCGGCTATTCATGCTACACTTTTATTGTTGATCGCAACATTTGGCTACGCCTCTGCCAACGTCCATTCATTCAATACTATCAACCGGGTCATTCTTTTCCTCGGACGATCTATCAATCTTTCCACGCCAACTGTGTGCACGCTAGAACGTGTTTTTCTTTCATTGACTTTAACCTTATCGACCCCATTCTTCGCAATACTGCGAAGCTTAACCTCTGTGAGGATCGTACATACTTTGTTTTGCTACTTTGTCGTGATATCCCATTGCATGTGATTGGCAATTGACGTGGACGTGCATGGAAAACTTGTCAACATGGCTCATGGTCATCACCGTCACCCGCGTATCGGCAATCTGATAACCGCCAGGCGTCACCGGGAAGCCGAGCACGATAAACAAAATGTGGACTCTGATTTACTTGACGATGATTCATTTCAACCCCCCATCCTCCCCGCTACTGATATACTTCCGGATGGAAATTGCGACTCGAAAACCTCTCCGTGTGTTGAACATGGCATGACCGAATCTGATTCACTGCTTGAAAAGCGGGACGAGACGACCTCCGCCGACCCGACTAGTATCGAGACTGTATTGCAGATAGTCGATGCTAGCTCACAGACCCCCTTTCAGTCGACTGCTACCGACTTTCCGATGACGATATCGGATTCTGCTTACGCCACTGACACTATACCGAGCTCGGACGGCTTGACTGCGACTGCGAGTGCGACTGCGGCTGCAAGTGTCTCTATAGATTTAGAGCTACTGAGCTCGCCGACAGCGTTACCACTACCCGAGACGTCACTAAGTAGCTTCACGAACTCCGTTCAAACTTCTTTGACCACCACAAACCCCAGTGGACTTCCGTCAGCATCAAGATCTGCGTCAGGCACAGTCATCAATTCGCCTGCATGGACTTCGACCCGTCTCATTGCTCATTCTAGCTCTACGCCCTCAGTTACGACAACATCATCACAGGCGCACACCACTTCCTTGTCATATTCCGGTTCTACCTCCGGCTCCAGCTCCACCTCCACCTCCAGTTCCAGTTCAAGCTCCAGTTCTAGTTCCAGCTCGACGAGCTCGACCTCCAGCACAAACTATGCAACCTCTTCATCGGATGTATATGGAGGCTCTGAGTCAGCAACTGGTGCCGGAACTGCGCCAACTACTAGTGAAACGCAAGGCTCGGGGGGCAAGGTTCGACAAGCGATCCTAAGACACCTAAAATCGTGGGCGGTGTAGTAGGATCAGTTGCTGGTGTCGCTCTCATCATTCTTCTTCTATTTTACTACATCCGCCGTCGAGGATTCTTTATGGGGAAAATGGCACGTCCAACAATGCTAGGTGACACAACAGATGGGGCTGGAGCAGGCGCTGGGTCTAGAGAAATTGTCGAACGACGCTTTACAGCCTCATACCTCGCCCCCGCATTCATGAAGCGCTGGCGCCAGTCAACAGCAACAACCCGCTCTGGAAGCACCACCGACTCCGCACCTAGCGAACGCGGGTTCCAAAAGATTTCCGGCAGGAAGCTTCCTCCCGTCTTTACTCACGGTGGAGACGGATATGGCGGTGGACTGGACGGTGATTCTCCCACCGTACCGGGTTTCCCTGCCACCTCCCCAGCAACCGGACCAATTGGATCACCCTCCTTCTATGCTCCGCCCCCTACCTCCCAATTCGGTAGTCCCCTGGACTCAAACTTCACCCGTGAGGTTGAGGAGCCCACACCACCGACACGGCCCAACCTCGCCCACCTCCCTATCTCCAGCTCGGTCAACGTTGCCACTCCCATCACTGTCACACCGGCCCACCCAGTTGCGCAGCCCCAGAGTGCAGTGCCCTTTGCACAGCCGCGGCCGGATGGGCTTGGTCGCAGTTTGCATAGTTTCGATGGGAGTCGAAGCAGCCGGTTCACTGAGGTGATTGATCAGTGATAAGGTTGTGATATGGGACATGTGAAATGATCGAAATGAAGTGATGGGTGGGGGCGCAAGCCCTCTGTGACATCGGACTCCGAGTCTTGTCCCCGATCGTGCCTTTTTTTTTTCTTTTTTGTTATTATTTTTGTTATTATTTTCTGTTCGATTCTACCTCTTTGTGCTGTTGTAAAAACGCATTTCCTGTCTTTCATTGTCATTTTGTTGTTATATTCTTTTCACTATTGATACCCCCATTCTTTCTCTTCTCTTTCTTCTCTTATTTTTCTCTTACTTGTTCAAATTAGTTTCTCTTCACTATCTTCCCACTTAACTTTTAATGTTTGTATCGCTGTGGATGTATTACTTCGCTCTCTTCCTATAACTACATGTATAAGTCGTAGCCTGAACAGTGTCAGTTCGGATACTCAGTGTAATCCAAAGTTATCGAGCTACATATGAAACTTCATGCATTTTCCATACATAAAGATGGCTCCTGGCTGAGAAACACATTTTGGACTGCTTACTACATGTAGACGGCACATGCAGCAGAACTTCCAAGGTTGCCCAGGTGCTCACTAGCCGTGTAACACACCTTGTCAATCTCACTACGTGGTCATGCATGCTAACCACGTGGCAGGGCCGGTGAGACTAATCTTGTTGCAGACCAATCTCATTTCTTGTAGGACTACTTCATCTGACATGAGACCTTCCATCGTGTCGCCATCCGAGACTAAATACTGATGCAGTTGGATTGGATATACTCCTTTCCATATGTCTGACGAGTCCAAATAGACTAGTTTCCTTGGACGCTGTGGCAAAACTAGCCGCATCCAAAGGAGACGCTTTTCAGCTGTCGAATAGGCGAAGGGATGACCGAACTTGACGGCTTACACTTGGAAGCAGGTGCAGGCACAGGTGTAAGTACTCTTCAAGCTTCATGTCAAATGAGGCTTAAAACATTAACCTCTTCTCAACTTTATCCACAAGTACGCGTCCTGAGACCAAATCCGGGCTGTATTTCCTTTTACAGCCACTGTCGGTTCCCTAGATGTTGTGTACGAGTACGAGTGCTTCTGCCTAGCTACTCAAGAACCTTGTGGTAGCCTTTACTTGGAGTGAACTCGCTCAGTATCATTGCCACCTATTGCACTGCCCTTCCATCTTCAAGCTGGTCATATTTCTTGCCTCCTGGGTCATACTCGAGCTCATGAGCCTCCTGTTATAGTATGACCGGCACCGCCACATTCTTAACGCACCGCCACAAATACGCCACATGGAGATCTTCCATCCCTGTCCTTCAAGCCTCCTTTCAGCCGGAAACCCCATCATCAAGTTACAACAAACGTACTCTATACAGCTTAGTGGCCTGCAAAATCAAATCATCTTTGTCGTGTGCCATGACAGGTTCGGACAGCAGTGCCGCGTGCTCATGATGCGTACAGTCTAGCCGCTCATGAAGTGGACACCCCATCCTCAACAACCTAGAACACACACGATCAAGCCCCATGATGCAAAGAGACTCGTCTTTGCCTCCTTACTTGCGCCCATGCCCATGGTCAAACAATAATGCCAATACAAAGACAATAAGTCAAGGTCAAAATATGTCCCAATGATTGGATCTTCTGCGAGGCGCAGCAGTTGGTCTAATCCACAATGATAAAACCCAATTTGATCGTAACGCCCTCGCATTGGATAGCTGAACTTGGCGTAACGCTATTCGACAACCGCTGATCTCAGAATTTAGCTATGCATGTCCACGGGTAGCATAGTCATGAAGAAAAAAACGAAACGGGGCTAGAGTTAGAGAAAATGAAGCCCGGCGCTTACATTCCTCAGCTTTTTTTTGGGAGTATGCCTATGGGCTTTTGCCTTCAATAACATGATACTACTCCTACATCTCATACACGGAGCTCCGTAGGGGCCCGTTACTAACCAAATATTGCCGCTTGCAACCTTGGAAAGGGGGCTGTGTTTTGTCCCCGGAGGTAATAAGTGGCACATCCTGGCACCACTTTTGGAGAGTATATTTTACTTTTTTCGATCACTCCAATTTGTTCAAGTGGAGATAATATATCCCTCCTATACTTGGCATTACTTGCTAAAAAAACCCTCGTTGCGAATTGCCAAATTGCCAGAAAATTGACACTAAACCCTCGGCATATCTGGGCATCCTGGGAAGTACACAGCCCCATTGAGAGGGGGAAAAAAGATAACAAGGTCTCGCAACCCCCGGCGGTACATGAGACACTTGAGATCAGATCCTATTACATGAACCTCTCTGCATGAGCTGCTTTTCAATTTAATTCGCATAATCTTGTCGGAGCCCCGTGCGATTCGCACCTATGTCTTCAAACAATGACACCTCCCATCAGGGCTCCCTATTGAGTCCTGTTATAGTGACCGATTTTTCGGGCAGAGAGGTTGGTCACCCAAGTCATCCTATCTATACACGCTTGAACTCTTTCGCTGATCATCTTATTTTCTTTTTCTTCTCATGCAGCGATCTATATCCACAGCCTCTTCCGCATGGTCAGGTCCTACAGATATAAACCACAGCCCGACTTCACCTGTCTCACCAGATATGGCGTGGAATCCAGACCCAGCCCGTCTGATGGTCCAGAATGCCTCGCATCGACCATCACAGTCGATCGATGGCGATACATTGCGTCCGCGGGCGGACTCGTTCGCTTCTTCTGCAGATACTATGGTTCGCTCCCGGGCGAACTCCGAAGTAGACCCGGCCCATACTTCCAAAGATGTATACGACGATGTTTCGCTGGCGGATGCGTTGAAACCAGATCCCCGGAATGAAACCGATTTCCAAGTGGAGGGTAATCGGTTCGCGTTTTCCCCCGGTCAACTAAACAAAATGCAGAACCCGAAGTCTTTGGCTGCATTCCATGCTCTGGGTGGATTGCAAGGTCTGGAGCGCGGTCTGCGCACAGATCTAAATGCTGGTTTGTCCATAGATGAAGGGTGTCTGGAGGGCAAAGTCGAGTTCCAGGATGTGACATCTTCGGCACAACACACATCTACGGGAAAATCCCCATCAAGCCTTGTCACTTCGGCGCCGGTGTCGTCTGGCAATGGCTCACCCTTCGAAGACCGCATTCGTGTCTTCAGTCGGAATAAACTACCCGCTCGGAAATCGACCGGGTTCCTAAAACTATTCTGGGCTGCTTATAACGACAAAATTATTATATTATTGACTGTCGCCGCCGTGATCTCACTATCCCTGGGGATATACGAGACCGTGTCAGAAGGCTCAGGCGTCGACTGGGTGGAAGGTGTCGCCATTTGCGTGGCAATTTTGATTGTCACAGTGGTCACAGCTGCGAACGATTGGCAAAAAGAGAGACAATTTGCCAAACTCAACAAAAGGGTAATACATCCCCTTAACAATCCGGAGAGTCAACACAGCTAACATCCCAACAGAACGATGACCGTGAAGTCAAAGTAACCCGCTCAGGCAAAACCGACATGGTTTCAATCTACGATATTATGGTCGGCGACATCCTCCATCTCGAGGCAGGCGATTCCATCCCCGCGGATGGCATTCTAGTTTCAGGCTACGGCGTGAAGTGCGATGAGTCTTCCGCCACCGGCGAGTCGGATCAAATGAAAAAGACACCCGGCCATGAAGTCTGGCAGCAAATCGTCGACGGCAAAGCAACCAAGAAACTCGACCCGTTCCTGATCTCCGGTAGCAAGGTCCTCGAAGGTGTGGGAACTTATGTTGTCACTAGTGTTGGGCCTTATTCTACATACGGACGGATCTTGCTGTCTCTGCAAACTCCTAATGACCCAACGCCGCTTCAGGTCAAGTTGGGTAAGCTGGCGGATTGGATTGGATATCTGGGCACAGCGTGAGTTGACCCTCCTTACTTCCTGCTTTGCTTCTGTGAACAGGTTACTGATGATAATTTACAGAGCTGCTGGTATTCTATTCTTTGTTCTGCTCTTCCGATTTGTAGCCAACCTTCCTAATCACCCGGAAAAGTCCGGTGCTATGAAAGGCAAAGAGTTTGTGGATATTCTTATTGTTGCTGTCACGGTTATTGTTGTCGCTATTCCAGGTAAGCGTTGATGTTTCGCACAATTATTTGGACTATGCTAACATTCATGTTCTTTGCTAGAGGGTCTTCCATTGGCCGTAACGCTGGCTTTGGCCTTTGCTACAACCCGGATGGTTAAGGAGAACAACCTGGTCCGTGTCCTTCGCGCATGCGAGACAATGGGAAATGCCACAGTCATCTGCTCTGATAAAACTGGTACATTGACACAGAACAAAATGACTGTTGTGGCCGGAACCTGGGGCTCGGATCAGGACTTCAGCCAGAGAACTGAAGACGAAGATCTGGAGGGTTCAATGACTACTTCCGAGTCTTCCCAGAAATTATCAGCCCCCATCAAAGATTTGATCATCAAGAGCATCGCTTTGAACTCGACTGCCTTTGAACAGGAAAAGGACGGCTCCATTGATTTTGTTGGTAGCAAGACTGAGGTTGCGATGCTTCAGTTGGCCCGCGATTATATGGGCATGGATCTCGTCACGGAGCGTGGCTCCGCTGAGATTGTCCAACTGATTCCTTTCGACTCCGCCAGGAAGTGCATGGGTGTTGTTTACCGTGTTCCTGGTGTTGGCTACCGACTGCTTGTCAAGGGAGCGTCCGAGTTGATGGTCGGCGTCTGTACCATGGAAATTGTCAACATTGATATGTCCAAAGAGAGACCCGATGTGGAGCATATTTCTGAGGCACAGAAGAAGAACCTCCTGGAGATTATTGACAATTACGCTCACAAGTCTCTTCGGACGATTGGCATGGTCTACAAGGATTTCACAACCTGGCCCCCGACGGAAGCTAAACATTCTGAAGATGCTTCGGCGAACTTTGACGATTTCTTCCATGATATGACCTGGGTCGGAGTTGTGGGTATCCAAGACCCTCTTCGCCCTGAAGTCCCGTCAGCCATCCGCAAGTGCCACTCGGCAGGCGTCCAGGTCAAGATGGTGACTGGTGACAACGTTGCCACTGCCACCGCTATTGCAACATCTTGTGGAATCAAGACGGAAGATGGATTGGTCATGGAAGGTCCTAAGTTCCGCCAACTCACCAACGCGGAGATGGATGAAGTGGTTCCGCGCCTACAAGTCCTGGCACGATCATCTCCCGATGACAAGCGGATCTTGGTCGAACGGCTTAAGGCCCTCGGTGAAACGGTCGCTGTCACAGGTGATGGTACAAATGACGGTCCGGCTTTGCGGACTGCAGATGTCGGCTTCTCCATGGGTATTGCTGGTACTGAGGTCGCTAAGGAGGCGAGTTCGATTATTCTCCTGGATGACAATTTCAAGTCCATTATCACGGCGATCTCTTGGGGACGAGCTGTCAATGATGCCGTTGCCAAGTTTTTGCAATTCCAGGTCACAGTCAATATCACGGCCGTGATACTCACCTTTGTGTCATCTGTGTACAGCAGTGATAACACCAGTGTTTTGACTGCTGTGCAGCTGCTCTGGGTGAACCTGATTATGGACACCTTTGCCGCTCTTGCCTTGTAAGTTATTCTGCACGTTCTTCCATTTTCTGCTTGGACCTTTTTACTAACGTTTTGGAAAAACAGAGCTACGGATGCCCCGACTGAAAAAATTCTCGATCGCAAGCCTGTCCCCAAACACGCCTCCCTCTTCACCTTGACCATGTGGAAGATGATCCTCGGCCAAGCAGTGTACCAGCTAGCCATCACATTCATGCTGTATTTCGCAGGCGACAAGCTCCTCGGTGCCCATCTCAGCTCCGAACCCGAGTTGCGCACAAAGCAGCTCGCCACCGTCGTGTTCAACACGTTCGTGTGGATGCAGATCTTCAACGAATTCAACAACCGCCGTCTCGACAACAAGTTCAATATCTTCGAAGGCATGTTCCGCAACTACTGGTTCCTAGGAATCAACGCCATCATGATTGGCGGTCAGGTCATGATCGTCTACGTTGGCGGCCAGGCATTCAACGTGACCCGCTTGAGCGGCACCCTCTGGGGTGTGTGTATTATCTGTGCTCTTGCGTGCTTGCCCTGGGCTATTGTGCTCCGACTTATCCCAGACTACCACTTCGGGCTTGTCTTTAATGCCGCCGTTGGTGGCTTGTCTTTTGTTTTGCGCCCGTTTTCTAAAGGGTTCAAGGTAATTGGTCGTGGTATCAGGTCCTTATTTAGGCCTGTGAAGCGTTTCACTCGCCGTGTCATAAACAAGGGGAAGTCAGACGACGAAGTCCAGTTGAACCCACAGCCCACAGAGTCTGTTGATCCCGAACAAGATCCTGAGAGTCTTGAATCGAGCAAGCCAAAGCTCTCTCCTGAGCCTCCTAGCACACCTCCTCATGTCGTGGTCCCCCCTATCACAATTACGACCTCTCCTTAGTAGTTGTTACTTTAGCGTTGGTGTTTTTTGGTATTTGGTTGGCTGTTTGATATTTTATTGTTAATTCTATTTGCATATAAAGCGCTGGGTTTTGATATAATAAGATGTGTATATATCTCACCAAAAAACGATACTTCTGCATTATTTATGAAATTTACTTCTCTCTCTACATGGAAAATCCTTAGCAACTCAGTATCATATATTTACGCAGAATACTCAATATTAAAGACAAGAGCCTCCAGGCAACTGGGTTCAAGGTAGTATATTTCTGCCTCAGGCCACAACACCCCGTCTACTACCAAGTGTCCAGCTTCATCTCCCGTGGACTCCCCAATTGACTCCGCATTGCCCTGTCGACTCACCTTGTCATTTATCTGTGATCAGTTAATCTGATCCCTGTCTCTATCGAACATACTCTGATCTTTTATTCTATCCCCATTGGATCTCATACCATTCGGAGACGTTCCCACGTCACTAATCTCCCCCGCTTCCACCCACCGCACCGATATACCAAACGGACCAACAGACAGCTCCTCACAAAGTTCCCTCAATACCAAACCCACTCGACAACCCTTGGTCCACAATTTGATCCAAGACCCATTTTCTCTCTATTTCCGCCCTCATCAAAACCCAACCGCCACCATGTCGCAAATCAATTACCGCACCATCAACATTGACGCCTTGGACCCCGAGTCCTCGGCCAACTTCCCCATGGAATCCCTCCTCCCCGCCACACTCCCCCAAGCCGCAAGCTCCAGTGACGCCGCCAATGCCGCGACACAGGTGCGCCAGATGCTGCGCGGCGGTGACCCAGAGGGTGCTCTGCGGACTGTCCTGGACACGGCGCCGCTGGGCGGCGACGACCGCGCCAAGGAGGTGCATCTTGCTACCGTCATCGATGTGCTGCAGGGGATCCGCCAGGGCGAGATGACCCGCATCCTCGAGGGCGTGTGCAGCGGGGATGGCGGGGCTGAGCGGGCGGATTGCTTGATGAAATACCTGTACGTGGAACTACTGTTTCGAGTGCCGGGAGAGGAACCGTCTAATGGAAAGTCGTGGATTTAATTGCTGATTTATTTATTACAGGTACAAGGGAATGTCCTCGGCTGCCCCTGGTAGCGGTGCGCAGTCGCCGAAGAAGTCGGTTTCGCCTCAGGATACGGGCTTCTCCCAGATCCAGGCTCGCAACTTGGGTGAAGGTGGCGGTGGTCAGCAGATGAGCGTTTTGTTGAGCTGGCACGAGAGACTTGTCGAGATTGCTGGTACTGGGTCGATTGTGCGAGTCATGACTGATCGTAGGACGGTTTGAGCGGAGAAAACAGCATCGGATGGAGGTTGGTTTCTTATGATTTACATTCTGACTGTTTTTTTTTGTTCTCGTCTTCTTGGTAGGGGCTTGGTTTGCATTCCATACATCTGTGGATGATATCTCTCCAGTGTCGCTTTAAGCGTAGTTTTACATTATTTATACTGTGACAAAATGTTGGGCTCTTTCTCTTTGCCCTTTTGTTTCCACTCTTCATGGTTTATCAAGGTCACCACCCTCAAGGATGTCCTTGAGGTTAATATCACCGCTGCCACGCTCCAACGGCTTCGACTGGTTCTCGCCTTCCTTCCATCCAATCATATAGATCAATCGGAACGTGGCTGGGATACCGCGAGCACCTTCCTCCATATGCAGGGAACGATATATAGCCTCATTAGCCAGCAAGACATCCCGAGAAAGCGGTGCCGAGTCACGGTTCATGATTGCGTTACCCTCGCCCATCGCCTGCAAATCCTGCATGAGCGCAAAGGAATCCGGGAACTCAACCACAATATCCTCAACATCAACAGTAAGCATCTTGAACCCAGTACGGCCCAACAAGCTCCCGATATCCTTGACGTCCGCCAGAGGTGACACATGCGGACTCACACCACCGCGCCGCTCCATATCAGCCAGCTGAAGCGACCCGCGCAGCTCGTACAACGTATCGCCACCAAACATGGCCGCGATGAACGGTGCATCGGGCTTCAGTATTGTGTTCACTTGTTCCAGGAGCGCGGGCAGGTCGTTGATCCAGTGGATCGAGAGCGACGAGAGCACGGCATCGAAGCTGTTCGGTGCGTACGGCAACGTCTCCAAGTCCGGAATCACATCCCGCTGGATGTTGATCTCCTTGTTAAACGGGTCGTCCTCGTCTCGGTGGAGCAGCGCGCGCGATGTCTCCGCGCATGTCAGCTTTGAGATCTTTTTTGATAGTGGTGGTGTGATGGTTCCTTCCGGCATGATGGAGTCGATATTGGGGGATGTGAGAGCTCGGGCGATGTTGCAGCTGTTTGCACCTAGATCTAGGACATTTGGGAAGTCACGTTTAATGTCCTATTCACGGCCAGAGAAGCTCTTGTCAGTTGATGTGTCTTTTTTTCTACTGCGGCGCTGTTTTTCTGCGCTGGATTCGTTCAATGGCTTACCAGTAAGCGTTCACATAGCCGCGTTGCTACTTCATCTTTCAGATAATCGACTTTCCGACTCTCTTCGACATTCCGGCCTGCCCGATCTTTTTGGAGGTGCTTGACTTTGCGGTTAAAGACCTCGAGCATTGGGTTACCGGGTGTCTGGCTCGCATATTTTCGGATAGTAGTTGTTGGGGTAAAGCATCGCCTTGATAGGCTAGCACGAAATGTCTGTAGAGGTATCATTGTGGCTGTAGAATGGATATGGAGGATTCTAAACCCTGAAGCATGCAAGTCCATGGTTTTGCGGCGTTGGCGGGCAGAAAATGGCGGGATCTGACGTCGATTTGTTGATGCGGAGAGCTCCCTTCCCGCAGACCGTGGACTTCTTGCAATTGGTGTCTTCGAGACAGTTAACTCGGTATCACTTTTAATTTTAACGTTGTGTACATTGCTCATCTTGCGCATAGTGCATTGAGCGTGGCAGAGCCATTGCGACCCCTGATCGAATAAGTCTCCACGCGCCAACACTCCTCTCAGGGTCACTGATTCGGCGCAACAAGATTGGGATCCTGAAAATTAGGATATTTTTGCTCGAGACAAGCCATACTATAGCTATCTATCTGTTACCCGACAACCTATTTGCTCTATCACGCTATTCAACTCTCGACCCCCACAGAGACGAAGCATGATTTGATTCAAGTACACGCCTCGAAAGATACCACACACCATCTCGCTCGCCCCTCCATATCAAAATGTCACGTCCTTTCCCATATACCTACATATCATGCCCCTGCGCCGATACCCCAGTCCCTGACCCAGCCAGGAAGCGGAGGTCAAGGGAGTCCCCGCAGAAATCGCCGCAGAAACCACCACCCGAGCGGGCGGACACAGACCAAGACAAGAAATTGGCAGCGAAAGAGGAACAACAAGAAGATGATGAGGACGAGGAGCAAACCTTTGATCCCCGCTCTCCACGGTCCAACTTCTCGCTGTACCCGCCTGAACAGCTTCTCTACTGCGAGGAGTGCCACCAGATCAAATGCCCTCGATGTATTACAGAGGAGATTGTGAGCTGGTACTGTCCTAGCTGCTTGTTTGAAACGCCGAGCAGTATGGTGCGGAGTGATGGTAATCGGTATGTACTAGATGATGTGAACGGTTGTGTTCAAGTATCCGCTAACATGCGCATACCTATAGGTGTGGCCGGAATTGCTTCAATTGTCCTGTTTGTACAGCTCCGCTAGCCGTGAGTACCATTGAGAATGCCACAGGGAACGGGCTCCAACAGGGCCCGTGGGTGTTGTCTTGCGGATACTGTCTTTGGACTACACTAGACATCGGCATCAAATTTGATAAGCCGACAAATATCCGTAGTCAACTACAAAAGATGACAGATTCCACTCCCCCGGCTGCTCACGACCGCTCGAGGCAAGCTTCTCGTACTTTCGGAGATCTGAAACATCCGTTGTCCAGCTTTGCCTCGATTGACGAGCAATCCAATGCGCGCGAGCGTGATGGAGAGCAAGCCGCACCAAAAGAAGACCCGGCTGCACCTCCAATGGGCACGGATGCCCGGTTTGCAGCCCTGAAAAACTTTTACCGTACACAGATCGCCGAGACATCAAACTCGCCAAATGACCATCTTAGCTCAGAATTTGGGTTCTCATCGCCCGGCGCCCTAAACCGACTCATGTCTCTCTACACATCCTCGTCACGTCTAAGCGGGCTCTATGGCGGCAACAAGAAGCCCAAATCCAAGCCACCTGTTATGCGCGAAGCCCTGACTGCAAGCGAGGGCCTTCAGGTCGCCCTAGAAAACAACGAGACGGACATGATTGCACGACTTCAGTCTCCAGAATGTGGCTGGGATGGTATGGCCTCGATAGACCAGCGCGCAACCCAATCACCGGACGCCCGCTTCGTTGACGATCTCCTCCCACTCCCAGTCCTCCTCCGCACCAAGCGAGCCAAGCGCTGCAAGTCCTGCAAGCACATCCTCGTGAAGCCCGAGAGCAAGCCGCAATCTACGCGCTTCCGCATCCGCCTCATTGCCCTCAGCTACATCCCCCTCCCAACTCTCCGTCCTCTAGCCCCCTCTTCCTCGTCAGCGCTTCCAGCTATGGCCCCAACCTCCGACCTCAACTCCCTCCCACCCCTACGCCCAACTCACATCCTTCTTACCCTAAAAAATCACATGTTCGACCCCGTCCGCATCACCCTCGCCACACCCCCAGTAACCCCAGGCCGCGTTGCAACGAAAGTCACAGTTCTCTCCCCGCAGTTCGAAATTGGCGCGAACAGCGATGTCTGGGACGAGGCGTTGCAGGGTGCTACACCTTTAACGAGCGACTCTCGATCCGCTGTTCTACGCGGAGTCCCCGAGGCAGGCAAGGTGTGGGATAAGGGCCGGAACTGGACGACCGTCGTGTTGGAGGTTGTCCCTGGTACGTTGCCAGGGAGTAGTGCTGAAGGCGGTGGTGGCAATGCCAATACCGAGACTAATGACAAGAATGCATTGGCGGTTGCGGCTTCTAAGCAGGATGAGGATGTGCTTGAGATCCCGGTCTTTGTACACATGGATTGGGATGCAGATGCGCAGCTTGATCAGCAGAATGTTGGGAAGGGATCTAAGCCTGACGATAAGGTTACCAGGGAGTTGGCATATTGGATGGTGCTTGGTGTGGGGAGAATTCAGGCTTCGTTGTAGACAAATAGGGGATTGTCATCGTCTTGTTCATATTCGCGTCGACTGGTTTGCGTTTTTATGCCTTTCATACCCCGAGTGTACTTTTTTTTCTTCCGTTTATAGAAGCATCCGCATATTATTTTCGTCCAGCGAGCTTTCGACTTGATACTGCCAGGTAAAACATAAACAGTAGAATGTGAGCTACTTGACTTAACCATGGAGATATATTCCAACAATTATATCTGGACATCCACGGGCAACCAATATTATAATCTACAAGCAGGCTAGATCCCAATCCCAGCCAGACAAAACCATCTAAAGAAAAAGTAATGAAAAGTCGGAATTGTTGAATTGGAATACTATCAGATATTCCATCCCACCTTCATTAGATCGGGAGATAGAGAGGGAAACTGAACTCCATCGCCTCACCCAGAGCTCACACCGGATACAAAAACCAATGCAACCAGTGACTTGGGGGCAAAAAAAGAAAAGAGAAAAAACCGTCAATGCATTTTTATGGAGATCATCTCTTTGGAACCCATCAATGGCGTTTTGAATCTAGCAACAATTCAAACCTAGAAACAATGCCATTCTCCCACGCATCAACCGAGCACATTCCAAGCCCCTAGCCCCAAAAAAAGTCAAAGTGAACAATGAATTCTAAATGTGCATTTAGAACTCAGCGCCGCTCTGGGGGAACTCGAAGGCAACAGCGCGGCCGGTGAGGCGGCGGTAGACCTCGCCGTAGGCATCGAGGCGGTGGTCGACACCACCACGCTCCTTCTCGTCGAGGATGACCTTGAGGGTCTTGGAACCGTCCTCCTTGGTGCGGGTGCGCTTACCGACAATCTCGACGGGGTAGACGAGGTCGGAGAGGATGGAGTCGTGGACGGCGGTCAGAGTGCGCGAGCGGGGGCGCTTCTGGTTCTGGGTGGTGCGCGAGTTGGCGGAGCGCTTGGGGCGGGGCAGGATGCGGCGCTGGGCCACGAAGAGAACGTGGCGGTCGGAGAACTTCTTCTCGAGCTCGCGGGTAAGACTAGTTTGGTTGTTAGTTCTCGGGTTGTCCTTATTGAAGTGGTTTTTTTTTGTTGGCCCGTTCGTGTTGGAAGGACTGGTGGTTGCTTACCGCTGCTGGATCTTGTGGAAGTTGGTCAGGAGGGGGACGGGGACGAAGACAATGATGGCCTTCTTGCCGTGGCCGACCTCAACCTATATAGCGAGAATAATGTCAGAGCGTTGTCCGGTTCAAAGTGTCGTGCACACAGAAATAGAATTCCTCCTGGAACGGCGTCTTGCTCTGCGAATTTTCATATCCGTTTGTATTCTGCCTCCTTTGCTGATGATTCCTCTCCATGTTGGTGATTTTTGGCGTTGGTGGATATGAATTGAAATCAATCCACAAATCCGACCAATATACCCCGGAGCATCGAAAATCCCTCGAAAAATTCACAGACGCCATTCCAGAACGATTCAATTCGCATGTCGGGAGCCTCGGACAACAATTCTTACCTCGCGGGCAGAGACGAACTGCAGGGGACGAAGGCTGGCCTTCAGGTCCTGTGTGTTGCTCTCGAGGTCGAAGAGAGCGCCGGCGATCGCGGTCTCCAGCTCGGAGGGGTTTTGCCGGGACGGCGAGTTGGGGGCGATCTTGTTGATGGCAGCCATTATTGCGAGCGACGGGGTGCTGCGGGAAGTGCTGGTGGTGATGTCGACGGAGGGGAGGTTCGCAGATTGAATCGAATGGGAATTTGCTGTGGGATCGGCGCATTCGCTTAGGGTGCGCTATTTCCTATTTGAGTTTAGCGTGGCCGTCTTAGGGCTCATTGCTGATTGGTGGATTGCCGCTGAAGGCTATCCACTATCCGACTCGCCTTTGGTTGGCAACTACCCCAGGACTTTTTTTTGACCATATTGTCCATCTACTCTTGATTATGTAGGTACGATGGAGATGATTTCTGGTTGCTAATGCAAATCTCAAAAACTTTACACTCTAATCGCATTGTTGAAACGAGGTGTTTCTGGGGAATAGCACACTGTGGACTATAAGAGCACATGGACTCTCCATTGGAGCCGGCACAAGCAAGATATGAAGGGGACAAAAAGTAAGAGGGACGCCTGTATCCATGGAAATAATTGCAAGAACATCTGCCAAAAAAAAAGACCCAAATCAGCAAGCACAGCCCTCCTTAGCCGTAGCAGCGTTTCGATCACCCAGGTTGACTCGTGCGTCTTCTGTTGACCGGTTACCCAACGAAGTCTGACCAGTTCCCGCACCGGTACCGCGACCAGTCTTCAGACTACTCTCTGGGATGGTATTGGCAATTGCCGTGAAGACATCCACAACATTGGTTCCGGTTTTGGCACTAGTCTCGAAGAACAACAGACCCTCTTGCTCCGAGTAGCCAGTGGCCTCCCGTGTCGACACCTTACGGGCATCGCCGGCTGCAGCATCCTGCACGTCATCTTGCTCATCGCCGCCTTCATCGCCATCCTGTGCCGAATCAGACTCGCTCTGTGCAGCGCCGGCGGCCTCGGAAACATCCCCTCCATCATTGGTCAAGTCCAGCTTGTTACCGACGAGGGCAATGACAATACCAGGGCTCGCTTGGCGCTGCAGCTCGGCGACCCAGTGCTTGGCCTTTGTTAGCGAAGAGGGTTTCGTAACGTCGTAGACAACAAGCGCCGCTTGCGCGTTACGGTAGTACATCGGGGCGAGCGAAGCGAATCGCTCTTGGCCGGCGGTATCCCAGATTTCGAACTTGATCGTGCGCGTAGGAAGGGAACATTTTTGCGTCAGAAATGCGGCTGGAAAGATGACGTTAGTTGGTCATCCTAGTGCAAAGTACTATTTGAGGGGCTGGAGTGGCCCGTTTGCGCGGGCACAGCTCAATTTTGGACACAATGCACTGCCCTTGGGTTCTCCAGAAATTATATCATCTGCCAGGGACCGTATCTCGTGTCTTCCGGGAGCTAAGTCCATGGGAAAATCTTACCGCCAATGGTTGGTTCCTTGTTCTCCTGGAAATCATCGTTGACGAAGCGTAGGACAAGTGATGACTAAGCGAATAATAAAGAAATGGTTAGCTATTGATAATCGTGTAACATGGTGAACGGAGGAGTAGTACCTTGCCCACTGCGGCCTCTCCGAGCAGCACAAGCTTGACGCTGCTACTCGGCTTCGGGGCATTTGCGCTCGCTGATTCGGACATGGCTGAGACGACGAAACAACAGTGAGATTAAAGTAACCACAAGTCAGGCCTTCTGTAGGTTATTCACCTTCGGATCAATCAGCGATCAGGAGACGGGATGAGGTGGCAGGTTGATTCAGCTGGTGACCTCGGTTCGGGGAATGGGGCTGCCTAGAAGTAAGACAGGAGCTGGGAAACAAGTCGCTGCTCTTGCGCTCGTATTGGTAAATTAATTCAATCCTGGTTAAGGAATGTGAAATGCAAAGTGTAGTATAGACGTTACTGGGACAATAGTGATTGATCCTGAAGTTGGAGAGGCGGAGGTGGATGATGATGACGGGTACCTCGATTGGGATTAGCGCGGGTTGTCAGCCACCAGTCACGGGAAGCCCGTCTGTGGAAGTATACAACTGACATAGTTAGCATGTTTTACATTTGCATTTCTCATACTTCCTATGGATGCTTTATTTGCCTCTCGTATCTATTTAAAGAGACTGACATAAGAGCTAAATTGGAAGTTCTAGGATTATCGCCCGCATTGTTGATATCTCACATCATTGGATACACTGCGCCGATGGTATGCAGATAACATGGACATAGCTGTTGGGATATGAAAACTTGGAAAGAATGAACCCCAAAGCAAGTAATTTAACTTGATAAAAGGCCGGCTACCGCGGGACAAACATGTTCCTGGCACCTGGACAACTTGTCGCAGATTGGGCTAGTGCCCAACTGGCCTGCAAGATGATGTCGGGCTCCATTTAGGAAAGACCCTGGTCAGGCTCGGGAGATATCCGCCGATGCACCAGGCAGGCCCGTATCAACAATCGGGCTGTCGTTCCTGTCTCGGCATTAGTCGGCAAGCAAATCTGCCCGATACTAGCGCAACCGCGGTCGGTCAGGTACAAGCGGAGTACGACGTGAGATGGGTACGAGTTTGCAAACTCGGGGTTACAGAATGCATCTATAAATGTACATGAAGCCGTCGATGGTGGTCTAGGCTGGCTGGATGGAGAATGTAGAGAAAAGAAAATAATAATAATCCATTAGCGCTGACAATTATGGTTTGTGCGCAAAATATAATACACGGGGGCATCAACGTCAAAAAAATAAATAGTACAGATACTCGTACAAAGAAACCCGGGAGCAGTACCCATCCAATAGTAAAAAACAAGAAAAGCAATCAAAGCATGTTATTGACCCTGAGGTCGAGGCTCTAGATTTTGGTATCAGCCCATCCCAATCAAAATATTCCGTCCCGTCTATGCCAAAACGCCGGTAGATAACAAGAAACAAAACAAATAAACAACAAAAGGCACTTTTTTGAGATGGGGACCGTGGTATCGAATCGTATCAGAGAAGTAGAACGTGAGGTGAGGTGGAGTAGGGGCTCAAGGCCCGGGGAAAAAAAAGGATAAGGCGCATGTGCGAAGACGAGAGATGAACGGTCGAAAAATGGAAAAACGGAAAAGAAAAAAGTTGTCAACGCTTGGTATCCGAAAAGAAAATGCTGAAGGCAGAAAGTCGAGCCAAATTAAAAAGGGTATAATGTCGCGCGATGCCTGTAGCGAATAGGCAAGAAAAACGTATGGCCCATGATGAGGACAAAAGAAAAAAAGAGATAGTGTTACAGATATCTAAGAATTCAGTTAGTTTTGATGCCCAAAGGGGGTGTGCTCGGAGTTGACATGTCTTACCAAAATCAAGTAAAACTCCAAAACGCATATGCGTCAAAAAAAAAAAACTCCAGCCACTGTTGGGCGCCAGACCATACGAAACATGACCGAGTGGTGTAGAAAGCAATGTTGAGTATGACGAGGGTGTTTCCGAATG